GGCCAAACGGTTATGCGACAAGTCCAGTGTCGTAATGTTAACACAGTTTTCAAAGGCCGCCGTTTCTATGAGCTCCAAAGCATTGTGCGAGATATTAATCACAGCCTGATATATATCCTTGAAGGAGTTTTTCTCGACTTTGGTAATGTTATTCTCCGCCAGATCCAGCAGCTGCAATTAAAGTGACATTTTAAGAGCTAATGATATATCTAAGCTATTCCAGAACCCACCTCAACGTAGTTCATTTGAGTAAACATCTGGAACTCAACTTTTGTCAACTTGTTTCGAGCCAAATCGATCGTTCCAATGCGAGCCACCGAGCCAAAGGTACCCCGACCAATATCTGTAAGGGCATTATCGCTGAGGAATAGCCGCCGCAGGAAACGCATTCCCCTGAAACTATTGGCATCCAATTTGGCAATATTATTATGCGACAAATTAAGCACCTTTAGAACCGAGTTTCGGGCAAAGGTGCCACGACTCAGCTCGTTTAGTGCATTGTGAGAGACATTGCACCAGCCCAGCTTTGTCAGATCGGATATATGCTGCGCCTCCAGCTTCTTGATCTTGTTGTGACTTATATCCAGCACCTCCAGCTCTCTTAGATTCTTGAACTGATTCCGTTTGAGGTTTTCCAGCTGGTTTCCATGCAAGTCCAGGGTTTTGAGTTTTCGCAAAGGCTGAAAGGTCTCTATTGGCAGATCATTCAGCACTCCATTAGTGAGTCGCATAATGCCGAGACTATTGGTAATCTCTTGACCAGCAAACAGATCCTTGGGCAGCTGTTCCAAGGCATGCCCATCGATCACCAGTTGCGTGGTTTTGCCAAGAATCTATGGGGGTTATAGGGAGTTGCGTTAGCAAAGGTTTTTGGGGCTGTTTTACCAGGTATTTACGCCAAATCCCAGTTGTCCCACGTGACTTAGATTCGTGCGAAGCAGATGCAGCTGCTCCAAGGTGTTGTTAACGCCGTAAAAGACATAATCCTCAATGGTGGTAACTGGAGTCTCTTCGATAATCAACAAACGAGCCTTGATATTGGCAAACAGAGGGCCATACAGACGAGCTAATCAAAGATTAAGATAATTAAATATATATAGTTAATGGCTATAAGGTGGGATCTTACCAATATGACCCCTATATATGGTCAACTCCTCGATGGGCAGCTCAAAGGAGGCCAAATTCTGGAGGGCCACCGACAGAGTGGCCAAGTTGGCATTCTCGCAGTGCACATAGAGACCACTGTCGCTGCCCTTTATGCATTCGCAGGGGTACAAGGCCTTGGATCTGTTAAAATATATTTATTAGTAGGGAAATGAGGTTGTTTTTAGACTAAAACTCACTTTTTGGGGCACTTGAACTCTGGTTCGCCGTACACATATTCCGTACTGGCCACGGCCAGTAAGTGCAGCAGAACAAGACTGCGCAGGCGTAGCTGAATCATGTTTTAAGGTGTCGTCAGCGATCCAATTTAGCCCATGGCAAGAAACCACTAAAAACCAAGTTTGTTGCTAGAGTCTTTTGTGTCTTCGACCTTTCTGCAACTTTAATTCCTTAGTTATTGTATTTTTCGCTTCAATAGTTACAATTATCGAGCTGCGTGTTAATAAACATTGCAGTTCCGCGAACAAAGGTAAATATTTTCATGTTTTTCCTACTCACTTTTACTTTTCTCTCTGCTGGCGCAGCGCAACAGGTTTTTGGTTGGTCCACTCTTTTGCTCTTTCTTGCTGCTGCTCTCTTGCAAATCTCCCGCTCCGGTGATTTCTGGCTGATTCGCTGGCCCGTACAAGGTTGGCACACGGCTATCATACTCACGACACAGTTCGCCTTGTTTATTAGTCATAATTAACATATTAATGTGTTATTTTAACCACTTTTCCTGATTCGGCGCGAGTTTTCATCGATAGGTTCGCAGCGAGTTGGCAGGCCTGCTAAAAAAAATTCGATAGTTTGCCGCCTATCGGTGCGCCCGCACACGCGAATGCAACCCTGCTGTGACAGCTCGCTCGTTGTAAAAGCAAATCCAGGCGCAAAAAATAAATAAAAATTGCTGACGGCCCCTACAATTCCCATTGTACATCCGCACAAGCAAACGTAAGTGCATTCGGTGAGTTAATTGGGTGAGTTCACGTGCGCCCTCGAATTGCGCGGGAGGGCCTTACACTTTTTTGGCATTTTGCGATTGAAGTGAGTGGGCATTGTTCACGTTTCTAGCCTCGCCGACGGGGAGAAATACTGACTTCGCCCGTTTTGCCCGCCATCGCGGCAAGAGCCAATCGCAGGCCGCGCTACGCATACAGGCCAGAAAATCCGTGTACATACACGTCTGCCTGCTGTCGTATTGGTGCCCGGGGAGAACGCGAGTTACTCGCTGTATGCGGTGTTCATTATGTTTTTGTTGCGCGGCAAAAGTGCGTAGATTAGCGCGATTATCAAATTAATCGGTTCTGTTTTCCCTCTCCAGTTCTAGAGAAAACAAAAAGATGAGCTACGCCGCTGATGTTTTGAACTCGGCCCACTTGGAGCTGCACGGCGGTGGTGACGCCGAGCTGCGTCGTCCCTTTGATCCCACGGCTCACGATTTGGATGCCTCGTTCCGCCTTACGCGGTTTGCCGACCTCAAGGGACGCGGCTGCAAGGTGCCGCAGGATGTGCTCTCCAAGCTGGTGTCTGCTCTGCAGCAGGACTACTCCGCTCAGGACCAGGAGCCGCAATTCCTTAACGTTGCCATTCCCCGGATTGGCATCGGTTTGGACTGCTCCGTAATTCCGCTGCGACATGGCGGGCTCTGCTTGGTGCAGACCACTGACTTCTTCTACCCTATTGTGGACGATCCTTACATGATGGGAAAGATTGCCTGTGCCAATGTGCTGAGCGATTTGTACGCCATGGGCGTCACCGATTGCGATAACATGCTGATGCTGTTGGCTGTCAGCACCAAGATGACTGAGAAGGAGCGCGATGTGGTCATTCCGCTGATTATGCGCGGCTTCAAGGACTCGGCATTGGAGGCTGGAACCACTGTTACCGGCGGACAGAGCGTCGTCAATCCGTGGTGCACCATCGGTGGAGTAGCTTCGACCATTTGCCAGCCCAACGAGTACATTGTTCCGGATAATGCCGTCGTCGGCGATGTCCTAGTGCTGACCAAACCGCTGGGCACGCAGGTGGCGGTGAATGCCCACCAATGGATCGATCAGCCGGAGCGCTGGAACCGCATCAAGCTGGTGGTGTCCGAGGAGGACGTAAGGAAGGCCTATCATCGCGCCATGAACTCCATGTCGCGCCTGAACCGCGTCGCCGCTCGTCTCATGCACAAGTACAATGCCCATGGCGCCACCGATATCACTGGATTCGGTTTGCTGGGCCACGCTCAAACCCTGGCCGCTCACCAGAAGAAGGATGTGTCCTTCGTTATCCACAACTTGCCGGTCATCGCAAAGATGGCCGCAGTGGCCAAGGCTTGCGGCAACATGTTCCAGCTGCTGCAGGGACACTCGGCAGAGACCTCCGGCGGATTGCTGATCTGTTTGCCTCGAGAACAGGCCGCCGCTTATTGCAAGGACATTGAGAAGCAGGAGGGCTACCAGGCCTGGATCATTGGCATCGTCGAGAAGGGCAACAAGACTGCCCGCATCATCGACAAGCCGCGAGTCATCGAGGTCCCCGCCAAGGATTAGAGATGAGAACGGAACGGAACCCCAGGCGCTTGTGTTTATTTTAAGTATCGTAATATTAACGTAACTGCTGCTCGCCTCAGTTGTAACCGCCATCATCGGTCTTTGTTTTTTATAAAAAAGCTTATCAACTAATAACACAGAATCAATCAATGATCACATAAAAATGGACATCGCAACCGCAATACGAGTGAATAAAAATGGAAAACACTTGACTCTTTTGTATCGAGTAAACGAACGAGAATGCTTTTTATTTGATGGTTCGGGTGGGGGGTTAATTGGGGATGATCTATGGATGAGCTTTTTCTAAGCAGACTTGGCTTATTGAGAATGTGCAGTTCACATTAGAACAGTTTTAAATGCATATTTAAGTTGTTTATAACATTCAAATGCTGACGGAATTCACAAATTTTTGGATAATTTGCAAATATAATTGAGAGTTGCTCTGCTAATTGCTAGGTAGACATATGTTTTAGAGACCATGCTAATTAAAACAAGCTCAGATCGTGCTTTGTAAGTCAAACACACAGTTAACATTTTTAACATTTTGTTAAGAGTTTAACATTAAAACAAGTTTAATGAAACTTAGACGTAAAATAACATGTGGAGAGATTGTAAAGAAACTTGTGACATTACAACATTATGTACCATACATACATACATATGTATTTAGGAAAATCTAAGCTGTACAAAATTACAAATTAGGATTTTTAAATACCAAAAACTTATATGAAGTCCCAAAAGAGTATTTGCAATTTTTTATTATACTAGCTATTTGACCGTTCTCTCTATTTTTCGATCAATTAGCATTAGTTAAAGAGAGCAAAGCTCTTGAAGAGCTTTGGCAACCGAGAGACGCCGGGAGGAAGCTTTGTGGCGGCGAACAGGTCCGAGGAACAGAATTTAAAAAGCTAAAAATAGGTACATTAATTTATCATTAAATATTAATTTTATGGTATATAAAACAAAGTACTTTTTCCTTATAATATTTTTGGATAATTTTAAAAAATATATATGGAAACATTTAAATTTGTACTTTCTGTGATGGAGGAAATTTCTGAAAATTAATAAATTTACTAATATTAATATTAAAATGAATAAATTTTCCTTATTTTGGAAAACCCTGTTGGTTATGACCAATTGGAAATCTGATCAAAAAACTATTTAATAACCAAAACATTACATTTTTTTAATATTTCCCAGGTACTTTTTCAAAGCGGTGGTAAGAAAAAGCTATGGGGGCAACACTGATGGGGGGATCGTATGGGATCGCTGAATGGTTGGATCGCTGGTTCACTGGCATGGCAAGTGAATCCGCAGTCAGTACTGCACGAGCTAGCGACGCGTCAAGATCCGAATTCCGTTAACAGACTCACAAACTCTTACACTGCGCGATATACCGTTACAATTGTGCTTGGATCGAAATCGAACAACACTAATACCAACCATAAAACACACACACACAACCCCACCGAGTTTTCTCCTTACCATTTCCAGTGAGCAGCCGCAACAACAACAACAGCAACAACTGCGTTTTTGGAGTTTTGGAAAAGTGCACACCCTGCAGTACCATTCATCAACAATTCATCAACGTTTCATCAATAGCCGAAGGGGTGTTGTTGATGATTCATCGATGAATGGCCATACAAATTACTGATGAATTTAACATGGGCATGTCATAGGCATTCATCAACAACAATTCATCAACAATTAATCAACAAATCATCGATGAATTGTTGATGAATTACTGATGAAAGGCTGATGAAATGTTGATGAATTGTTGATGATTCATCGATGAATTCTTGATGAATTGTTGATGAATAATCAACAATTCATCGATGAATCATCAACAATTCATCAACATTTCATCAGCCTTTCATCAACATTTCATCATCAATTCATCGATGAATTGTTGATGATTTTTTTTTCATATATAAAAATAAAACTCTTAAATTTTTATTAATATTATTTATTCTAACTAATTCTATAACAAAACTAAAACACAAATATAAAAAATTAAGATTAAGCATCCATATATTAAGAGGCCTGAAGGTCTTTTTGATTCTTGGTGTTCCGCTTTTTATTCATGAAGACCAAATTTATTGCGCAGTATCTTCTCTGGAGGCTCAGTTTTAGTCACTTGGGAAATTGCATCTACAGAAAAAATTATAATTAATCAAGGGAAAATATATAATTTAATTAAATAAAATTACCCAATATATTGGCCATTACTGCAGTCTGAAAAGAAAATACATACATACATATATAAATATAATATATTAATATATTATATACATATAATAAATAAAATATTATATGTACATTTATAGGCTTCTATTTAATTAAGAACAATCTTTTTACTCACCTTTTTTTATATTTCAATATGGCCCGGAACGTAATTATTGAATTATTTGATTTCTTAATATTTTTAACACACGACACTTCTGCAGTGGAGAACACTTCAACTTGTAATGCAAAGGGAATAAGAAGAAGCAAGACGAAACCGAAAGCCGAAGACCGAACATTTCTTTCCCCCTTCTTTCGCTCTATCACCATCTCTCTCTAATTTTCGGACAGTTGCGTTTCTTAGTTTGTTTCGGACTTCAATAAACGAAGCCCATGCAAATTGTTTTTTTTTTTTTTTTGACATGCACCAACAAATCGGACTCGAAGGGAGTTCGGGTATCCGAAGGGAGTTCGGGTTCAAGTAGCAGTCGGCAGAGCGTCGATTCTGTCGACGTCGCAGTCGGCGCGTTGATGAATTGTTGATGAATAGGCCTATTGATGAAATGTGGTACTGCAGGGCAGTGAGTGCTGCAATTATGCGTACAAAAGCGAGCCAGAGAGATTGAGCGAGTGTGTGTGTTAGAGCGTGCGAGTGAGTGAGTGGGCTGATTTCGTCTATTGAACTGGAAAGAGGAGCTCAGAAAAAAAGCACACACAAACACCAGCGCAAACGAGTTTTCCCTACGTGTTGTGTGGCTGAAGTACTTGCTTTTTTGAGGTGAAATTTGTGAAAAAGACAGAAAAACGCATCCTAAAAAGATATGTGTGTATCTTCTATCTTGTGGCGTAGCGCTAGCGCTTCTCTTGGCCAGATGATTCATGTACACTCGATTTATTTGCCTCGCGGAACCGAAAACAGACGGCGCAGTATTCAAATTGAAAGAACAGTGGCAGTGAACTATAAATAGAATTATTTGTTTTCATATACACGGCAAAAGTCCGAAGGAAAAGTGTTTCGGAAATTCGCCTGTATCTTTGTATCTGTATCCGTGTATTCGTATCTGTGTATCTCCCAAACTTTCGTTTAATTTAGCCAAGTTCAAACGGCGTCGTTAGCTTGTTTGTGCCCGCTTGGCTTGAACTCGTGGATTGTGTTGTATTTTGCTTTTGTGTATTGTGTGGGTGCCGCAAATTGGCAACTCAACAGATACAAAGATACACAGATATACAGACGCTCGTGCTAGAACCACATATAGATAATGATACATTGCCTATATAGTACATAATAGACGCATATATAGACATTAAATTTCGCCTACGTTTTCGTTTTCGGATTTTCGGTTTTTTTAACAACAGAACGGCGGCGACGACGACAACGACAAAACAACACCTTCGCTTTTTTCGCCCATTTTCAAACTCGTTCTCTGGCGATTTGTTTATTTTACGATATGTTTGCCATTCATTGCCTACGTATGCGATCTCTGGCATTTCACAGCGATCGCAGATCGGAGCAATATTCTCCCCTACCAAAAACCACGCCCACTCCAATTAGTTAACCCAAGGAATGCCAAGGAATACGCGCACTCCAATTCGATTTTTATTCAATGAGAAGAATATCGAGATACATTTTATGATAACAAGTTTCGCTAGTCAAAAGATAATGGGAGTCTATTCAGGCAATTATAATAATTGCTGTCAAATTCTGACCTTCGTACCCTTAAAAGAAACAACAATGTATAAAATTAGTATACGATCATGCAATATAGCATTTTAATTAGATGTTTTTGACAAAATAATTGCTATATTATACAATTAACCCTCGGAATGCCAGATAGTTCATTTTTGTCTAAGCATTAGATTATACATGTACATAGATTCAATATATTTTAGGGATCATTTATTTATTTTATTTTTAAGCGTTAAGCTATAAATATTATTTTGGCAGAAACTTTAAGGTTTATGAAAATGCACATTCCCAAAGGAAAATTATTAAAAGAAAAGTGATTCATCAACATAGCCGTTTCCGAAACTCATAAAATTCTTTGGAAACGACCCCTCAAATATTTATATTTTTTCTCGAAAAGAGAAACAAAACAGATTTGTTTTTGGAAAGTAACACAAAGCTTTAAAAAATTTGATAACAATTGAATCGATATTTGAAGTGTGTTATACGTATACGTAATATTATGTTACTTCATCTTTTAAAATAGACTATGCAACTGTATAAATAATGATCTTGTAAATACCGTTTTTTTATTTGTTATAATCTCTATTAAACAAAAAAAGAAATTAAACAATTTAAGCTATAGGAAGTTATGGCTTGATAGGGGAGCTCCATTACATTACGTATACGTCACGTTAGCACGCCAAGGGTTAACGTTAACTCAAAAAATTGCCAGACCAGACAGCAACATGTTTCCGCTGAGCTTCGATCCGATCCGGCGTACATGAGATCATTTTTGACCTGTGTCCATGTGTTGTGTTTGAGTTAGCATCTTTATATGTGTGTGTGATATATGCAAAAACAAAACACGCGCTCTGCTCTCCATCTATTTTTCTCCGCAAAATTTATTCTCTCTCTCTCCGCTTTGTTGTTTTGTTTCTGTCGCCAAAAAGCGAGACCCAGGAGAAACAGCTAAAAACGTGCTATGATCGGTGGGTGGGTGCGAGGGAGAGAAAGAGACAAGTAGAGAGAGTGAGACAGGTACAGAGCTGGCGGCGGCATCAATTAGATTTGGCCTTTTATTTATATTATGCTATTTTATGCGTGTATTTTGCTTACGTGAGGTTATCATGCCTCGTTATTAGTCTCTGTAGTTCTGCTTGACCATATGGCGCGCCGTATCCATCAGATTCCCCAGATCCCCCCATTCAAAGGTGATTTATTTAGCGTCGTCGCCTTGATTTGATTACTTAAGCCAGTTCAGAGTTACGTTTCGTTGACGTTTAATGCAGTTGCTGTCAAAAGTAAAAAGCTTTATGTCTCGCCTGATGACATCATCAACGGAACGAACGGTCATCCTTGTGTGCTTCTCTTCTGTACTCTTCTCGCATTTGCATCATCCCATCTCTCTGTCTCTCTATCTCTCTCCCCAAGGTTATCGCTGAAAATCGTTAAGGCAGTCGCAAAAACAAATTAAGCCGAACTGAGCACATACTACTTGCATCATATTCCTCCACAGTATATGTACATGTATACATACACATATGTATGCACCCAGACGAAAAAGGAGTTTAAGGACACGTCGAAAGTGAAAACCAGTTTGACATTGAAATTTCGACTTTTTGCCTTGGGCTTTGCCTTTTATTTCTGTTCCGCCTGAGTGTGTGTGTGTTGGTGTTTGTTTTTGTGCCAGTTCTGAAAATCAATGCATGCAATTTTTGGAGGATTCTCTTACAAAGAGTATTAACACTTAGAGGATGCTATTGTTTCAAAAAGAAATTGTAAAGTGTACTTAAACTTTTGTAGCCTTCTCTAGATAAATTAGTAAATAGTAGTTTTCAAAATCCATTAAGTCGGTTATTTATGGGAAAACAAGCTTGTTTTTGATGTAACTACAGATCAGGTTCTATAAATTAGACTGTTAATTTTAGACATTTGTAACTAAAAAGTAGTTAAACCTGCCCGTATTTCTGGGAAATATATGTATGTGAAAAATATCATTTTGTTTTGAAATTATGTTTTTTTTTTTAAATAAATATTTTGATTATTTTATACTTAAAAGCAACCAAAAACTGATAAAGTTTGCTATATATATACTTTAATTGTAGATAATTCTTATACTCTCTCTTATCAATAATTGTTTATTTGAACAAAATTGTATATGGGATTTATTTTCAAGAACTTCGTTAAGGCTCCAAAGAGAGGCGAAAATCCGACCTCTGAGCAGAACTCTTCTGCCACTTTCCAGAGCATTTCATCTTCGGCTGACAGCCTCCTCCGCCCCGACTGTGCTCATTGTTGTTTGGCATTCCAATTCCATGCCGTGCTTTGTTTGCTCGAGTGATGCCCACTTCAGATGACTTAAGCCTCCATTAATGCGCCAAAAGTTCTCACTTCAGAATGCCGAATGCGGCCATTTTTATATGGTTGGTGGTGCGTGGGTGGGAAAAAAATACTTGGGATTCTGTCGAACCGCCTTGAAACTAAAACAGATATCGAATCCACCTGCCTGACTGCCTGCCATGCGGGGTCACAATCCGTGATTACGTGTTTCGCAGACACCCACGACTCGCTTGAGTTACTCACACGTAGAATTTGAATAATTTATGAATGATATGTTCATTCTCATTTCCGTTTCAGCAAAAAACTAATTGGAAATGCAGTACTCGAGCAGTTCGGAAAATTACTCATCCACGTCAAGGGACAACAAGCCCTCGAAATGGGGCAGGGTAAGACTTACTAAAACTCTCTTATCCTACCCTTATTAATTATTATAAATTATTTAGAGCGACAAGAACAACTATGCCTATAAGAAGTCCTCCTATCAATACTCAAGCTCTGGCGACAACAGTTTGTCCTATCAGAACAAGACCCCTGACCAGAACATCGATCAGTTAGATGCCTTGCTGGAGGATCTGAAGCAAGAGCGCCAGATCAGCACCAGAGATCGAGATCTATTACCCAGCAATGGCACATCCTATAGAACGCTGTGAGTTTTACAAATCAAATCCAAATTATTTATTTTTTAATGGAATTGTTTATGTTAAATCCTTTAGTGAACGCACTGATCCTTCGGGCACTGTGACAAGAACCACGCGTGTGGTTAAGACCACCAAACACTCGGGCTCTGGTGGCCAGCAGCCCTTCATCGACGATGTGGAGACCTTCAATCCCACCGATTACAGCACTCTGCAGTCCACGGCCAAGTATTCCAGCCTGAAGCGCGATGAATACCAGACCAAGGAGAAGCCCTATACGCTGGGTAAGTTTGTATAAAAAATTTAATTTCAATCCTTTATTTTTTATACAAAAATCCCTCTTCATTTCAGCCCACTCACCCGTCGGTGGTCAGTACGAGAGCAAGAAGATCTATGAGAGCAACCGCACCATTAACAACAACGTGGAGCTGCTGCCTGGAACCACCACTAGCACTATCCAGACTCTGAACAGCGGCACTACCATCGACAAGGAGCTGCAGGACATCGCCTTGAGCGATGGCATTTTGCCTGCTCCGGGCACTAAGGTGACCACCACTGTGCGGACCTACACCTACGAGATCCCGGCCACTGGACCTGGCAGCAACACTAGCACCATTAACCGCACTCACACCAACACGCTCAACAACTCGAATACGCTGAGCAGCAGCTACAAGCTCCACGAGAGCCACAACACCTCCAGCCAGAACTTCTCGCAGCTGTCGCCTATCCCGAATGCGCATCCGTTGCATGTGCCTCAGACTGTTGTCTACAACACGGAGAGCTACTCCACGCTGAACAAGCCCAATGATCGTCCCTTGGTCAGCAACCAGTCCTACGAGATCCGGGAGCACAAGGAGACCACCACACGTGGCGTGAGCCCACAGCCGCGTCAGTTGCCCCTGGGATCGGGTCCAGCGGGTACACCGCCCGGCAATCGTACCGTCATCTATAATATCCACAAGACGGATCATGTGAACACTATCAATGAGTTGCCGCCAACGCAGCAGCCACGCTATCCGCCGCACAGTCCGGCTCACAGTCCCAACTACGGCGGACCGCACAGCCCTCCATTGCAGCCGGGAGTGAATCGCTATTACTACAAGGAAACGGAGACATCAAATACGGTCAACAGCATCCATGGACCACCGAACGGTGTGGGACCCTATGAGCCTGGTCTGCCTCAATCCGCTCCGCTCAAGCAGCTGCCACCCAACAATGCGTATCCACAGTCGCCCAATGGAAATGGATATCCCCCAAATACATCCACGTACAGCTACAAATACTCCTCGACCACCAACACGAACAACCGACGTGGTCCGGACTATGGCTCACCATCGCCATTCCCCGTGGATGGTGTCGAATATCCGGTGAACGGCAATCCTCCACAGCGCGTGGATGATCTGATGCAGTCCTTCTCCACTGTAAGTACTTAAGAATGCTAATTTTTCTTAAATATATTAAGGTGAACTTAAATTTGAATGAGGAGATGCTGAAAGTTGTGATTTTAAGAAACGATTAAGTTTAGGAATGAGAAAAGTTCAAGATTATAAAGGTTTAATTCTGATTCTCTACAGTTTCAAAGCTCTAAGAGATTTTTGTTATAATATATAATGTGTTATTAAGTAATTAACACTTTAAATTAAACCCTAAGTAAATATAATCAAAATCAAAGTCTTTAATAGGCTTAATTTACTTGCTTCCAGTTATCTCAGAGATAGTAATGTTTGTAAACAAACCGGCACACTCCATAAAAGTTGTTGTCAATTTCCCACTGATAATGGGAATAAATAAAGCTAACTACTGATTTTTTAGCTAATAAAAGCTTTATGGTTGGCACAATAAAAAGTTTGATTTGGCTTTTCTAAGAACCCGCTTTTGATAAGTTAGTGAACGATAAGATCTTATCAGCGTAACGATATTGTTAGTTTATGTTGCTCCCCTATGAAGTTCACTTACCTCTTATCTTTGGCTATTGCAGACCACCGACCATGTGGATCGCGGGGATATCGAGACGCCGGTTCGTAAGCGTGAAATCGAAACCGCAGTGGCCTCGCCCAACCAGCAGCATGTGCCGTCGGTTAACAAGGCCGGCAAGGAGGTGTACTATCCCCCCGGACACGACACCATTGTGATGAAGCGCGAGGAGATGCATGCTGGCTCCGCTTCTGGGGTGAGTCTTGAGTCACCATATCCTTGAGGTATCCTTACTTATAAGTATCCTGTTTGCAGGGTCGCTGGGCCAAGGGCTCTGGAATGTACGAGTACGAGTCCGGCTCGAAGTCAAAGACGAAAACCAAGTCCGGTGGCGCCGTGGTGCCCGTGTGCCTGCCCCTCTGCTGTGCCATGCCCTGCTCCATCATGTAGAGAGATCATATCGTAACTTGTACATAGGTTTTCTAATAATCTAACGCTAAATCCTGCCCTGCTCTAATTGCTCTCTACTATACATGTCGTCTAACTTCTATTGGGTATTTGTTTAGCCTGCCAATTGGTTGCGTAAATTCTACAATTGTGTGTGTCTATATCTATATGTTACGTACGTTATTGTCTATGTATATAATTTGTGAAGCCCGCGTTGTTGTTTTTATACTTATTTTCCGGATCCGGTTTTGCAAATTTCTTTGCTCAAGCATTTACACGATGCCCAGTAAATATTCCCAGAAAAGTTACTCGATTGCCAATTTGATTTAACTGTAATGCCAAAACACTAATAAATGAGCCATGCGGAATCCAATTCCCCACGCCATTACCCCTACTATATATTATTTGTTTCGCCAGTGCCCCCGAAAACCCGACTAATCATATAAACCATATGTAAGCTGCGACTTAAAAGGCAAAGCAGTCCTTATGGAGCCATACATACTATCCTCTAATACACGTAGTAACCATAATAATAATAATAATAAAAAAAAACGAGATCTAACAAACGAAGAAGCAATGAACTCTTTGAATGGATGGTTATAGAAACAGCTCGACCTATTTGGTATAGTAAAAGTTCTTTATTTTGGTATAAATCGGTTTTGATCGAATAACAATTTGCATATCACAAAAGTAATATCTACATTTTCACCTTGAAGGAGTGTAGGTGTTAGGTATGTCTTTTTTTTCGAGAAGTCTGATCAAATTTGAAAACAAAATAAAAAACAAAGATAAACAAAATAACAAAGAAACGATAGTATAAATATATAATAAGTATCATTGAGCACTGTTGAGTAGTGGAACGTTAGGATAATTGCTACGGAGAAGAAGACGAGTTCTTATTCTGGTTTTCTGTTGAGTACGAATCGAAGCTAAATGATGGATTAAAAAGTATATATACTACGAGTATAGTTACTTGGACTTGCTACCATATTACACAATATGTGTGTCTATATATATATAGGGTAGGAGGGGCTGCCTCCTAATCCTGTTCTTCTATTTAAAAAGAGACTATGTTCGTGAAAGTAATGTTGTCCTTTGTACATACTGCATATTGCACATTCCTCTCTATGTATATATTGCACAGGTTAGCTCTTGCGCTCGGAGTTCTTTAGCTCAGCTAAATACCAAGTGAAAGTCGGGAACTCCTTGATGCTATAAATGGCATACTTGATCGAGTTAATGCCATCCTGTTCTATCTTGCTCATGCCATTCTGCAGGTTCTCATAGCTACGGGGAAGAGTATATAAGTTTGGGACTTGAAACCTCAGGGTCTCCAACTCACCGCTTGGGATTGGCCTTCTCCTTTTGATGCTTCAGCATCTTGTAGCGGGCTATGTTGACCGGATACCTTGATATGAATAGATTGGCATGCTTCAGCCGATTGGACATATCATCGTCCTCGCCGCCCCAGCCGAAAAATGAGTTGGAGAACCCATTCACCGCCTGAAAGTGCTCACGCGTCATGGCAGACACACCACCGAAAATGGATCGATAAGGCAACCTTCAATAAAAAAAAAAAAAAAAAAAACAACCAAATTATTATATGACCATCCTCCCATCTTATCTATGTTCCGTTGGGCTCACCTGAAATTCAGCGTATCTATCGCCACGGACATGTGCCGCGGCTGACGTGGACAATTGTACAGATTGCGATCGTCTAGTGGCAGCAAATCCACATCGTGGAATATAAAGCAATCCCACTGATACAGTTTTAAGGCCTCCAAGTAACCAATGTTCATCATGGCGGCCCGATTGAACGGCTTCCCGTTCGTTTGCTCCACAATAAAGATGCGATATGCGATGCGTTGGCGCATGAGGAACGGATGAATGTTGCGCAGGAAGACGGACAGATGGGCGTAACGATCGCGAAAGGGCACCACAATGGCCACATGATGTTGCGGATTGCAATTGTCAGGCTGGAAGGCGCCGCCAGGGCGCAGTAGAGGTCCCAGCTCGGCCTCGATTACATCCAATGATTCTAGAGTGGTGTTGGGAGTGACGGGTCCACCTGTGAGAGAGGATTAGCTTAGCTTAGCCTAAGTAGCAGCGTTAGGAGGATTCATGCTTACCATCGCGGGGATCGGGATCAGTGCAGTTGGCTAGGAGGAGGGCGGAAGTGGATTTCTGTCCCAACGTTGGCAGCGGCTTGTGCGTGCTCAGCGGGAAACGCGATAAGTCTTGTGGAATGGAAGTAAAGTTTGCAATCGCAATCACAGTCATTAAGGTGGAGTTGGGTGCGCCGTGCAGTCCCTGCTCCCGCTCCTTCTCCTGCTCCCTCTCCTTGGACAAGGCAAGCGGAGCGGCAGGCAGCCTGGCGGAGCCTTCTCCATTGCTGGCGTTCCCATAGATATGCGCATATTTGTGCACGCGCCGGATGCTGCCGAAAATAAAAAGTTAACACCTGCCTATCTTATCGTCATATTCCAATACTCACCTGAGCTTGCTGAGAGAGGTGCTGCTGGCTCCGTCGGTTCGGAAGCCCACAAAGTTAAGCACCAGCAACAAGCATATTGCGCCGGCCAAAATGCGTATGAGATTCGCCTTTGTGAACAGGAACATGGTCCACGAATTGCATCATACCTTTACCGTGCTTTCGGGTCAATTTCAGCTTCAAAATATACCATAGTATTAAATATACAATAAACGGTCACTGGAGGTGGGCGAGATGGGTGAGTAGTGAGGAGCGTTTTTGCGATATCTGATATCGATATATTTTATTTACCTTAAATAATTAGATATATTATTTTTAAAATTAAAACCAAAGGCATAGATTTAGCTCTTGATTAGCCCTTTAAATGGTGCATCTGTTTATTTATGTTTTTAAATTAATCTCCAAATTCAGCTCCGAACCTTTACAGCTGCAAAATAACGGGACCAGGAAAATTAGGGATGTCATTAAAATGTTTGCCGATAGTTAACCCAATTTGAAAAACTCATCTCTAAGGCGTACAAATATTTTATTTAATTAACAAATATTTAATTGTGTGAATTTAATAAGCTAAATCTGTGAATTGTTTGATAAAAAATAATAAATTCGCTTTGGTTTTTGTTTATCTCAGCTAAAAGAAATTACAAAAATTACACTTTCATAGTTCTCTCTGGTTTATTGCTCATTTCGGATCAGTTAAGTATCCCAAAAAACTAGCGAGTTAATGAGTGGCATTTGTAAATTGGGGAAAATACATGCCCCATGTCCTGGGAATGGGTCTTTGCTTTCTATCAAGAATAAAAACAAGTTACAAACACAACTGATGATTTATACTAATTGCAGTGCCATGCCTCCAACAATCAAAGCTATCCCGGCAATGGTAGACGCAGCCCCTCATTGTCCTTGATGTTGATCACTTTGAACTGGTTCTGGTAGGTGTACTCGATGCGTAGTATCTTCTCGTCGCCAATGCTTGGGTCATAGAAGCCGGGCAGGTCACTCTGTAAAAAATTTACACAGTAACACTCCGAAAATTGAGGAGAATCACACCGAAACGCACTTTTGAGGACTCGTACAGCTGCAGCGTTCCATCCTTGACCAGGCACTGTATGGGTATGGTGACGTCCAGCGACTGTTCCGGCTTGAACTGGTTGCTGCCATCCATCGTACAGCCGTAGACTGCTCGCGTCACAATTAGACCCGTCCGCTCCAGCTCCTCGGTCATAATCCGATTGTACGTTCTCTGCATCAGATGAACGGCAGCACTAGCCTCCTGTCGCTTGGCCGTCAGTCGCTGCTCATTTTGCCGCTTCGTCCGCTCCACCTCGATGCTTTTGCGCTCCGCCTCCATGGGATCCATTACAGTCTTCTTGATGAGGAACCACGCGATTACTGGTGTCACTGAGGCATAAAATACGGCAGCGGGCACTATTTCTTCGCTCAGGTGAATGGGGAACACGTACGATTGATTTGAACGCAGTATTCTGAGGGATAAGGCAGAGGTTTACTTTGATTTGCTTAGCTCCAGGATGCTAGAAGCTCTCACTTGAATCTAAGTATGACACCAGAAGGCACACCAATGGAGACCGTGGCCGTAACTGAGCTGTATTTGGATACCTTCTTCTCCACACCATACTCGCCCATGAAGCCGAAGGTTCCCACTCTGCAAAACAAATATGGATTAATACCCTGACCTTTACTCTGTTCCCAAGCCCCTACTTGGCAGCAAGCTTCAGTTTCATCTCGTTCTCCATTAGCTTGCGGGTGTAGGACAGTCCAAAGTATATATGCGGTGTTCCAATCACAAAGGACGAGCTCAGCGAGTACTCCTCTTTGGAGTGATCAATCTGCGTGGACATAGAGGACTGCGGCCCGGCATTCAGCGTCAAGCTGCCCACCGTGTGCTTGTCCAGCTGCACAGCCAGTGTGGAGAACACAGCCGGTATCACTCCCTGGTCCCGGAAGTTCAGGTTTGTGCCTCCGTTAAGAGTAAGCTTCTGGGTAAGAGTGCGGCCACCTGCAGAGAACGGAAATTTATCATATTAAAAATGCCTGAGATTGTAAAGTAACTGACAGTACCCTTGAGGCCCAACAGAAAGCCGTTTCCCGCTCCGGCGCACACCTCCAGCCAGCCCTTATTGAGCAGCCGTCGTCCGGCCACCATGAAACCACCGCTGCCATTGCCATTGGAGGAGTACAGGTTGCCGCTCATGATGATCATGTCCTTGCGGGTGATTGGCGCCTCAATGGACTGGGCAATGCTCATAGAGCCGATCTCCACGCGCGGCATCTCTGTATCGTCGTACGGCGCAAAGATCTCCGTGGCATTTACGTTGATGGTGATGTTGCCTCGGGGATTTGTCCTCTGCTGCAGACGCCGTTCGGCAGCCGCCTGCGCCAGCCGTTCGTACTCTTCCCTGATTTCTGCGGGCGTCTTTGTCCGGTGTACAATCTCCCAGCCCTCGGTACGCAGCCCCTTCTCGCCCACCGAGTCGTAGATGGCCCGCTGATGGGGATCCGAGAGCACCTCGTAGGCGCGCTTGGTGCGATTGAACATGAGCTCCGCTTTCGTCTTGCTCTCAGGGTCCAGGTGCTTGTCCGGATGGTAAATGCGGCTCTGTTTCCGGTACGCCGTATTGATTTGCTCCGCGGTGGCCTAAAAAGCGGAGGGGCAGTGGCATGAGCTGTGGAGCCTTATCTCCGGCTGTGGGTGACACTGCACTTACGTCCCGGGGCAAATTCAGAAATGTGTAGTAGTTCTCCTCCAGCTCAGCGTCCGATTCATCATGATCTGAGGCCATGGCGCTCTATTTGCTCCCTGGGATCTGCTACTACTGCTACTGCTCGGATTGGAAGAGGGACGGGAACGGAACCGGCTACGCACGGGCCTCACCGGCGTTTTATCTGTGAATTTGGGATTTCGAAATTTTTGGGTACTTTTACGCAATGATAAATTGATTGAATACATGTGTTGAATATGCCGATAGTTGACGATAGCTCCCAGTAGGGGTTTCTTGCCAGCTGCGGTCATACTGCGGCGAATAAGAAACTAGAGATGGGAGTCGGCAAAAAAGTGCAACTATCGGTTAAACTTTTAAAGTCTAATAAGAAATTTATTGTTTTAAATACATTTTAAAGTCTTCAATAAGAATTTGTTTGTTTTATTAATTTGATTTATTCAAGATTTTTTTTTTTTCAACTTAATATATATTTTACACAAACTTGTAAGGCTTCTTTTTCGTCATGTTTTTTCACATTAATAAAATTTCTTAAATTTTTATAAGAGGAATATGCGATCTAGTTACTTTTCATTGTTTAATCAAACCACATTGCCCTGCAATTCGTTTAAAATACTCAAAAAACATACAATTTACAACGCCCCTTCCCAATTGAAGGAGCTCCACTCCTGCACACAAGTTGGCAGCTCTAGAGCCAAGAACCCGCACCGCTGAACCGTCATCGCCTATCGATTACTTACCTTTCAGCTCGGGAAGAAACGTGCTCGTTCGCCGTTTTTCTGACGAAATTTTTGCTTTTAATTCGACAATTAGTCGCGTGAAATTTCAGAAGTAAAGATATCCGAAAATGCTGCGTGTGCCCAAGATTCTGCCCCGCATCGCCCGCCAGGCCGGCGTGGTGTCCTCGAACATAAACGGAGCTTCTAGCATATTCCGCGTGAGTATTCCGTCCGGCGGTGGCGGCGGCGACTATTATGTAAAGTGCGGCATGCCGCGGGAATGTCATGTTTTACCCGAATATTCCACGATGCACTGCCTCTTCTCTTGCAGACTCTGCCCGGTGCTTGCAACGGATTGTCGGGTCAAATGCGCTACAAGTAAGTGAACTTTATTCCCCGATTTCCCCAAATCCCCCATTTCCCCCCTCCGCTTATGTAAGCACTCGGTAAACATACAATTTCCAGTGGCCACTTTCATGTTGCATCATTAGTGAAGATTCTCAAAGAGAGCCTTGGTGATAATTGAAAGTATCCCTAACTATGGAAACGTGGCTCTTATCTCCACTTGTTGCCGGCTGCCTTATCGCGGCTCCCCATCCATATGCCTTCCTGTGTATAACCCATTCCCACCCCTTTTACAGGTCCGGCGAGGTCAAAGGTGCTGTTATCGGCATCGATCTTGGCACCACCAACTCCTGTTTGGCCGTTATGGAGGGCAAGCAGGCCAAGGTGATTGAGAATGCCGAGGGTGCCCGCACCACACCCTCCCATGTCGCTTTCACCAAGGAGGGCGAGCGCCTAGTGGGCATGCCCGCCAAGCGTCAGGCTGTTACCAACTCGGCCAACACCTTCTACGCCACAAAGCGTCTGATTGGCCGCCGCTTTGACGATCCGGAGGTGAAGAAGGACATCACTAATTTGTCCTACAAGGTTGTGAAGGCCTCCAATGGTGATGCCTGGGTCTCGGCCACCGACGGCAAAGTCTACTCGCCCTCCCAAATCGGTGCCTTCATTCTGATCAAGATGAAGGAGACTGCCGAGGCGTACTTGAACACCCCCGTGAAGAATGCTGTTGTTACTGTGCCCGCCTACTTCAATGACTCGCAGCGTCAGGCCACCAAGGACGCTGGACAGATTGCCGGCCTCAATGTGCTGCGTGTGATCAACGAGCCCACAGCCGCCGCTCTGGCCTATGGAATGGACAAGACGGAGGACAAAATGTGAGTAGTTTACAAGGATTTTCTTAGATAATTTCTTATAGATAAACTTATGTGTTGGCCATTAATTATCTTCATTGGCAACAGTTGGGGGAATTTTTTATGCCCGAATAAGTTTTCTAGATTGTTCTTTGAGTTTCTAACGATTTCTTTAAATGTTTGTGTGAAGACATTGACTCTTATCTATGAATTAACGTGGGGTACTATTGTCAAACAGCTCGAAGAAATGCATTACCATTACGAAAAGAATAAGTTTTTTTATTTTTAATGATTAACTTTAACTTTAATAACCTTAATTTTGCAGCATTGCCGTTTACGATTTGGGCGGCGGCACCTTCGATATTTCCATTCTGGAGATCCAAAAGGGCGTCTTCGAGGTCAAGTCCACCAACGGCGACACTCTGCTGGGCGGTGAGGACTTTGACAACACCATTGTCAACTTCTTGGTGTCGGAGTTCAAGAAGGACACCGGCATTGATATCCGCAAAGACAACATCGCCATGCAGCGACTGAAGGAAGCTGCCGAGAAGGCCAAGTGCGAGCTGTCGTCGTCTCAGCAGACGGACATCAATCTGCCCTATTTGACCATGGATGCCGCCGGTCCCCAGCACATGAACCTGAAGATGACCCGCTCCAAGCTCGAGAGCCTGGTCGGTGACCTGATCAAGCGCACCATTCAGCCCTGCCAGAAGGCTCTGTCCGATGCCGAGGTCGCCAAGTCGGAAATCGGTGAGGTTCTGTTGGTCGGTGGCATGACCCGTATGCCAAAGGTGCAGTCTACTGTGCAAGATCTGTTCGGTCGCCAGCCATCGCGCTCCGTCAACCCCGATGAGGCTGTGGCTGTCGGTGCTGCCGTCCAGGGTGGTGTGTTGGCCGGCGATGTCACCGATGTGCTCCTGCTCGACGTTACCCCGCTGTCGTTGGGTATCGAAACTCTCGGCGGAGTGTTCACCCGTTTGATTTCCCGCAACACCACGATTCCCACCAAGAAGTCGCAGGTGTTCTCTACTGCTAGCGATGGCCAGACCCAGGTGGAGATCAAGGTGCACCAGGGCGAGCGTGAGATGGCCACCGACAACAAGATGCTGGGCTCCTTCACACTGGTGGGTATTCCCCCAGCACCGCGCGGTGTCCCCCAGATCGAGGTTGTGTTCGATATCGATGCCAACGGTATTGTGCATGTGTCGGCCAAGGATAAGGGCACTGGAAAGGAGCAGCAGATTGTCATCCAGTCGAGCGGTGGCCTGAGCAAGGACGAGATCGAGAACATGATCAAGAAGGCCGAGGAGTATGCCTCCGCCGACAAGAAGAAGCGTGAGCTGATCGAGATCGTTAACCAGGGCGAGAGCATAGTCCACGACACTGAGACCAAGATGGAGGAGTTCAAGAGCCAGCTGCCTGCCGAGGAGGTAATATAAAACATATAATCCTTGGAGAAAATGTGCTAACTTTCGTATTTCATTGCAGTGCGAGAAGCTGAAGAAGGAGATTGCCGATCTGCGCACGTTGCTGGCCAACAAGGAGACCGCCGATCTGGAGGAGGTGAGGAAGGCCACCTCCCAGCTGCAGCAATCCTCCCTCAAGCTCTTCGAGATGGCCTACAAGAAGGTCAGTGTGCCATTTACAATTATTTTCTCGGTTTGTACTAACCTTTGTTCCGTTTCAGATGTCCGCTGAGCGCGAGAGCAGCGGTGCCAACAGCTCTTCCTCCTCTGACAGCAGCAGCGGCTCCAGTGACACTTCTGGCGAGGCCAAGAAGGAGGAGAAGAACTAAATTAGGCAACCATATAGTCATAGTTGTTGTTCCCTTAATTTAATGATAATCGCTTCTGGATTTCGATTAAGTTTTACGCTAAACAAACACACACAAACGTCATATTCCTTTCCCGAATCATCATGAAACAAGCACAGGCATTTACCCAAAATGTGTAGTAGCACGATTTATTCCCTTTCTGAATCATAAAAGACACAAAATCTGAAGCATTTCCTCATTTCCTACCTTTGGGTTAAATGCTTTCACCCGAGTGTTTGGTTTAGAAAGGTAATAAATCCAGCAGAGATGCGACCAGATCAAATCAGACAATGTGACTTCCAAGCAGAAAGAACAAGCCGTTTGAGGTAGCCATTGCACCATTCGAATGCATAAAGTTTTTATTGTTTATTATGCAATCGAGGGGCTATTCCTGCCTTATCTAGAGTGCTATGTGTTGTGTTCCCTGTAAGATTTTGCTTATTTTTACGTATATTCTAAACTAGTTATAGTTGTACAATAACAAGCGAGCACAGCACACAAGAAGATAACTCAGCTCACGGCGATCCAAGTGAACAGATGATCCGTTTGGAGGTCCTAATTTAAGCTAAATTGTATATGGGTTTCCAGTGGATAACCAACCGATTCGACTGGGTAATATGCAATTAAAATTAAACAAACAAATCGATGTAAATTAAAATAAAAACCAAACAAACATTTACATACAAAAATATCGAAAATATCTTTATTTCTTAGAATATTGAAGCACAGTTTCGATTTAAAATTCATTCATAAATTCCTCGAGATATTAAATACTTAAATATTCCTAAATTAACTAAAAACTATGGACTATTGTTCAGAATACTAGATAGTGTCATTGTTCGCAATTCACTAAGCTACATGATTGGCTAGATCTAGGCTAAGATGATGATGTGATGATGGGTCCTACATGGCTCCGCTCTGCAGCTTGTAGAGCGTGTAGTAGAGTCCGCGATTCGCGAGCAGTTGCTTGTGATCACCGGTTTCACACACGACTCCGTTCTCGAACACAAAGATCACGTCCGAGTGGACAATGGTGGACAGTCTGTGGGCTATGCTGATGGTGGTGCGACCCTCGGAGGCGGCATCGAGGGCATCTTGGACAACCTGTAAGGATTGCAAGGATGAATAAGTATTTTCAAAGGGAAGAAAAAGCTCTCTTCCCACTCACCTTTTCACTTTCAGCGTCCAAGGCGGAGGTGGCCTCGTCGAGCAGCATGATCTTGGGATTCCGGATGAGAGCTCGGGCAATGGCAACGCGCTGCTTCTGACCTCCGGACAGCTGGGCACCCTTTTCGCCCATTCTTGTGTCATAGCCCTAAAAAGAGAAAATTCCAATTATGAAAAATCCGACCTAAAAAATCTCACATAAGAAACTCACCAGTGGCAGGTTAGCGATGAATTCATGGATATTTGACTTTTTGCAGGCGGTGATGATCTCCTGATCGGTCACAGTCCTCGAGTTGTCGCCATAGGCTATGTTCTCCCTGATGGTGCGATCGAAGAGGATGGGTTCCTGGGATACAATGCCCAGCTGGTTGCGAAGATTTCTCATCGTAACGTCGCGTATATCGCGCTCATCGATAAGAGTTGCACCCTCGTCCACGTCGTAGAAACGCTGTATGAGCTGAATGCAAGTGGACTTGCCACAACCCGAAGGACCAACCAGCGCCACCTTCTGGCCCTTGGCCACGGCCAGACTGAGGCCCTTGAGCACCTGCATCTCGTGACGCGTGGGATAGCTGAACTCAACCTTGTCGTAACGGACATTACCCTCGCAGTGCCACGGCGCCGGGGACACTCCAGGCCTATCCACGACCTTCGGCTGGCGACGCAGAAACGTGAAGATTGTCTTGGCCGCCGACACACCCTTCTGCATGTTGGGAGCAAAGGCCAAGGCGTTGGCAATGGAAGCAGTGCCCATGATCAAAGCTTGAGATACCCTGGAAAAGTAACATTTGTTAGGGGTTCCCTTTCTTTGGATTCTTCTAATCCCTCCACTTACTTGAAGACATCTCCGAACTCGATTCCACGGTTGATCACACACCATGTTCCGTAGTACATGCAGGCGGCATAGGCGAAGAACATCAGGGAACGAGCCAGACCATACACCAATCCACGGAAGTGAGTGTTCTTCTTGGATATCTGCAAGGAGAAGAGTGGTTATTCTTTGTGCTCTCCCTCTCTACACTTCTTAATAGATAAATGGGTGGTTATAAAGATAAGCTAACCCCCTTTTGTCTTGACCTACCTCAACAGCTGGAATCAGCATGCCAATGTAGGTCTGATGGAACATTTCCTCGCGACCCAGAGACACAACAGTGCGAATGTTTGAAACCACCTCGACGGCCAACTTTGTGGAGTTCTCCATTGTCTTGGCCGAGCCCATGTTCTCCTTGGCCATCAGGGTTCTCTGCATGTAGAAGGCAATGAGGATGAATGGGGTGAAGGCCAGAGCCACGAGACCCAGACTCCACTCGTAGTACATGGACAGACCGATGCCCAAGAGGAGAGTAGAGATCGATTGGATGATGGTTCCAATGCGCTGACCAGTGGCCTAAAGATGGAACAAAAAAGAGAGTTTAATAAAGAAAGGTTACCACCAGAACTCTCTGATGGACTCACCCCCTGAACGGCAGCCGCATCTCCGGAGAGACGGGCGCAGAGGCTTCCCGTTCCATTGGCCTTGTCATCAAACCAAGCAACCTCCTGGCGCAGCATAGTCTCAAACATGAGTCCTCGGATGCGTTCCGTTAGTCGCTCGCCAGCGATTCCAAAGAAGTAGATCTGCAGGAAGGTGGCAAAGCCCACGACAATACCGGCGATCAGGAAGTACAAGCTGTACTCGTTGGTGTTGTCGCGCACATATTCATCGTTATCCTTCACGGACAGGACCTGGAGAATGCTGCCGAAAAGCACGGCAAAGATGGGCATGGCACAGCCCATGATCACGGAGGAGATACAGCCCACGGTAATCTGGAACCACTCCGGCTTATTCATCTTCATAACTTCGGCCATGGGCTTGACTTCGTTGGGATCCTTGACCTTCTTCTTTTTCTTATCCTTCTTCGTTGATGTCTCCACCTCTTCCTCATCTTCGTCGTGAATGACCTTAATTTCCTCTTCATCTTCGTCCTTGATGTCAAAGTTCTTGTAGATATCACCAGTGGGACTTAGGACAGAGCCGTCATCGTCACCCAGTTGTGTGGTCACCAGATTGTAGTAATGATCCTTCCGTTCCATAAGCTCTTGATGGGTTCCACTCTCCACCACCTCTCCCTTATTAATCACCACAATCCTGTCTGCCCGACGGACAGTGGACAAGCGGTGAGCCACAATAATTGTGGTCCGGCCAGCACTGACCTTCTCCAGAGCGGCCTGTACCTTGGCCTCACTAGCTGTATCAAGGGCGGAGGTAGCTTCATCCAGGAGCAAGATCTCGGGGTCACGGATCAGGGCGCGAGCGATAGCAATGCGCTGCTTCTGACCTCCAGACAACTGGGCTCCTCGCTCTCCCACCAGGGTATCGTATCCCTTGGGCAGCTTCTTGATAAATATAGCTGCATTAGCAGCGGCAGCAGCGGCCTCGATCTCCTCCCGGGTGGCATCTTCCCGACCGTATCGGATATTCTCGTAAATGGAGGTGCCGAAGAGCACTGGCTCCTGACCCACCACACCGATCCTCGATCGCAGCCAGTTGATATCGATGTCCTTCAGATCAGAACCATTAAAGTAGAGACTGCCGCCTTGAGGATCGTAAAACCGCTGGATTAACTGGATGCAAGTGGACTTGCCACAGCCGGATGGGCCCACCAAGGCCACCGTCTGTCCTCGGTGGATCTTCAGGTTCAATCTATTCAGAATGGGAATCTCCGGCCGCGTGGGATACTGGAACTCCACGTCCTTGAACTCAATGGTCGTAAGGGGCTGATTCAAGTTTTTACCCTGAGCGTCGATCGGATTGATGGTGGGTATCTGTTCGATGATGTGAAAGACCTTCGCGCAAGCGCCCTTCGCAATGCCAAAGGCCTCGATGTAAGGCGCCGCCATTCCGATATTCATGGAGCCCATCATGACCGAGAAGAAGACGGTGATCATGGTACCAGCATCGTAGTTTTCATAATAAGTGTCATGATAGCCCTTGATCACCAGACCCACTCCGTACCAGAAGGCCAATGCATAAGAAGCGTAGATGAAGAACCAGAGCAGACCGAAGCCGATTCCGGAAAACATGTTCCTCTTGATATTAAGCAACTTGGCAGCAACCACGCGTTCTTTGTAAGCGGCTGCTTCATTGGCTTCACCCTCGAAGGCTTTCACGGTTCGGATACCGGAGAGTGCACCCTCGGCCACTACAGCGGCGCCGGCATACATGCTCACCTCCTTCTTGGCCAGACGGGAAGTAGCCACTGAGACCAGGCCCATGGCGATGAAGGTCAGTGGAAGACTGGTTAAACACACCAGCGATAATTGCCAGCCCTTGACGAAGGCCAAGACCAGAGATCCCACGAAGGATACAAAGTAGTGGACAAACATCACCACCTTTTCAGCCAGGCCATCCTCCATCTTGGAGAGATCTCTGCAAGGGGAGACAGATTTAGATTAGAGTAAAGGTAATGTATAATCTCTGGGGAAGATCTTTCTTTAAGATGGAGATTTGAAGGATTTTATTTAAAAGTTATATAGCTAGTTTAGAGCTCTTTTAAGGTTCATATGAACCCCGGAGATAACCTTTCTAATGATTTGTAAATCAAAATGTAGATAAGTCAGCAGACAAACCATTTTTTGATACCGCAAAGTGATTATAATTTTCCCCGAATAGTGACCAAATATGTGATTGATAAGGCGTTTAGAGTGACTTACTCATTCATTCGGCTGGCCACTTCACCGCTCTGGTTGAAGTCATACCACTTCATGTCTTGATGCAAAATGGAGCGAAAGAACTTTGAGCGTATGGTCAGGATCTGGGAGTGGGCGGCGTAGTTGAAGCAGGTGATCGATAGATAGGAGCACACCAGCATAACGATGCCAATGTATGTGTTTTGCAGGGAGAATTGCTGGACTTTGTCCAGAAGTAAATTGCCCGCATCATCGTCGGCGCGGTAGGTCTTTCCTTGAACAAGATCACCCAAGTCAATCATGTCCTGTAATACGAAAAGGATTTAATGTTTTAAAGAAAGATCTTTCAAGAGATAAATTCAACTCACATTGGCCAGATTGCCAAAGATCAAACTGTTGGCAGGAGTTGTGAGACCGGTGGCCACGGCAGCCAGCAATCCGATTGCGTAGAGCATGCGATCCTTTTTGGTGGCATAGCGGAACATCTGGAAGTAGCCCACTTGTTTGATATCCTCCTGGTACTTGAAGCCCTCCTCTTCCTCCTCCTCATTTGCGTCGTCATGCTTGGACTTCTTTTTCGACTTGTTGGGCTCACTGCAATGGTAATAATAATAAAGGATGGCAATCATAGATGGTTATCAGTCGTTTCTATTGACGCCATAACCCTGAACCCATACCAGGCGCCGCGCGCGATTCGCGAATCACCAATCGTGCACAACCTCTTTATCTACCACCCATGACAATGGGCAAGGTTCCGAGTGGTTTCAAACAGCCAATAGCTCTGTGACCAAACTTCGGGTTTACTATCTTTGGGGCGATATGTGTGTGCATATGTATATAGTACTAGGCTCGAGCTCCCACTCGTGGAATCTGATTACGCCGTGGGTTGGCATTCACTCTTTCACTCTGTCTCTAGTCAACATTTATTGCATTAGCAATCAATGAATGATAAACAAATAACTTTGCTGATTAAAGCGACTATATAGTCACACTTATTTATGGGCAATCTAATAAGGAAAATTTAGGTACTTAAAAGGGTTTTCAATTAAATTTAGTTAGGATAGTTTTTAGGATTGATCTATTAGATGGTCAGGAGTGTTTAATTACACAAAAGCATTATATTTCTTTGGATAAAACCTAATCTATTCTTTCATCAAGGACTTAAGTCTTAGGTGACCCCTAAAACAACACCCTAAACGTATTTATGTAGCTTTAAATGATTCACAACTTTTTTTGAAGATAGTCAAACTTTAAATAAAATTCAACACTTGAATAATTAATTTATTTCCCCTTTTTAAAAGTCACTTGCACTGTATCCACAAAGTCAGTATTACCCCATCGATAGGGTATTTAAGAATTAATATACGCAATGTACATTGATTAACCATTATACATATAATTAGCAATGTCATCGTTGGAGAGCATTTTTGGCAAAAGGTGAAAAACTTGAATGGAATTCGAAATACAGTCAGCGTACTCAACGGAAACATGTCAATTAATTATAAAACTAGATGTAATCTCTTAAGTAGAGATTAGTTTAGCACAATTTAATCAATTAAAAGGCCATTAAAAGAGGTATAGGCCTGTGATTATTAAGCCTTCCTGATTTCACTAATTTCACAGTAAACACTGGAACACTTTGCAGTACACTCAATGTTCTTAGGATATCCTTTTGAACTTTAAAATTATTAATTATTTCATAATCACTTATAGAAAACTCACAAGCTCTTTCGATCCCGGTCCTCAAGCTGGTTGCCCAGGACAATGTTTGTCTTGTACTGGGATCGCGAATTTTCATCGTCCTTGACGACGTGGCCGTTCGTGCCGGTCATCGTACACACTAGTTAATCGAAGGTCAGGACACTATAACTATATCTATCAGCAGACTATATCGCGTAGTGGCTGGATAGAATCACATGGGCCGAAAAAAAGAGACCTGCAGGCAGCAGCGACTAAAAAAGACTATTAGAATATGGCCGCTACGCATGGGTTTATATTCCAATGGCTGCCCGGCGAGAGTGGAGCCTTATCAGCTGATAATGCGAATGTTTATCAATATATATTGAGCGGAGGTATAAAATTCTTAAGACTAATGGTGAGTTTGGTCTGCTGATGAAATTCCTTCAGGCCAGATGGAAAATATACGAAAACGGATGCACGTGAAGCGGAATCTGACGAAACCGATTATAATGTTATGACTGAAAACGTGCTGTGTTAGCCCCGATGGGATATTTAAGGGGTTATTTAAAATACAATAGTCCTCAAGGCAAAAAGCTTTGCCATAGCTTTTTTTCAGTACCCCTAGGTCAGTGACTTTCAAAAAGTAACGTAATTAGTGGGATTTTCCTTTTAAAAATGATGATAGTCTAGCAATGAGGTATTGAGACCTTGGACATTAGATCAATCAGTGATTAAGAATTTGACTTAAGATTTTGGGGCCAAGGGACAACTAATATCATTTTGTATAAGGTTATAAATTGGCACTATGCCTTGACATAGATAAATGAACAGACTTTGCCATAATTCTGGTCTTTAGATAAAAGTAAAGTCATCATTATCAGACAGCCTGGATATTAAGTAAATGCTAACAACAAAAGATTGCATCATGCATAATGCAATCGCAATCAATGGGTTTTTACTGATTGACTTTATATAGTTTTGAATTCCTTCACCTTTAGGGCTGTTTGGAAATAATACCCTTATTTAGCTTTAGCCATTTTATAAAGTCACGCTCGGTACGCACACACCAGCCCGTATAATATCTTATCCTTATCACCATGGGGACTGTCAGCACGGTTCTTACTCACTGGCGGGAATATAAATACGGAATATACATATAGATCTAATGGGCCAGCAACTGATGACGTTGGACCCGTGACTGATGACATGACTGGACAATTTGTAGGCCATTTATCAACATTTGAATAACAATTGGCGGGATCCAGTTAAGGCAATTTATTGGTAATTTCAATACAGGCTTATGATTACTTAGGAGATCCTAGTGACCATGCGCAGGGCATCGCGGTTAATCTTGGCCTGCTTGAGCATGTGACCCTCGACAAAGATGTCCGACTCGTACTGCAGATAGTTGACGCACTTGTCCACATAGAAAAGGGACTCCTCCAGGCGGTCCTTGGGCGACAGGCTCGTTTCCAGGGCCACGCGACGTGTCTGCTCGGCAATAGCCGAGTGCAGCTCGAAGCAAAGCGTGCCGAGCATGCGAACTTCACCTGTGGAACATATAAAAAAAACGAATACAGTCAAACAGGCACTTGAGATAACACGGCGTATACTTGATTATCGACAATAACACACTTACACGGCGCTATTATCTCGTACAACTCGATGAGCTCGCGAGCAAATTGTAGTTTCAATAGAAGACGGTCGTCTGGGATCACCATTAGCTCTTGCTGATCCTTGGCCAGTAGTTGGACCAGCAGGATCTTGATCTCACTCATGTGGTAATGCTGCGGCGGCAGCCACTTTTCATAGTGCTTGAGGTATCTGTGAAGTTAAGGAGACAAAAAGGAGATTTATTTTTGGATTTTATGGAAGATCTATTAACATGCGTTTTTCCCCCCAAATTATTACACTTAAAATTAAATTTAAATTGCAAATACACTCACTTTAAACCACTTTCAACATTCTTTTCCATGCTGTGGATATCCTGGCCAGCTCGCTCCAAAATGCGCTCCACATAGTGCTTCTGCACCTGCTTGTGGCACTCACGGCAGCTGCAAAAGATTAGGGAAATCTTTCAAGATCATAAAACTTTATAAATAAAACACAAAAACCCACCGCCAACTGCCGTTCCAGTCATCATCCTTGATGGGCAGCATTAGACCACCACACTTGCGATCCTCGCACTTGATGGCACTGTAAAGGGTGTCCAGCTCGGTCACATCCACACATCTCACGCAAGCGCACTTGAAGAGCTTCGTCTGCATCAGATGGCGCTGGCGATCGGCAGTGCCCCACACTGCATCCGAATAGCAAATGCTAAGGTGAGCATTCTTCTTGATCTCTCGCGGTGCCCACAGGATGCAGTGACCGTTTTTGTTGAAGCTCTTGGCCAGATTGGGTAGGCAGGAGTTCTCCACAAAGGAGGCAGTGTAAAAGACAGCCACATGAGGTGGATCTGATATGGGCACTTCGTGGCCATTGATCTGCAGGGCACCTACAGCTCGCATGATCTCCTCCTCGCTGAATTTCTGGGTCTTGAAGAATCTGAAGGAAATAAGAAATGTGATTATTTAGTTTGCCAGATGTTATATGACTTATGAAAGCATTTATGAATATATTTTGTTAATTTTCTTTAATTGATTATTTAACTTTCCAAATTTCGTATATCTTATCTAAGGATTTATTAATAGATTTATAAATTTTGTTTAATTTCGATAAGGTTTAATGGGTTTTATGTGTAACATGAAGTCTGCAATCCAGCTTTCTTTAGCTTTGAAAAAGCTTTCTTAATGATGAATTAGTTTTCTTGATGAAATTCTAAAAAGGTTTAAAATAAAAAAAGCTTTATAAAGGGTCTTAAAGTTCAATCATTCAAATTTTCTATTTGAATTGATAGTAATTATACTAATTTGTTTTGTTTGATTATTCAATTTGTTGATATTTCATTGTTTATAGATAACCATTTGTAAGATAGTAATCTAAAATTATTTATATACCTCTAGGAGTTATGGTAACAAGCTTATGGAATACCTTTCAAGATAAGATAAGATTGCTTACATTACGCTTTACACATTGCTCTTTCCATAAATGTGTAAGAAATGCCAATTATCTGTTGCATATTTACTGTATTTTAAGTAAATGATATCTTCGATCTTGGGATTTAAACATTTTATCCCTTTAACACAACTCTTACCATTATTATTCCCTCCCAACTAATACCTACTTTGGTATAAACTGCCCGATGCTGGTCAGATCCGCCTTCCATTGATTGGAGCCCCTTCTGGTGGACTCCAGCGACTCCAGCTCCTGGAACTTGCTTGCCTTCTCCGGACTCGTCTCGCCAATAAGCAGACATCGCACGGTGCTCAGGCAAGTGTAGAGCGGATGAGGCCCATTGAACTCAGTCACATTGACCTTGTCACCCCGATCCTTGGTCAGGCCGCACTCGGCCTTGTGCTCATCCAGGGACTTGCACTCCGGGCCGCACAATGGCCAGCCGCACTCCGAGCAGTCAATGTGATCATCTGCCTCGATGCTGTTGAGACAGCCCAGGCAAACGGGTGCCGAAATCTGAGAAGGTCCACGCATCAGAGGAGCCTCCTTTAGGATGATCTCGTACGGTTTGATGGTGCGTGTGGCCACCAGATGCCGGCCCAGCTGTTCATTGTGGGCGATCTGCAGGCGGGGTGGGTTGAGGTTATGTTGGGTCATCGCTCGGATATATGGGAACGCACCTTGAATGGATGGCAGCTGGGCTTGTGCGTTTTCCAGTCCTGCTTCTGATGCTGGACGCTGCAGTAGGACACCAGGTTGCAGTTGGAGCACTTGTTCTTTGTGGGCTCTTGGCACACATGGCAGGGATTCATCTCGGCGGAGGCTGCGGCACGGCACACAATCAATAATACCGAAAAAAATAAAGAGGTGGTTTTCGTTTAGCCAGAGAGAGAGTCTCGCTAGTCGCTAGATGTGCTTGCATCCACCTCCGCAAACTCTTTGAACTGGGCCAGTGGCGGAAGAGCAGCATACAACCGACATTTGCTCTGCTCAGCTGCCGTACTCTGGCTTCTTCGGCTCTCTATAAATAGCAGCCGCCGTCGTCGTTGTCGGCGGCGTAGCGGAGTGGACCAATGCGATGCCTCCGTAATGAAATTAAACTAGGGATTGATTTTTCACTTTCTGACCATGCTCTCTACGATTTATTCTCTATGTTTACACCAACTTAAATCACACTCCCACATATATATATTTATTATATACTATATATATACAAAGGTCGGTCCTGGCACAGGAGCCAGGGCAAACGTAAACTGGTAGGGCGCCGGGACTTAGGGGAATGGCAATACGATTAATTTATAAATACATTTTTTTTTTATATAGCTTAGATAGCCTCCAGCCTCCAACCCAACCAAAAACAAACACATTGGGGTATTAAACTAATAACGCTTTCGTTTACGCCTAAACTTGGTTTTCGTGGGCCTGCGAATCGGCGACTTGCCAGGGACTACACCACCTTGATCCGCTGGCTGATCCATCGATCAAATGTCAGTCTCGTCGCTCGGCCCATTCGCCTCGCGCAGTGTCACGAACTTTTGCAGCGTCACGTTCTCCTTGTTGTTAGTGGTTGCGTTGCTGCCGCTTCTGGTGCCGTTCCGCAGCAGCTTGTTGCCCTTTTCGTGAACTCCGTTCACCTGGAAATTGTCGCTTTGGAATGGTATCGAAATGGGTAAGCTGTATTCGCTCGGAAATGCATTAGTTCGCTCCTTGCTCTTGTCCTTGTCCTTATCCTTATCCTTGTCTCTGCTGTGCAGCTCGCCCGCTGGCGGATCGGCTTGTGTGTTGGCATTGTAGTTTCCTGGATAGAATAAAAGGAAAATAAAATAAAATAAATGTTTTTTAGTGCCAGGATTAAACTCACCTTTGGCCCCAAACATCTCCGCATGCTGCTTGTAGGCGCTGCGATTCCGCTTGCCCTTCTTGCGCATATTTAAACGCATGGCCGAGACCTTCACTCTCGCCCTGTTGCGCTTTGACTTTGGACTACTTGGCTGCAGATCCGACTCCGCCTCCTCGGACTGACGCTTGGCCGTCGGACTTCGGCTGGAACTGAGACTCGGACTCGGCGTATTGCGTCGCCCCAAGTTGCTTTCGGTGTCGGAATGATTGTGCTGGTAGTCAAGAGTCTCAACTACATCCTGCTCCGGCATGACAACGTTCTCCTCTCGCTCCTCCTGATGCTCCTCGTCATCGTTGCACTCCTGATCGTCCTGATCGATGATTTCAATCTCGCCGGCATCATCTTCGTCGTCGGAGAGAGCCTGGCGCAGCATGATTTCCGGTCCGCCACCGTATATATTATGCAGGAATCGCCACAAACGGGCATTGAGTTGGGCATAGTCCGAGCCCAATCGAACGCAGCTGACGGCGGCGGTCATAGAGCCATTTAGCGATCCATTATCCATGGGAGCAGCAATGCCCTCGTTGGCTATCGGTCCCGGCTCCTTGTGGGTCTTGCCGCGCGAGAACTGCTGCCAGGAGCGCAGCCAGGGCATGGCAATGGCATAGATGGCCGTCGAATCGAACTCGTTTTGCAGGCCATTGTACCTTGTGAACTCGTTCAGCTCGTACTGCTGACGCCGCGACAGTGTCTCTGCCGCCCGCTTGCATATCTCGCACTCAAACATGATGTTCACCGCCGGTCCGCCGCCAAATGTTCGATAGAGATAGTCCCACAGCGGCTGCGAAATGGGCACCGCTATTTGGCTGATCAAGTCCGCCTTGGAATGTAGAATACCGCCGTGGGGGCAGAGCATCTCCTGGTTGTTGATCGGCCCCGGCTCCGAGAAGGTTGCTAGTCGCGACAGCCACTCTCGGGTCACATAAAACTGGATGTCCGAGTCGCACAGCGGATGCGTGGTGGACAAACTGATCGCCGTCTCCCGTATAAGCTTCATCTGGGGGTTGTGCTTCTGGTAGAAGAGCACATATGCCTGGCAGGTCTGCACCGTCTCTGGGCTCACTTCCGTCACGTATTGATCATCGAACTCATACCATCGCCCGTTGAGTGCGTTGCGGGCATAGCAGGTATAGTGGCCACCGCCCACAGTGCCATGGTGACAGATTACCGACGAGAGGTTGTATATGGGCACCTGGCTGCGGCAATCCTTGTGGATGTACGGTCGCATATCGAAGCCCTCCAACGGGAAGTAGACATCCGACGAGATTTTCGTGCTGTAGGATAGGTCATGACGGAAGCGCTTCAAATGTATGCACAACACCTCTGGCAGGGTGAGCACTTTGGAGAACTTGATGCCTGTGCGGAGCTTGTTACAGCGCTCGCAGCTAAGAGGAAATGGGTATGTGTGTATTCAGTTCATCCATCAAGTAACACTTTCTCTTACCTGTACATATTATCCCCCTTGAGCTCGTCGGCACTAAAGAAGCTGGCCATGCAATCGTAGAGCGTCACTGAGGGTCCATAAATCCACGAGCGTAGCACATTCCACATCCAGGCCAGCCAGCCTTCGTTGGCCCTTGCGGACGTCTCGGCGGCATTCAGGCTCTGCACACTCAGGCTGTGCGTCTGGTGGAGAACGTTGAGAAAGTCGCGGTTAGGAATGGGCAGCGATAGGTCCTGGAATGTCTCCTCACGCGTGGACACCCGATCGCAGGTGAGGCATTGTACAGAGGATAAGAGCTTCCCGTCGAATACGTCGCTAATGATGGAGCGTGCCGCCTCTACTGGCTTTTGCTCTGCGGTGGATCCATTTGGCTGTTGCAGCTGCACTGGGTGGGTTTCCGGAATGTTGCCGCTGGAGCCGTTTGTTCGACGCGGCGTCACAAAGTACTCTGTCTTGAGCAGCACCTCCGCCGAGCGCTCCGACATACTGCTCTCGCAGGTGTCGTACTCGCTCTCGGAAGTCGCTGGCGTTAAGGAGGGAGGAACCGCCTCATCTTCGTTGTCGTCATCCGTCTCGCTGGGCGGCTGCTGTTGCTGGGACTGCAATTGTGACTGGTTTTGGGGCTGTGGCAGCATGGATACCTGCTCTGTGAGCTCCTCATGCAGCTGGTCCATAAAGCAGCGGAGAAACTCCTGGGTGTCGTGTTGCTGGTAACCCCTGAACATGGGATGCACCGACCGAATGCCGTACAAAATGCCACGCGGAGCAACGGCCTCTGCAAAATCGCAAACTTTAGTAGGTTTTCCAGCTATCAACAGGAGGATGATGCAGAACCTTTGTTTCCGTCGACTTCCTGCCAAATATCCTGCATAAGGCGGCGATAGCTCTTCGCCAGGCCAGCGGGCTTGCAGCGACGGACGCTCTGGTCGGCAATGTACTCCACCAACTCGCTGCAGTTGATGAAGTAATGCGTCATGGGTGGCAGATTGCTCAGCGCCTGCAGCGCCGAGTTCATGTAGCAGGTGTTGGCAATGTTCTGGAGGCCCACGCGACCCGTGCCTGGGCCTGGGCCCAAGACCTTTGCATCCTCCTCGCTCTCCTCCTTTCTGGCCAGCGAGTTCAGCGATCCGCTAAAGACTTGGTCGTGGCAACGACTGCCTCGCGAGTCGGTCATCGCACGGCCATTCGTTAGCTGTCACGGAGAAAATCGAAAGTCATGTAATAGGCGAGTCCAAAACAATGCAAACGAAAGGGACAGTTCCCCCGGAGCGGAGCACCACTCCGCATCTCACCTTGTGCCCCAGATCGCAGTCAGCGGCGCGGCTGTGTGGGTCTACATGTGGACTGTGCTGATGTGGGCTGGGACTCACACTCATTATATCTCCGAGCTCGGCGTGGTTCCTTTTTATTGATATTTTTATAAAGAATTTTGATTTGGGATGAGTGCCTTGGAAATGTTGAGTGCCCGACGCTCTATCCAGCCAGAATACCGTACCGTCTCGCAGAAGAGGCCGGCAAAATAACGCGTTATCTGCATGCCTCCAGCTGGTCACACTCACCAGGACTCCTATGTACGGAAATATGTTTCCGCTTAACCCTGTGCTTTCCATGGATTTCCGTATTTTACACGTTTTTGCCTATGCAAAAGGTGTTTTCTTGCAAAATATGTGCAAAATGTTTGGAGTTGTAAAACCGTATAAGAAAGCCCGTGCTGCCCTGTATAGGAAAGCCTGTGCTGCCAGACTGTTGACACAACGGCTACTCTATTTTCCTATTTCTCTAGTTTTAAAATTTTTGACTCCGCCTAACTTCGATATGTTAAAAAATCAAGCTAGTCCCGAATAATATCAGTAAATTCCTCATTAAATCAATTTAAATAGAAACCATTCAAATGTGCCGCAATAACAACAGTGTGGCTGTGCATTCTTAAACGAAAATCCCAAAACGTTCCAATCGATGCGTTTGCATTGACGAGCCTTCCCTACTTCGGCCACACTAATTAAAATTCAGAAAAAAAAAACGCAGAAAATAGTCGAAAATGTGTATACAAAAACTTTAAGTAAGCATTTTCATGTGTGATAAGGGCCAAGTATTAAGTGAGAGACGTTCGAGCGGCCAGTGAGAGGCCAGGTTTAGTCGCTCCCTTCGCGGAATGGGACGCGCATCGTAGTTTTCCCTTCATCGGCTGGCGCTGGCGGAGATTCCCTGCAAACGGTAACAGCCCTGCCTTTCCGCATCCCCTTGTGTAATAACAGCCCTGTACTTGACCTACTCCTGCCCGAAAAACTTTAAATATTAAAAATAAGGACACCGAGTGAATCACTTATGGGAAGCTAACCGAAAACTTTCTCGATGGTTCAAGTGGACTTGCCGCTCCCCTCGCCATTCAGGGCAGCACCTATTACATCAAAACCCCGTTCATATAGCAGCACTCAAAACCCGAATGCCCAGCAGTTTGCCCGCATTAAACACTATAATTATAGTTTTAGCTAATCGCGGATAGTTGTGCCGCAACACGCAGCCCGTCGTTGGAAGAGTGCCAAGGAGTGTCATCATGACGCTGGAGACGCAGCCCGTTGGCGGGGTGAGTGACGGCAAGATCGCGGGGCTCTATGACCTGGAGGAAACGCTCGGATCCGGCCACTTTGCCGTGGTCAAGCTGGCACGGCACGTCTTCACCGGTGCCAAGGTGGCGGTTAAAGTGGTGGACAAGACCAAGCTGGACGAGGTGTCCAAGGCGCATTTGTTCCAGGAAGTGAGGTAAGTAAGGATTGTTTATGATCTTTTAAAACAGAGTTAATTAAGGTTGTTCCAAATCTTCCCTCCTCCTTCCCAGATGCATGAAGCTGGTGCAGCATCCGAATGTCGTGCGACTGTACGAGGTTATTGACACGCAGACCAAGCTGTACCTGGTGCTGGAGCTGGGCGACGGCGGGGATCTGTACGATTATATAATGAAGCACGACGCCGGGCTGAGCGAGGATCTGGCTCGCAAATACTTTCGCCAAATCCTACGTGCTATCACGTACTGCCATCAGCTGCACGTGGTTCACAGGTGAGAGAGAGCGTGCTCCAGCTGATAATGCGTCGCCGTGCTGTGCGCCAATCACTGATTTACGTAACCTGTTGTTTTCAATCCAATCCGAACTCTCACACATTTACAGGGACCTGAAGCCGGAGAATGTGGTGTTTTTCGAAAAGCTGGGCCTGGTCAAGCTCACCGACTTTGGGTTCAGCAACAAGTTTTCTCCGGGACAAAAACTGGAGACGTTTTGCGGCAGCCTGGCCTACTCGGCCCCGGAGATACTGCTGGGCGATTCCTACGATGCGCCCGCCGTGGGTAAGTCACGAATTAACGATTTGAAAGCCCGATATTGACGGATTAATGTTTTCCATAGACATTTGGTCATTGGGAGTCATTCTGTACATGCTGGTCTGCGGACAGGCGCCTTTCGAGAAGGCCAACGACTCGGAAACTTTGACCATGATCATGGATTGCAAGTACACGGTGCCGTCACACGTATCCACAGATTGCCGGAATCTAATTGGCTCGATGCTGGTGCGGGATCCCAAAAAGCGGGCCACCGTCGAGGAACTAGCCTCCTCCGCCTGGCTGCAGGCAATCGATGAGCCCGACTCCTCCACCACTGAACACATTCTGCCTTTGGTCAGCCGCCAGCAGTTGGGGGAAGAGGATCATGCCTTTATCATACAGAAAATGATAAATGGAAATATTGCGTCCAAGGAAGAGATATTGCAGTGAGTAAAGGAAACGTTCGCCACTAGATATTTCTGGCTGACACATCATCATCATCATTTCAGGGCTCTCGACAAGAACAAGTACAATCACATAACGGCCACATACTTTCTGCTGGCCGAGTTACGCCTGCGACGGCGGCGTGAGGAGCTGGCTCAAAAGCAACGGCCCCTAGTAGATCCCAGCATAAAGTGAGTAATTACGAATACCCTTAAGAATTCCATTTCTCAACACAATTTGTACATTAGAGTGGGAGACGCAAGTCGCAAGCCAGTGCCTGAGAAACCAAGTCCAACCACAGATACCCCCAAGGGAGGAGTACCCATCAGCATTAACGTGACGCCAGCCGCTCAGTTCGCCAACGAGGGAGGCAAGCCAGTAAGTTAATTAGTTATTCGTTTACCTTGAAGAAATCCAATGAAAAGCATTCACTTGTGCAGGACAAACGCAGTCGCAAGTGCAGCATTGTGCGGGAAGAGGATGAAGAGGAGTCGGCCACTGAGTGCTCGGGCATAGGCAATGAGTTGAAGGTGACAGCATCACGGCGCGAGCCCGTGGCCAGCGATGGCCTGCTTAATCGGTCACTGCTCGAGCATTCCAGTCCGGAGGAGCCTGCAAATCAATCGAGAGCCCAGCAGTTTCCCACTTGCGGCGTGCCAAGTAATTCTCGCACAAAGATTGTGGTCTCCGTGGATGCGACGCTGGCCCAGAAGCTCAAGCAAATGGAGAAGAGTGCCAAGATAGACGACGAGGACACGCTGAGTGGCCTCAAGGAGCTTGAAATAGGGAAGCTGAAGCCGCTACCCAGCAGCAGCAAGAATCCCGTGCTCACGCACCGACGCACAAAGCTAAACAAAATACGGACACCGTCCTGCAGCAGCTCAGAGGCCTCTGACGATGACACCAAGACGCGCAACAAGAAGAAGATCAACAAGTTTGTGGGCGACACACCAGTCCGGTTTCGCATGCATCGGCGGGACTCGCATGACGACTCCAGCGACTCGCAGGATCAGCTGTATCCGCCGCCCGGCTCGGCCAGCAGTGCGGCCAATTTTATCTCGAAAAGTGGCTCCGTAAGTGGCAAAAAGGAGGGACAATCGCAGTACAAGGAGGTGAGTTTACCTAGACCAGAATTTAGCAATTGCTTAAAACGCAAAACATTTATTTCAGCCAAATAAATCGGAGGAAAACCGAAAATCTCACACTCAAAAGAGCCGGAAACAGCACAAGGATCATGTTGACAAGCATTCCCAGGCTGAGAAGCAGCAGCTAGCAGAGAGCACCATAACAGCTACAACAGCAACATCAACGGCAACAAGAAGGCGACGCATGCGCGAAAGCCAGTCGTTGGATCGCATCACAGAGGCTCAGGAGTACGAGATGCGGCATCGCTGCTACGCGGAAAGCGAGGCGGCGGCGTCCACCCAACATATCGATCACAGATATTCACTACTCAACCTGAACACCACCAGCACATTCTCCGTTGCCGAAACCAATGAGGAGTACGAGTACGACGAGGAGGCTGACGATGCCACGGACCAAATCATGAACACTTTGAATGCAGCCAAAGCTACGCTTCAACAAGAGCAATATTTAAATAACAACACCAATCTTAGTAGGAACTTCAATCAGAATCACAGCAACTTCAGCAACAGCCACAGCAGCAGCCACATCCACCACATCAGCCAGAAGGGCAACAACAGCAAGAAGTCCAACGAAACACCAAAAGATATTTATAATCTGAACTCAATCGAGCAGATCGATTTGATTTTGGAGGATAAAAGCCTTACCAAAGCAATACATGTAACAACCGGCTCTAAATGCTTTGTCACCATGAAGAAAATCCGACGGCTGGGAAAATACTTTCCCGTGATGAACTTCTCTTAATAGACACAGTTACTTCATTGCAAAAGTGCATTCTAATTATTAAAAAAGAACTCTCGGTTAAGCGAACTACATACGTAGAGAATATGTGCATGTATTAATTAAAGCGTAAACGTTATACCCCGCGAGAATATATATATTAAATTTAGTGCGTAGCGTAATTTGTTTTTGTCTGTCGTCGTCATTACGCTTAAATTATTCTAAATATATTTATTTATATGTATAATTGTAAGTCTAATCACTCAATGCAATATTTAGTGAAAATAAATTAAACCAATATAAAGTGCCCGCATAAAATGTTTTGTATTTGATTTGAAATTGATTTGGAATCTTTCAAAGGTTTTTAATTGTTTCAATTTGTTACCGTTAAGTCGATAGCAATAATTTGTCAATCATCGATTGACAAAATTGATTGATAACTATTCTTAGAGTGACCAGCTGAGGGGAACTATTATCATCGGAAAAACTGTCGGTCACACTGATCTATTCGCGCGCGAATCGTGCTTCCGAAATAACAAACGAAAACAAACAAACAATGCCGGAGGCCGTGCAGGAGTTTGCCAAGGCACGACGCTTCCTCAAGGAACGCCTGCAGCGGGACTACACAACGCTTCGGGGCTACTCCGAGGAGCGCTCCAATGTGCGCCAGCTGCTACAGCGAACGGCGGAAATGGGCGAGTCCAATTCCCTGCTGCTCATTGGGCCGCGCGGAGCCGGCAAGACCACGGTTAGTATGGAGACACAGTAAGAATCTTCTTAATAAACCCTTTCCTGACCCTAATAGCTTATCAATGCTGTGCTGACCGATCTGCTGGACAACAAGGCGTTCGTGGACAACACGCTGATCGTGCATTTGGACGGGAACCTACACACGGACGACCGCCTGGCCCTCAAGTCGATCACAGTGCAAATGCGTTTGGAGAATGCGGCAGATGGAAAGGTTTTCGGATCGTTTGCTGAGAACCTGGCCTTTTTGCTGCAGTGCCTCAAGTCGGGCGGCAAGCGTGCCAAGAGCGTGGTCTTCCTGCTCGAGGAGTTCGACCTGTTTTGCACACACCACAACCAGACGCTGCTTTATAACCTCTTCGACGTGTCCCAGTCCGCACAGGCGCCTATCTGCGTCCTGGGCGTAACCTGCCGCCTGGACGTGATTGAGCTGCTGGAGAAGCGTGTCAAGTCGCGATTTTCGCATCGTCAGGTCTTCCTCTTTCCCACCTCGGATCAGTTGGAACAGTATGCGGCTCTGTGCCAGGAACTGCTCTCCCTACCCAGCAACAGTTCACTGAAATCCGCGGCGGAGCGTGTGAACAGCCTTCAGATGTTGCGATCGGAGGCTCTCAGCTTTGGCCGTCGGCACTTTGACCCCGCAGCCTACACATTCGACTCCAGATTCCGGGAGGGCTGGAATAAGCAGCTGGCCAAAATGCTGGCCAGCCAGCCCGCCCAGCGCACCCTGCAAACGCTTTACGACTTTGACATCAGCGAGGCCTTCCTCAAGAATTTCCTTTTCCGTTTGGTGGCCCAACTAAGGGAGGAATCGCCGCACATCACCGCCGAGCAAATGTCTGCGCTGGCCGCGCAGTATGAGGGAGACGACAAGGTTGAGCTGCTTTGCGGCTTGTCCGTTTTGGAGCTGTGCCTCATTATTGCCGTGAAGCATCACTCGGAGATCTACGACCGCGATCCCTTCAACTTTGAGATCATCTTTGCCCGCTTCTCCAAGTTCGCCAAGGTGTCCACAACGATGCAGGGCGTGGAGCGGTCCATTGTGCTGAAGGCCTTCGAGCACTTGCGCATTGGCGAGCTGATTTTGCCGGTGTCCAGCGGCTCTGGAAACGCCTCGGGCAAGGTGCAAAAGGAGTTCGAGATGCACAAAATGGCCCTGACCTATGGGCAGATCCAGCAGGCGGTGCAACGCTACCAGGCGTTGCCCACGGAGGTGGCCCAGTGGTCGCAGAGCTCCCTGATTTAGCAATTTTTCTAGAGCTGAAGCCATTCCCTCAATTTCCTTAATTTTGTATACTTATTTATTTATCTTAATAAAGTTGATATCTTATGTATATTCAATTGCTTTATTGATACCCTGTATTTTTCTTCAGCGACCAAAATAATTATATAATAATATGCATTCAGGTCAGCTACTTGACTAGGCTTCTTATCTACACCAAAGCCTAAGGAATCGATAATGCTAATTCCTGGAGCATCTACCCGCATTTATTTTGCTTCCAAATGTGGGTTCACTTTGCCATATAAAAACCTTCCACTTCGCTGTAGCCATCAGGTCAAGTGGGAACGGCATCATCATGAGATCCTTAACACTTCTGGCTGCCTCACTCCTGGTGGCTGTTGTGACCCTTAGCCAGGCGGATGATAGTCCTGGATTCTTCCTGAAGATCACCAAGAACGTGCCCCGTCTGGGCAAGCGAGGCGAGAGCTTTGCCATGAAGAACCTAAAGACCATTCCCCGCATAGGACGCAGCGATCAGGTGAGAGTTTGAACAGAAAACGTCCTCTAAGGATTTAAATTTATAAGAATCTCTTCCAGAGCTCTGTGACTCCTCTTATGGCCTGGCTATGGGATCTGGATGTGTCGCCCAGTAAGCGGCGTCTGCCCTCTGGGGATTCGGTTGGAAAGGAGCAGGAGCTGAATGTGGTGCAGCCCGTGAACTCGAATACCCTGATCGAGTTGCTCGACAATAATGCTATACCCAGCGAGCAGGTGAAGTTCGTGCACTGGAAGGACTTTGATCGCGCCCTGCAGGCAGACTCCGATCTCTACGGCAAGGTTATCCAGCTGGGACGTCGGCCGGATCACCACCTGAAGCAGACCCTCAGCCTGGGCAGCTATGTGCCCATCTTTGGTGAAGACGGCGACCAGAATCCGGCCTTTATGATGTACAACAACAACGAGGATCGAGATCTGTATGGCGGCGGCAGTCGCTACGACCGTAACTTCCTGAAATACAATCACTTGTGAGGAGAATCCTTTTGGACAACAGTAACCCAACATATCTCTGAATATGGCAATTATAACATTTATTTCTATATTTAAACATTTAAGCAGCAAAATAAATGAAAACTTTTTAAAAGTATTTTTAACAAGAAAGAAAGCTAACTTTGGCCAGCCAAAGTTTGTATACCCTTGCAGGTAACAATTAAAGTATATCATAACTAAGCCAAAAATTCATTAATTTCGATTCGGAAAGCAGTTTTGTGTTAGTTTTCATTAATTTAAAAAAACTGCATACCAAATTTAAAATTTTAAGAAATCAAAATTATTGGCCATTTTTGCTCATTTTAATGATGTAACCCCTTATAAAATTTTGCAAAAATGGCCAAAAAATCGATTTCTTCCGGAAATGTCTAGAAAGATTCGCATGTTAATGCTGATCAAGAATATATGTGGTTTATGGGGTCGAAAATGATTTCTTGACTTAGAAAAATATTATTTTTTATAAAATCGGATTTTTTATATTAAAAATCTTCTTGATTTTTTTAAAATTAAAAATATCATAACTCGGCCAAAAAGGCATTAATTTTAAATCGGAAAACTGTTCTGCGCCAGATTTTCTACAGTTAATAAATCTGCATACTTCATTTAAAAATTTTGAAAATTCAATTTTTTATCAAAATCAAAAATTTTAATGATGTAACCCCTTATAAAATTTTGGAAAAATGGCCAAAAAATCGATTTCTTCCTGACATATCTAGAAAGATTCTTCTGTTGATGCTGATCAAGAATATATATACTTTATAGGGTCGGAAACGTCTCCTTCACTGCGTTGCAAACTTCTGACTAAAATTATAATCCCCTGCGAGGGTATAAAAACTCATTAAGCATTGAGAAACCCACCGCTTACAGACTGGAGCAGAGCCTTTTCTTATCGCAGTTCCATCCCGGAAGGAATGACAATGAAATTCTCATTGAGATTGGGAGCAGCGCACTAACGGCGCTTCTTTGACAGATTCGGGTCCCGATTTCCAGGTCCACACTGCATCTTAATCTGGCGTGTCAACAACCCAACGGCTTTCGCCTTTCGCAAGATGACTCAATGGAGCACTCGACGGTGGTCTTATCAAATTTATGGTTCCCCCTGATGTTAGGAAATTCCAGCGATCGCATTCTTTGGCCGCCGCCTAATTGAATTAAGCGATCTGGAGACGGAGATCCACATCCATATCCAAATTGAATACGCAAACAGGATCGCGGCGCCGTCGCATATTAGGATTCTTGATGTGTATATTTATTTTGCTTAATTAGCGTTGCGCTGTTAAATATTCGACATGCCATTGTCATTATTTTTATTTGTTGACCAGAATTCGCGAATTTAGTTATCTCCAAAGTCAATAAACAATTATAAGTTACAAGCCGGGCTCAGAAACTCTCGAATACACCGGGCTCCAAGCAGACGCGATGACGACGCAAACTTGACTTTGAAATTTTTGCAAATGCCCCCCAATGTTTAATGTTGTTATTGCTTTTGGTATTTTCGATTGTTTACTTTGTTTTTCAATTTCTATTTCAATTGCAAGGCGTAGAACAAGTTTGGTGGATATTTGGTCAGTGGCGTAGCCGGAAAATTGGCAAGAGGACATTGTTATTAGTTATTTAAACCACAAAATGCATGTCTTTCTTTGAAAGCCATTTAAAAAATTTATTTGTTTGTTACTTTTTGGAAATAAATTAAGTTTGCTGTCAGCGAAGTGAGTCACTTTTTCAGTGCTTTCCCTCCGATATATAAAAGCTAAAAACCATTAAAATTGGCATGAAGATGTTGACTCTTTGATGCTTATTTTAATGGCTTTCAGTCACAGTCTATTTTGACTTGACTAATTTAAGGTTCTTGGTCATTTGTCTATCTGTTAAAATAAAATAAAACATGCTTATATTCCATTGTGTGGAAGTATATGGTATGAAATTATTTTTTAATAACTTATTTATTACGAGTAAAGCAATTCTAATTGAATAATTTGAATACCCTAAAGATGGTGTTTATAAGAAAAAATCTTTTAAAAAAAAACAAAAGGGATAAACTTTTAGAAAATGTCTTGTGTATTCTAATTATACTAAAACCCTATTTTAAAGAACTTTAGTACATAACTCAAGATTCTATATCTCATAGAGCAACACAACCCCTATCTTCTTTATTTTCACCCTTTATTTTATAAGCTTTTCTCCAAGCTACGCCCCTGCTCGCCTCTCAGCTGCTCTCCCTTGCGCTTTCGCTCTGCTAATTACTTGCTCTCCCTCGCTTTGGGGCTTTTGGTGCTCCACCGATCGCTAAGTCTCTCGCCGCTCTCTCAGTTTATTTGGAGCTCTCTGGCAGCCAAGCCGCGCTCAGAGTATAAATACAAGAGTGGCGATCGCTGCGTTCGAAGACGACTTCCCCAGACATTGCCGCGATCGGTTGTGTTTTTTAGCTCTATTTGGCGCTACGCTTCCCATCCGCTTGGAATTCGCTTTTCGTTTTCGTGAACGCTCGAACGATCGATAAAAATAAAACAAAGCCCCCGCTCCGGCCCACGATCGATGGATGTGTGAAACAAGCTTTTGCGTTTCAAGCCGAGACGAACTCTACACACGTACGCCCGAAAATAAAACACAGAAACACCAAAAAAAAAAATAATACAAATTGGCCACGCTCGTTGTTTTGGCTAATTCAATTAAAGTGCGTCGGACAAAAGAAAGTCTATTCCGGAGCTTAAGTGATAAACCAATCCATCAGCAGCCACAAAAGCGTTTTTATTGAGCCCTACTTAAAAAGAAAAAAAAAAGAAAGTCGCCGCTCAAAAGGTTACACAACGAGAGCGTGTAAGTGACCTCAGTTACGGATCACGGATCACGGATACCCCGCGGAACCCTTTCAGGAGCACATAAAGCCATCCAGACACCATGACGAGTGCGGCGAAAGTGATCTTGGCCTGCTGCCTGCTGGGCGCCTTTGCCATGCAAATGAGCTCCTCGTCGGCCATACCCATTTGGGAGTTTTTGACCCGCAACGAAAAGGTAAGAAAAAGAGACAGCCACGAAAACTTGCACTCACAGATTGCGCATACGCCGCATTGGCCGGCTGGGCATTAAGCATACGCCTCGTTAGCACCGGCCTCTGGCGTCCTTGGCATTGCGCATCTGTCGAGTGCTGAGACAGCCTCTGTGCCTCAGATTGAATCTAGCGCAACGCTGAATAGCTGATCAGCCGAGCATAATCGCCATTTATAACGATATTGATATTTACGGGCATATTGATATGGATATGCTGATTGTTGTGATAACTTCAATGAGTTCGCATATTAACGGCGCTTTGCCGCCGCTTCTGTTTGTCGTCCACACCGCGAAGACAATCGAAATGTATATGAAGATGAATATGGAATATGGAATATGGAATATGAATGGCGACAAGACGGTTCAAAGTCAGCGAGCGGTATTCGCTGGCTCATTAGCATAACTGTACCAGATTGGCATCGTAACCAACATACAAGCTACAGCTAACAGCTACAGCCAAAGCGACAGCTCCACTCGAGCTGAAGAAGAACGGTCCTTGGCATAAATAGACGCCTGCGGAGTGCGATCTTGACATTGCTCGTGCTGGGCGTTATCAGAAACCCACAATTGCCCCGCTATGATAATGGCAATACCAGCGAGTCGATGGCCATCGCCAGAGGAATACCGGTCTCCGGTCTTTTTTTTTTTTTTTTTGGTCTGGCTGCCACTTGTCCAGACCTCACGCGATTTCTCGAGCGTGTTCGCGGCAAGTCATCTGCGATTGCTTTGCCAAGAAATATTGCTAAAAAATATCTGCAAGTTGGTTTCATAACATATGGGGAAGCAACTGCGGGAAAGGTTATGCTTACAGTTTTTTTTAGGGGAATTTGTATCACATTTAGGGATATGCAAAAGAAGGAAACCAAGTATCTCAACTCTTTATTTCCTTCATCTACATTTTGAGTCTTATTCGAGGGTTTTTCCTTAAATCCAATGAGTTTCTCGCTTAAAGAAAATTTTAGTCTAGGAAAACTAAAACTTAAACCTGGCTTACTTTGTTTTAAAACACTTTATTATAAAGGGAATTTAATGACTAGATGAAAATGATTCTTAAATGATAATCATAAGGATCTTAGGAAATTATGTTTAATTCTAGTACAGTAAAAAATAACATCTGAGCCTTAACCATTGTTTGATCGTCCTAAATTTTCTAAAGAATTCTACATATATCTGGAATTAGTTATTATTTTTAGGATATCCTTTTTTTATATAGAAATAAACCTTACTTTTTGCAATACAGCTAACAACAGTATTAACCTTTGCTCTTTTCAACTCTTTATTATAAACAGATTATAATACCAACTTAAGAAACCTTTCCACTTTGAATTTACCCGTCTCGCTACCCGATTTCATATAGCTTCGTCGTAAAACTAAAAAGCAGAAAGTAAACTTAATTTCCATTTCATGTTATTTATTAACATAATAGTATTTATGATATTACCACTTAATGTGCATGTTTGACAAGTGCTTAGCCATTTTATATTCGTATTATTTCTCAGTTTTCCATAACCACGATTAATCAGACAAACCCTGTGTAGACTCCAATCCCCCCCGAAATACCCGAGTGCAGTCGAGCTTAAAAGCCAACATTAATTTCCATTTATGAGAAACAACAGTTTCAATTTACATACCCAACTGCTGTAAATTGAGGAGAGACGAAAAAAAACAAAATAAATAATAAAGCTTTTCACTTTTCTTCTTCACAAATGTTTGTGCAACAAAGCGTGACAACGTTGCGGCAATTTTCTCTGCACTTTTTTTGTTTATTTTTTGTGTTTTTTGGTTAATGAACTCCACCGGGCCAAAGTCGCATGCCAAGAAAAGTATGGTATATGTGTATTATTAATTTCGCTGCTCTGCTGGCTATTTTGCTGTCTTATTAATTAGCCGATGGACTTTAATTTATATATAGCAATTTGCCAGTCATTAGATCTTTTTTGGTTTTTTATTTTCTGGCAGCGCATCAATCCAAATCGCGCACGCGAACTGCGCCTTAAAATTCCGGACTCCCGAGACAATGGAGCCCCCGAATAATGTAACCCGATCCCAGCTAGAAGTGATTGAAAGCCACATCCGGCAGAGATCGCGGCTCAAATGAGAAAATAATTTCTAAAAAAGGCAATTAGGGTGTTCGAATGCTGAAGCCAAAAAAATAGAAACGCAATTTGCGAAAGCAATAGACACTCTCATGTTTTGCAATTAATGTAAATTTCTAATTAGAATTCACTGCGCCACGATCACTTATTTATAGACGGATGCCTCAGCTTCCTGTTTTGTGTTTCGTATTTTTAATTATTGTTTTTACCGTTGGAAGCTTCTCTAGCGCTTTCGATTTTTTTGTTTCCAATTTTCGATTGCAAAAATAAACAACAGCTTAAAAATTTTTTAGAGCGCCGCCGCCACCGCTTAGCTTATTTGTTGTTGCCCTTTTTTTTGATGGGTGCAAACGCGTTTAGCCGGTTTGCGGTTCGAACTTCAATAAATAAATTATGTTCGCATTACTTTTTTGTATTTTACGTAAAATATGTTGGGATGTTGGGATATCTAGGGGACAGAAAGAGAGAGATATGGCGGGTAATCTCGTAATGGAACCCTTTTCCGAGCCGAAGTCCAATCGAACCGGAGTCATTACGGCGCGTCTCAACGTTTTCCGTCGTTTTTTTTTTATTTTTTCTTATTTATATATTTCTTGTGTGTGTTATGAAATGTTGTTTCATATTGTTGCTGGTGTTTTTTTTTTTTGTGGATTTCTTTTGTTGGCAATTTCGATGTTTCATAATGTAACCTGCGCATATCAACAGGTTATTGAACTGGCCGGATCCGTTGGGAATGGAGACGGAGATGTGGAGATGAAGATGGGGAGTTACGCCCATATTTGTGGTTCGGGAAGCGACCGCACAAGACAGCTTAATGGGCTTATTTTTTTCGGGGGAATCTCCTCCACGGCGTGTGCTAATTGAATGTTTCCCATATTCATAAGGAAGTCGCCCAAGAGCGGCGGAGAATCTCTGGCATTTCAGGCCAAGATCAGTGAGGCTTTCATTAGGCTTAGTCACTTAGCTGGAAGGCTAACGAATTACAATCTCGAATCTACATGCCTTGCGAGCTTATATATTATATAAACAAATTAATGTACGTGACTTTGACAACTCCCACAAAGGCTTTTTGCCATTATTTATATATATTTTTTTTAGCACGCTTCATAAGCCATAAATTATTTGTGATATATTTTACATTTTTTGCTTAAGTTTTTCGATTCTTACTAATTATTTAATTGTGCCAGGGACTGGACCATAAAAATGCTGATCAGATAACTCGCTGCTGACGTACTTTACATGAGTTTTAAATTTCATTAAAAAAAAAAGAGGAAAACAAAAGAATGAAAACAACTTTTGATAAACCAAAAGTTTATAAACTTTTTATGGTTTTGACTTTGTGTCAAATTGTTGGATTTTTTTGTAGTCTGTTGTCATTCGAAATATATTTAAATAAAAGCACGAGGGGGCGGTGAACGTATCAATTGCATTTTAGTGCTTTGAATTTTTGCATTTTGCACACGTTTGTGCTTGGCTTGGCTTGGCTGGGTAACGGTACTCGCACTGGTAATTGGTAATGCGAGCCAACTCCCCCCTTTGGGGCTCCTCCGACTTGGCTTCGATGCCGTGGCTCTGTTATGCAAACGGCGTAAAATTGTAAAACCCCCCCCGAAAATAAATCCGAGCCAATGCAAATGAAGCTCTTCACCGAGCTAATAGAAGCGGATCAAGGGTGTCCATGGAGGAGGAGGAGAAGCTAGCTCAAGTATGTGACCGAATTCTGGTTACTTTCTTTGTTCCAGCAGCAGCTCAGCGATTTGTTTGTTTGTCTGACGAAGAGGTGCTAATGCGTGAGATGAGCCGGATTCTGGGGAGTTTCTGCGATTGATTATCATCGTTCAACGGGATTGACGTCACCTGGCTGTGCTAGAGAAATTCCCCATACACACCGACATCCACAGGTTGGTGGATGGATGTGTCACCCCGGGGAGTAAATAGTAGAACATTCGGCGGCGCTAATTAAAAGTCCATTCAACGCTCCGCTAGCCACGAAGAATAGACAATGAGCTGCTGCTGCTGCTGCTGCTGTTTTGCCCGCTGAACCATAAAACCATCCCAGCCCCAGGCCGAACTGGGGCACACACTTGGCAGAGGAGAGGCCGCCTGGGAGTCAGAGGCAGAGGAGGCAGTTGCTCAATAACTCCCAGGCTGCCGCCGCCGGCGCTGTCGAAATGCATTTCGTTTGTTTTGTGCAACGAAAGTGCAATCATCTTCCCCGCCTGACACACGCACATTGCAAAATTCCCTCCCAAGTAACCAAGTAGCTGGGAAATGGAGACCTCCCCTCCGCCTGTACCTATCTCTCTCAGCTATCCACCTATCTATAAAAGGAATTCAGAGAGAGAAACTTGATGGATTTGGGTGATCTGGGTTTGAAAAACCATCAATGTTAATCGATTTAAAACTGATTTGATTTTAAATTTTAGACTATAGTTTAAAATACTTGGGATATCTCTCCAAATATTAATTACTATATTTTTTTTTATCGTGCAGATGTCTCACCTGTACTCCACCTTTGCCCAGCTGGTTAGCGTGCATTGCAAGTCAACAGTCGGCGGAGGGCTACCGGTGAACCAGTGCAAGCACAACCTGCTTGGCTATGGATCCACCAAGCTGCAGACCCTCTCCGACGCCCAGTTGGAGGCCCTCGATCCGTATCAGCGCGATGCCAACGAGCTGAGTAAGTGCCTCCACCATTTGCGTCGCTATCTACGGAGCACTGATCGCGTGGGAGATCGATTTGGGGTTTCCGCGTCAGAACTTCCGCAGTGGGCTAGCGCGACGTGCTGGACGTGAGATCTTACCGCCGCCTCTTCTCGTCTCTCTTGTCTTCCGCAGTCTGGTCATCGATTATGCGAGACCATCCGAGCGGAGCCAGCCTGGTGACCACCAGGCAGCCGATCCAGCAGCAGCCACTGCCCACACCGCCCGCCTCCTCGCTGATCATCCTCACCCGCCAGCAGCTGCCGCAGTCCCATTCCCCGTCCCAGTCCAACTCGAATCCGCTCTTCGACAACACCGGCGAGCAGAAGCATCAGTATGCCATGGACATGGACATGGCCTACGGTTATCCATCGCGACAGCCGGCTGCCAGCAGTGAGCTGCTGCCCATGGCCTCGGCATTTACAGGAGAGCCGCCAAAGACCTTCCTCACCGGTCCCCATGTGGTTCGTGTGCGTCCCGATGGCTCGCCCGTGGAGGAGGATAGCCGGCGACCACTGCCTCGCGACGAAGATCTGCCCCTATTCCGTTTGGGCTTGGCCGCCGCCCCACAGGCGCCCAACAGGCACCGCAAGATCGCCACGATCAGCGCCTTGAAACAGCAGCACTTTGCCTCCATCCTGCAGCGCGACCTCCAGCCGCCGCATCAGGTGCAGCGACGTCTGTTCCGCCAGCAGCAGGCGTAAGGATAACTCCAGCCCAGGAGCAGGATATACCTAGATATAAGTCTTGTGTGCGTGAGCGGAGTGAGTGAATGGTGGGGATGGTCTCAGGCATCCTCGAGCGAATGTGTGCACTTTGAGCTTTAATGGAATTTCGTACCGTATTCGTTTTTAAGTTTTTCTTTAATTTTATTTATTCGCGTGCATTAGCCGTAAGATCAAATATAGAGATTCTCGAGTAATAAACCGTATGATGATTATCGTTAATGCCGCCAGCGTTTTTAATTCTGAAATGTGATCGCGGAGATATCTGCAGAAAAAAGCCCACAGGGGAAACCGGTTGGTTATGGTAATAACAACGAAAGTCGCATCTCTGCCAGACACCAGCCACTGGCAATCTCCATCTCCAGTTCCTTGTCACACACCCATATTTAACACGCGAAAGCCTTATTAACCCACATCTCCGGCGAACAATGGAAATACTCTCGGGCGAAGGGGGCGTAATTAATCCGGTTTAGCGGGTTCAGAACGCACTGACGCTTGAATGAGGCAATTAGAATCCGCAAATCCGTAATTTTCGGCAATTGCACTTACAATTGGATGTAATTTCACTGGCCATTCAACTGGTTTGTCCAGCTTTTCAGGACAGGGGGCCCATCAATCTCGCCGTACGCTGCCACACAAAGGCGGATTAATTGGCACTGCATGAATGATGCTGGGATTTTCCGCAGGGCACTTGAAATAAATGAATAAGCAGCCTAATTAGCACGAATTTATGGCAAAACAATTTGGTTGCGTCTTCTTGACGGTTTTTATTTGCATTTCGATAGGCAGCCCGGGTAAATATCTATCGAGTATTATCGGTAGCCATAGTCGAACATTCAAATTATACTCGGTCACACTGTCACCGCACAAACAGCTGATCGCACGAAGCTAAAAATAAAAAAAGGTAAATACTGCGGAATAATCGCTTTTCAGTTGAAAATTGTACGCTGTGTGGATTATTGACTTCGCCACAGAGCTGGAAAAGCGATAAGGTTGGTACTTTTTCGCCCCGTTCCAAGTATTTCATGAATTTGCCTATTGTGACGCGTGTAAAGTTCGAGTGGACAAATGAATCACTGACATTTCACATATATTATATATAAATCCTTAAACCTTAAATGTGTGTGCGTGTGTTTCAGATATACTCTTGCGATCCCAAACAAAACATCTGCTGGGGGGCTGCGAAGTTTATCGATTTCTCAAACGCTGCGGCGCATCAGAAATTTTCCGAAAACGGGGAATCCCAGGTAAACTCTGATCGCTGACCTCAGATCGCCGATGATTAGTGCCAGGCAGCAGTATCAGCGCAACAGCGACGGCGCCATGTCAGACGAAGAATCGTTCGTGATCCTGGGCAGCTCGCCATACTCATCGCTGTTGCCAGACGCAGGAGGTGTTGTGAGGGACGGCCTGGATAGCGGGGAGGAGGCCATGGAGCCCCCGGCATCGAGTTCCACGAGCTCTCAGCTGAAACAGGAGAAGCAGCAACCGGTGTCAAGTGGCCCCGCCAGTTCGAGTGGCACCGCCAGCATGAGTGCCTCACAGCAGCTCCGATCGCTAGACAGCGAGGCGCCCCAATCGCTGGCCGCCAGCTTCATAATGGGCGAAGTGAAATCCGACGTGCTTAAGGTGGGAGTTTACTTATCCACGCTAGTGTTTAACCGTCCAAACCTTGAATTTATCCCCACAGAGCAGTGTCTACTCGCAGTTTCCCAGCCTCTGCTCGCTGCAGGCTTCCGCAGAGGATGTGGTCAAGCTGCAGAACATGATGACGGAATATTTAACCTTAAAAAGTGAGTAATAGCTGCCTCTCCCATCAGCTACATTTTGAATTTACGGCTTCCATCTATGTTTTAGCCACGCTGGACAAGGTGAACAACACCATGCTAAACTACCACAAGCTGACGCAGCAGTGGCGCCAGGAGGCAGCCGACAGGGAGCAGCAGTGCAAGCAGCAGCTGCTCGAGTGCCAGGAGCAGGTCATAAGCCTGCGCGCTGAGAATCAGCAGCTAAAAGCGGACCTGGAGACAAAGATTGCCCAGATAGAAATGGTGCAGGACTTTAGCCAAAAGGAGCAGGACGATCTGCGAAAGAGCGTTTCCGAAAAGACCTCTCTGATCAACAACATGCGTGTGGAGATCGACAAGCTGCAGCAGCTCAAAATGGTACGTCATTCTCGAGCTAAGTTGCTCTTTGAGCAACGGGCGATAGTGCTCCAGATACGCGCATACATGGCACTCTCTATTGTTATCAGGGCACTGCGCAGTAACTTGCTTTCCACTTCCCATAAAATTAATTACCCGCCGCCGGGGCATCCTGCTCTTCTTAATATGTTACAGCACTCGTTCGAATTCGTACCTGAGGAGGGTGCCAAGGCCGAACCGGATGCTGCCCTGGCCTTAAACTATGTGCAGCGGGACGAGCATGATCGCCAAGTGCGGGAGCTGAAGCATCAGCTCTCAGAGGTCGTGGCAGAGAACCTTGAAATCAGGGAAATGGTGAGTGCTATCTCCCCCAAGTCAGTATCAGTATCAGTATGTTTCCCCACTTTGCAGAAGAAAACCTACATTGAGGAGATCGATTGCTTAAAGGTCAACCTAACCAGTGCCCAGGAGCTAATGGGCAAAATGCAGCGGGACATTGACGAACTGAAGGCCAAGGATATTCAGAAGCAGGAAGAGATCGAACACCTGAAGACACAGAACGACATCTATCGCCGTGACTTTGAGATGGAGCGGGCAGATCGCGAGAAGAATGCCGGCGAGAAGGAACAGTATTTGATGGACCTGCGTTCACTGCAGAGGAAGAACCAGGAGCTAATCGAGGCACTGGCCGAGTCCCACAGGGCCAGCAAGTCGGCATCTCCTGCCTCCTCCTTGAGTTCGAGCCGAAGCAGTCTGCGCGAGGAGCAGAGACCCGTAAGAGTATGCTTGGAAAGCCCGAAAAGCTGACTCCCTAATTTTAAATGCTATTTCCTGTTCCCACAGGTTCTTGATCCAACTGGAGCTGCAGCCTCCCGGACACCGGAGGCCATCCTGCGCTGCCCCATCTGCTCAAAGTCCTTTAACGCCCTCAGCGTGCTGCAGAGCCACGTGAACGATTGTTTGGACAAAAACTAATTATCAATATTTGTTACATTAACTTTCTTTATAGTATACGGTTTATTGTTTAAGCTTAACCATTAGCCCTTGAGCTGATTGCACATTATATAAAAAATAGCACATTATAATTACAATAACAGTGGATAGTTTCTCAAGTTTCCTCAGAGTTTGCTTCGAATGGGCGGCATTTCCAGCGACCAAACGCGGCCCACATCACGGCTGGCCACCAGATTGCTGAGCACCTTCACATCTATTTGGGATTATAATATCAGCAGGGGCTTACGTCAGGGGGATCTCTGGATCTACTCACCGTTGGAGCGCGCAAACTGCTGCAGCGTGTTGCGTATATCACAAATGGGAATGGCCGTGTTGATGTTCGGATAGATGATATCATCCATCTTGATGTTGGACACGCATACACCGAGGATGCAACCATTCTGGTCAAACATGGGGCCGCCACTTTGACCCGCCTGCACGCTACCATCGGACATGATGGCCCCCGTGTCACACTTGATGATCCGTCCTTGGAATATAGCCGGATTAAAGTCATATTTAAAGCCAAAGTTCACGTAATAGGGAAATCCAGCGTTATATACTGTCTGGCCAAGAGTGGCAGGACCCTTGGCCAAGCGCACACAGCACCGCTCCGGCACATCCTGTGGAGCTGTGAGCAGGGCCAAGTCGAAGGGCCGTTCGCTATCCGGATTGCACCAAATAACGTCCGACTGGAACTCTCGATCGGCAGCGCGGCAGTTAACTTTCTCGTTACCCTGGACGAGAGGTTTATAAATTATATTAATAAACTAATTAATTTAGAGATGAGGAAAACCCCTATTTACCTGACCCACCACATGGGCACAGGTGAGAATAAAGTGCTTGTTGTGGACACGGATAAAGGTGCCTGTGCCCTGCTGGCCAGCCGACTCAATCACCACAATTGTGCGCTCCCCTGAAATATTATCAGCGAGAATTATCACAAAGTTTAGTTACCACTATTAGCCTCAACTTACATGGAAAGTTTGAGGGCTCCCGCGTTAGCTGGAATGTAGTGCTAGGCATGCCCAGCTGCTCCATAAAATTGCGTAGCAGGTAGCCAAAGTTGGCGGCCAATGTGAGATTGACATTCTCCTGCTGCCGCTGGAATGAGGTGCATATCACAATGCCAATCAGCCGTCTGAAATGAACATATTCCTTAGCATCCGTGCATCATCCGCCTTATACATTTCTACGCACAGTTTGTTATTGAACACGGCAGATCCCTCACAGCCTAGTGGCAAGGCATTGGAAATGGCAAACAGGCAGCCACTGCGTCCCATTACATTTGACACCTTGCCAATACTGATCGTCTTGTAGAAGTTCTCCAGACCAAAGGGCGAGCACATGACCAGCACGTCGTCCAACGTCTGCATCGGCTGCAGGTGGCGCAAATAGTTGCTGATGTGTGCTAGGAAACGCTTGAAGGACTCCTCCTTAGCGGGCGGTCGCATGCTGAGGACAACAAAACTGGAGCGCAATACCTCACTCTGGTTTGTGGCGTCTGCGGTCAGCAGAATGTGGTGCAGGTTGCGGGACACCTCTGCGGCGCTAAACACGTACAACGGATGGGCCAAGTAGCGGGTAAGGATATGGCCCTGCCTCGATCCGGAAGCGGCATTCTGGCGCGGGCGCGTATGTCTTTGGTGCGGATCAAAGGTCACCACAAAGTTAAGTGATCGAATGCGACATCCTTCATCCGCCTGTACGTCGAGCAGCTGGCCCTGCTGCAGTCTGGCCACGACTCCTTTGTTCTCCTCGCCTTTGTCCCCGTCGAAGAGTAAATGAGGCTGCAAAATGCTGCCCGAACTAATGATTACCTCATTGTTGATTATGATCGCGGACTGCTTCGTGGCCGGTGGACTGGTGACCTCCAGAAGAGCGTGGCGTATCTTGAGCAGCATTATCAATCTTAAACATTATTTATTGATTCAAACAGCAAAACAGTTGCAGTCTACCATCTCTGTTCCTAACAGCTGTTTCCTTTGTTGTAAGGGCTGCCAACTGTGTTTAAAGTATCGATGTATCGATATATCAAAGGAATATTTACCGGAGAAAATATTTGAAAAAAATCTCGAGTTTGAATTTAAAATTGAAACTATCAATGCAGCATTGATTTTGGTGACCAAAGTAATGTAATCAAGATGGGGAATGGGTGGAATACATCAAAAGCCTGGTCCTAACGAGAACATAACACAGATCAATGTGTTACAGATCCTGGGAGGTGGCTTAGCCGGCGGCGTGATGCGGAGCTGTACACATCCTCTCGACGTGCTGAAGATACGCATGCAGCTGCAAGTGAGCCAACATTCGAGGAGAAAGTACCGCGGCATCGTGCACGGCATAAGGACTTTGTACGTCGAAGAGGGAATGCGAAGCTTGGTGCGGGGCCACAACACTAGCCAGGTGATGGGCATCACGCAGGGTCTAGTGCAATTCTGGTCGTATGAGAAATTATCCACAATGTCCCGAAAAGTTTCTTACTTTAAAGAGCATAAATTCCTGCGCCATTTCCTCTGTGGCGGCTTCGCCGGATGCCTGGCCTGCATGGCGGCCCATCCGTTCGACGTAGTGCGTGCGCATGTGATGGCAGTTGACCTTGTAACGGACCGCACTATGATCCAAGGATTTCGGAATTTGTACACCATTAAAGGATGGAATGGATTAACACGCGGTCTACCCATTGCCCTGCTCGAGACTTTTCCGCTGATGGGCTTAAAGTTCCTTTTTTACAAGTACCTAAACGCCATGACTCTGTCCGTGCAGCAGAATAAAGAGATTGAGATTGGTGGCTACCATATACTCGTAAACGCAGCGCTGGCTGGCGGTACAGCGAAGATGGTAGTTTACCCCGTCGATGTGCTCAAAAAGCGCATCCAACTGCATGCTTTGAACCAGGATCCTAATAGTACCCGCCGTAGTCCCGATTGTCCCACAGTGCGACGCTGCATCGCCAGTACACTCCAGTATGAGGGCGTACGAGGATTCTACAGGGGCCTGTGGCCCACCATTTTGAGATCCATGCTGGCCAACGCCATTTACTTCACCATCTACGATCTCTTCTGCCGACAATTTATTGCTCCACTCCTAGAATCGGTGGACTCGTAGAGGACATTGGTCATGAATTGTATTTACACATTCCCCTTACTTAAAACTGGGCAGGAAATGAAAGGAAATGTAAAAAAAAAATAATTTTAAAATACAAATATGTATTTTTGATAGTAAATTATAATATATATGTACAATGCAATATATTCTTTCGATGCTGCTCCAATTGTTTTAATTATATTTATCTTATTAGATGTATTTCTCTGATCGGAACGCAAAGATGGGAACAGTTACAACTAATGGGAACAGCCATTATATATTTTAAATAAAGAAAACAAACCGTTTACAAAAATTCTGCTGATTTAAAGGTATCAGAATAAATCAGAATAAAATCATTTAACATAAAATAATATATAGAGTTACCTTGAAGCGTTTGTTTAACTCGCTGTTAATTTTTCTCACAGTGTGGCCTGTGTAGGGAACAGCTGGCCGGTCAGCTGTTCGATTCCGCGATTTACAATTCCAACGGTTTTAGATATCTTTGCGTAATGTTGCCTCTCCGGTGGAGTCTCCTAAAGCCGCTCCAGGATGGCATCCGTTTGAGCCGGCGCCACTTGGCTCAAAAGAACCTCCTGGAGCTGACGGATCGGGGCTTTTTTCAAGGCATTTTTCCGGACACAGCTGGGTAAGTTACACAAAGGACCAAAAGAACCCTAGATTTATGTATGAAAACTCTTTCCCCGACAGGCCCAAGATGAAGCAACTCTTCACCAGCGGCCAGCAGAGCATATACGCCGGATTCGATCCCACCGCCGACAGCCTGCACGTGGGCAATCTGCTGGTGATCATGGGGCTGATTCACTGCCAGCGAGCTGGCCACAGACCCATCGCGTTGGTAGGTGGTGCCACAGGTTTGATTGGGGATCCCAGTGGCCGGAAAACAGAGCGCAACCAATTGGGAGAGTCTGTCATCGATACCAATTTGAAGGCCATTAAACGGCAGTTGGAACAGGTTTTCGAAAACCATGAGAAGTTCCTCTGGGACACGAGCAAAAACAAGTCGCCATTGCCACCGCTGACGTGAGTATGTCCTCAAAGATGTCCAGAAAAAGATAACAAAACGATTCCTCCGTAGGATTGTCAACAATGCCGATTGGTACGCCAACCTGCAGCTCGTTGACTTTGTGGCCAACATGGGACGGCATTTTCGCATGGGCTCCATGCTCTCCCGGTCTTCGGTGCAGTCGCGCTTGGAGTCGGAGGACGGGATGAGTTTCACTGAGTTCACCTACCAGATATTCCAGGCCTACGACTGGCTTCATCTCCTACGCCGCCACAATTGCTGCTTCCAAATGGGTGGCTCCGACCAGACGGGAAACCTGATGACGGGACACGAGCTAATCAGCCGCGTGGAGCGTAAGGCCGAGGTCTTTGGCTTGACACTGCCCCTGGTGACCACTGAGGAGGGCGACAAGTTCGGCAAATCGGCGGGCAATGCTGTGTGGCTGGATGGTAATAAGACTTCGCCCTTTGCCCTGTATCAGTTCTTCCTGCGGATGCCGGATTCCGAAGTGGAGAAGCTGCTGAAGCTGTTCACTTTTATACCGCTGCAGGAGGTTGAGCAGCTGATGCGGGAGCACACAAGGGAGCCGGAGAAGCGGAAAGCGCAGACACTCCTGGCTGAGGATGTCACGCTGCTGGTGCATGGAGGTGGGATTTGGTCACCTTTGTATCACATTCGTCTCTAATCTGATTTTAAATACCTAGAAAATGGACTTAAGCAAGCGGAGAGGGTAACCAATGCTCTGTACAAGGGCAATGTCGAGGGATTGGCGGAATTAAACCTAGCCGAGATCAAGCAAACCTTTCAGGGAGCCACCATGGTGGAGCTGCTGACCGAGCCTGGGATGTCCATCCTGCAGTTGGCCATGAAGGCCAAGTGCTTTCCCACCGAAAGTAAGTTACCAGGCGAATCCTAACTATACAAAGGGAATTATCTACGGCTTTTATGTCTTCCACAGACGATGCTGTGCGTATTATAAATGCCGGTGGCTTCTACGTCAACCAAAAACGAGTTCAAAACATCGCCGAGGTCCTCACCACCGGAATACACATCCTTCGGAACGGAGTCTCGCTGCTGCGTGTGGGAAAGCGTAACTTTTACATCGTTCGCTGGCAGTGAAAACAACTTGTAATTTGTGTTAAATAATAGTAGGTTCTTTTACATTTACATTTTAAAGTGTAAGGGACTTATTGAGCTATTTAGTTGGGCCTGGGCGCAGGCTTCTTGCGCCACCTCTTACGCGCCAGCAACTCCTTGGCCTTTTCCTTCTTCAGGTCCTTGTCGTAGAACTTGCCGCTCTTGGTGAACGTCTTCTGTTCGTTGCGCATCTCGGCCAGCTTTCGATTCTTCTGCTTGATGATGTTCTTTTTGTTGGCCGACTTCTTCTTTCCCGCCTCGGAGATTTGCACCTTGATCTTGCGACCCTGCAGCTCTGTATTGTGCAGCTGAAAGCCTTTCTGGAAGCTGGGCAGGTCGGCCATCTCCACGAAAGCGAAGCCACCGCGACGCTTTTTCGGGATGCGAATGGTTTTTACTGCGCCAGCCGCCGAAAAGTGGCCCACAAGGTCATCTTTTGTGGTCTCAAAGTTTAGGTTTGTCACATAGAGGACGTGTCTGTTTGTCTTTGACGCTCCACGCAGCAGGGAGGTCAGCTGATCACTGGTTATATGTCCATCTTCAGCTGCTTCCTCTGATTCGGCCTCAGATCCAGAAGCAGCGCTGCCATTAGCTGCAGTTTCTCCATTGGCGGCAGCCTCTCCATCAGAATTGGCCTCATCCTCCTCGCTATCCTCCGGGTCGCTGGGATTCCGGCCGTCCTCCTTGTCCACATATGTGCCCTCGAAGATCTCCTTGCGTTTCTGGTCGTCAAAGTTGCCCAGCAGATCCGCGCTGTCGTCGTTGACCGTCTTTCGCACTCGCTTGGGCTTGATGAAGGCCTCCACCTCGTAGTCGCTGCCAGAATCGCTGGCCATCGTTTTATTTATGGCGTTCCTTGGGATACCTTGATTTCTTCGCCTGCACGTGTGACTTCTCTGTGTTGCGCTTTAAGCTATTTTATGGCTACTTCTGGCTTCTCAAAAAATAGATTTTAAAATTTTGAATACAGTATCAAAGTAATTAATCTATTATATTATGATATACTGAATTCAGGTATTGATTTAATTTTTAGAGGCGTAAACTTTATTTTAAACAAAAGTAACCTTTTTACAAGCATTTTATTTACAAATTTCGAGCTTTTTTCTAGCTGAAACATAGTGCTGGAAAATGTTCTAAAATATAAATATTTCCCAGCACTATCCATTGCCCGCCATAAAATTCAAAAATATCTACCGAGGTCATCACCAAAAATTTGCAATATTATTGGGGCTCAGCTTAGCGAAAACCGGTTGCATCTGCGGGAGCCAAAGTGGACAGATAGTGGAGTTATCTGCGAATTATGCAAATGAGCGATAACATCGAATAAATAGCAATTAATTTGCGTTATGCGATATGCAGTACCGGTTGGCGCTTATCAAGAATCCACCGGCAAACTGATCGTTTGATGACAATTGATGAACGGCCGGCAAAACGGGAATATTCCGCTCATATTACCATAGATAAGTTCCATGGGCGATAATTAATGCCTGCAGAATGACTGCATCAATGTCTTTTCTCTTAATTAATACAAGCGTCCGTTTGGAGCCAGTTTGAGGGTAATTTATGTGATTGGACACACAGGCAGCCGGCAAAATGCCAAGGGAGCTACTATAAAAGCGTAATATTCGGCTGTTAGAAGTCAGATTTGTTTTGTCATCTATCAACAGACACACACCCTCCTTTTCTAACCATGAAGTTCATGGTAAGTTGGGACGAGATTAACAATCCAATTAGAACATCTCTCAGATAAATTGTTACCCCCCCAGATTGTTCTCGCCTGCCTTTTGGCCGTGGCTTTTGCCAACGAGGAGGCCGATGTCCTGAAGAGCGATTCCGAGGTGAACGTGCTGGACTTTAACTACGCTTACGAGCTGTCCAACCACATCAGGGCTGTTCAGTCCGGAGCTCTCAAGGAGCACGACAACTGGGTGGTTTCTGGAGAGTACGAATACCTGGCTCCCAACGGCAAGACCATTAAGGTGGTCTACCACGCTGATGAGACCGGCTACCACCCAAAGGTTGTTGAGGCCTAAACCTATAAACCTAAACCCTCTAAAATGTTTACGAAATAAAGATTTAACGTTCTGCATCTTAAATTTCCGTTTGAATTGGCTTTTGAAATTAGCTCTGTGCAACACTGCCTCTACGCTGGTGTTGGAAAATCCTTGCGAAACTTACCCAATACTAAAACCAAGCGATTTCTTCGCTGTGGTAGTTTAATTATAAGTTTAACAATTTATGTGTATAATATATGCTTAAAGTAAAACAGTGACATGGCCACGGAAACTGCAGCCATGGATTGTGCCGAAGACACTGAAACAACATCAAAGGAGGTTCCTGCACCGCCTGCAGCGGAGGAACAAGAAGCCGGGTCGCTGGAGCTGCCGGCAGAAGAAAAAAGTGCCGAGTCCCCTGTGCCAGTGGAAAAGGAAGAAGCCGATATAGAAATGGAGGATCTAACCCTTGACGACACCGATCCCAGTAATAAGGACTTGCCCAGTGAGGAGTCAAGGGAAGTGCAAAGTGAGGAGCCAAAGAACCTGCCCAGTGAGGAGCTAAAGGAAATGCCAACTGAGGAGCCAGAGAAAGATACCACTGAGGAGTCAGAGAAAGATACCACTGAGGAGCCAATGAAAGATTCCACTGTGGAGCCACAGAAAGTATCCAATGAAGAACCGAAGAAAGTGTCCACTGAGGAACCCAAGGAAGTTTGTAATAAGTCAGAAGAGCCAAAGGAAGAGGAAAAGGAAGTTATCAACATTGATTTAGCCAGTAGTCCAGTGCCCGCGCCTTTGGATGAAGCTGCACCAAAACCAGATCCAGCTGAGGATACCGACAGCAGCGTTGAGCTTATCGATAGTCCTGTAAAGTCTGCCTCGTCCAACGAAGTTGCCGAGGAGCAGGTCCAACCAGACGGTGTCGATGGTGCACCAGCTGTGGAGGCTAGGCCAGATTCTGAAGAGCCTGTTGAGACCGACAGCAAGGAAGCTGATGAACAGGCGGACAGTAGCATCGAACTAATCAGCAGTCCCACTCCAGATGCCTCTCCTGCCAAAAAAGAAGGCGAAGGAGCAAAGGAGTCGAACAAGCAGGAGCAAGAAACAGCTTCGGAGGAAGGGATCATGGAAGTGGATCAGGAAGACGCATTAAAAACTCCAGCAGACAAATCGAAGGAGAAGGAAAATAGCTCTGAGGAGCCCACTAAAGATGGCAATGATTCCCTAGAAAAAGAAAAACCCGAGCTGACGGCAGACAAACTCGATACACCCATGGAAACCGAAGAAGCACCTGTCATCGCAGATGGAAACGAGGTTGCCCTCGAAGTGGAGCTGGAGAAGGCAACGGAGCAAAAAGCTCCCGAGAACGACGAACCCTTGCCTGCGGATGGAGACATTTTCTATGGGAAGGACTGCATCAACTACAACTGCGAAAGGCTGCACAAACAGTTTGTGCTGGCCAACATGGCTTTCTTGAACTTCTACAATGTGACCCAAAAGGGCTACAGACAGCAGTTCGTATGCATGGAATGCTACGACGCGGCCATGGACGTCTACGAGGTGAAGCAGGTTCCTCAGGGTCCAAGCATCTTAATAATTGTGTCCCTGTTTTGATATTAGGAATTTGCGGGACAGTTGATGGCCAAACAGCCGCTACTGCTGAAGGATTTCCGCCAGGATCATGCCGATTTCGTGGCCCTAGACAGCAGTGATGAGGAAGAGGAGGAAAAACGGCCAGGTATATAGCGTCCAATAGGAATACTCTCCCCACTAACTCACTTGATTTTCTCACAGAGAAAACGGAATTTTCCAAAAACGACCTGAACCTAATCGAAAGTGAGCTGGAAGATGCCATCAAGAGTGTGCTGAGCAAAGTCGAGTTCCAAAATCAACTGGCCTGGTCAAAGACCATACTGAAGGCCAAGGCGGATCGTTTGGAGAGCCAGTTCGCCCTCGTAGATGCGGAACTCGAAAGTGTCCAGAGCACGGCGGACCAGATGCACACCGCCTTGTACAGCTCCTGCGCTGTGGTGCATAAGCATATGCCAGCCCTGGACATCCAGCACAGCATGAGTGACTACATGGTGAGTTGGATGGAATATAAAACTCCTTCCTGGTTAATAACTAGCTTGTTGGATGCAGCAGCAAGTGCCGCCGGCGGGTGAAATCGTTCGTCCACCAATCGAATTGAACGAGACCTATTATGCTGTGAAAAACAAGGCCATTGCCAGCTGGGTGTCCATCAAGGTGATCGAGTTCACCGAGAGCACAGCCATTAATGGCAACACCATGAAGAGCTACAAGATTAAGTATCTGAATACGCCCTATCAGATGATCAAGACGGTGACGGCCAAGCACATAGCCTACTTCGAGCCGCCGCCAGTGCGCCTGACCATTGGTAAGTACTCTCATAATGCTTAATCCGCATTGCCATCTATATAATATCCCCGCCCCCCAATTGCAGGCACTCGAGTGATTGCCTACTTTGACGGCACCACCCTGTCACGGGGTAAGGACTCTGGCACTGTGCAGAGTGCCTTCTATCCGGGCATCATTGCTGAACCCTTGAAGCAGGCCAATAAGCTACGGTATCTGATTTTCTACGACGACGGCTATACCCAGTATGTGCCGCATCGAGATGTCCGGTTGGTTTGCCAGGCCTCGGAGAAGGTGTGGGAGGATGTGCATCCCGCTTCCCGAGACTTTATCCAAAAGTACGTAGAAAAGTACTCGGTGGACCGGCCTATGGTGCAGTGTACTCGAGGCCAGAGCATGAATACAGAGTCCAATGGTACCTGGCTATATGCCCGCGTCATTGACATTGACTGCAGCCTGGTCCTGATGCAGTTCGAGGGAGATAAGAATCACACCGAGTGGATCTATAGGGGCTCGCTACGATTGGGCCCAGTGTTTAAGGAAACACAGAATGCCATGAACAGTTCTCATGCCCAGCAGATGCGTGTGCCCAGGGTGAGAATCTGTTGTAAAGATCCATTAGATTGTTATCAAATTTTATATTATTATATTCCAGCGAACGGAGCCCTTTATACGCTATACGAAGGAGATGGAGTCGAGCAGCCAGCAGGTTAATCGGCAGATGCGCGCCATTGCCCGCAAGAGCAGTGCTTCCATCCAGAGTGTGTCCTCGCCCTCAGCTTCATCCTCGATGACCTCCTCGCCCGCAGTTTCTGCTGCCGCTGGCAGCCGCACCGGAGTGGCCAACACCGTTAAGCATCTCAACAACTCCACCATTTATGTGGATGACGAGAACAGGCCCAAGGGGCATGTCGTCTATTTCACAGCCAAACGGAATCTGCCGCCCAAGATATACAAGCATCACAAATGCAACCCCAACTGTTTGTTTAAAATCGTTCACCGCCTGGACAGCTACAGTCCGCTGGCTAAGCCACTCCTCTCCGGCTGGGAACGTTTAGTGTTGCGCCAGAAGACCAAGAAAAACGTCGTCTACCGAGGTCCCTGTGGCAAGAGCCTGCGCAACCTGGCCGAAGTGCACATGTATCTGCGCACCACAGAGAATGTACTAAATGTGGATAACTTTGATTTCACGCCCGACCTGCGCTGCCTGGCGGAGTATTCAATCGATCCGTCGATCGTCAAGGAGGCGGACATCTCCAAGGGGCAGGAGAAGATGGCCATTCCGCTGGTTAACTACTACGACAACACGCTGCCGCCGCCCTGTACCTACGCCAAGCAGCGGATACCAACAGAGGGGGTTCATTTGAACCTGGACGAGGAGTTCCTCGTGGGCTGCGACTGCGACGATGATTGCTCGGTAAGATTAAAGTTTATTTTTGATATATGCAATTCTGTTCGATGTCTTCCATGCAGGACAAGTCCAAGTGCGCCTGCTGGCAACTGACCGTGGCCGGCGTAAGGTACTGCAACCCAAAGAAGCCCATTGAGGAGATCGGCTATCAGTACAAGCGACTGCATGAGCATGTGTCCACCGGCATCTACGAGTGCAACTCGCGATGCAAGTGCCGCAAGAACTGCCTCAATCGCGTGGTGCAGTTCTCGCTTGAGATGAAACTGCAGGTGTTCAAGACCTCTAATCGCGGCTGGGGCCTGCGCTGTGTAAACGACATTCCCAAGGGAGCCTTTATTTGCATCTATGCCGGACACCTGCTCTCGGAAACTGTGGCCAACCAGGGCGGTCAAGATGATGAGTACTATGCAGATCTCGACTACATTGAGGTGGCCGAGCAGCTAAAGGAGGGCTACGAGTCGGAGGTAGAGCCGCCTTCGGAGCCGGAACCGGACGATGAGACGTACGGCCCGGATCCCGAGGATAATGATGACGACTTCCGGCCCAATTACCACTATCAGCGCAAGAACAAGCGCGCCTCTAGAAACAGCAGCGAGCAGGACTCACAGGAGCGGGCGGTAATCAATTTTAATCCTAATGCCGATCTGGATGAGACGGTACGTGAGAACTCGGTGCGGCGGCTGTTCGGCAAGGACGAGGCACCCTACATCATGGATGCCAAGACTACCGGCAACCTTGGGCGTTACTTCAACGTGAGTGGTCTTTTTCCTTATACTAAGGAGGCGAAGGTAACAAATTCTCTTTATTTTCAGCATTCGTGCAACCCGAATCTCTTCGTGCAGAACGTCTTTGTGGACACCCACGACCTCCGCTTTCCCTGGGTGGCCTTTTTCTCTGCCTCGCACATCCGCTCTGGCACCGAGCTGACCTGGAACTACAACTACGAGGTGGGCGTGGTGCCTGGCAAAGTGCTGTATTGCCAGTGCGGTGCTCCCAATTGTCGCATTCGTTTGCTTTAAATTATGTAGTTTTAAGCTCAAAGAGATGGTTTGCCCAAATAAATAAAGTGAAAATATTTTAAAATGGTTAAAAACTACATTTTTGTAGGGTTTTTGTGAATATTTAAAAAGGGAATGTATGACATGTGTTGGTACTTTGCTAAATAATTAAGCCCAAGAGATAGTATAAACCAGGTTCTTGACCACAACAACGATTTTAAAACAAAACCGCTTGATTAAAAATATTAAAATTAATTATATCCATTTTGTGTAACAGCAAATAATAATAATTTTCAACTTATTTATTGCTAAATGTTAATTATTTTAAATATTATTTTTTAAGATATTTAATTTGTATGTTATTAAAAAAAAAAAACCTTTACAATTTCAGTTTAAAAATTTAAAACAATCGATATATCGATGGTACAAAAGCCAACAATCGATAGTGCCTTCCATAGCAATACCCATTATCGAACTGTTGTCGCAGCTCTAATTCGCAAGTCATTTCGGCGTCAAGTCATCCCGGCATTTGTTTTTCGATATTTATAAAGAAATAAAAGAAAAGTAAGCTTTATATTTTATTTTATATTGTGACGAACGTGTAATAGAAGAGCCGAAATTTTAGCGCAACATGTTTCTAACCCGCTCCGAGTACGACAGAGGTGTGAACACGTTCTCGCCGGAGGGCCGCCTCTTCCAGGTTGAATATGCCATTGAGGCTATCAAATTGGGCTCAACAGCCATTGGAATCTGCACTCCCGAAGGTGAGCTACTGCTTTACGAGCCAATTAATGCAGAAACATAATTAAATCTATTCTCAAGGCGTCGTTCTGGCCGTGGAGAAGCGCATCACATCGCCCCTGATGGTCTCCAGCACTGTAGAGAAGATCGTAGAGGTGGACAAGCATATTGGCTGCGCCACCTCCGGACTGATGGCCGATGCCCGCACCTTGATCGAACGCGCTCGCGTCGAGTGCCAGAACCACTGGTTCGTCTACAACGAGCGCATGTCCATCGAGTCGTGCGCCCAGGCCGTCTCCACGCTGGCCATTCAGTTTGGTGACAGTGGCGACAGCGACGGAGCCGCCGCCATGAGCCGTCCCTTTGGCGTGGCCATTTTGTTTGCCGGCATTGAGGCTGGCAAGCCGCAACTGTGGCATATGGATCCCTCCGGCACATTTGTGCGTCACAGCGCCAAGGCCATCGGTTCGGGCAGCGAGGGTGCCCAGCAGAATCTGCAGGACAACTTTACCACTGAGATGAGCCTCAACGATGCCATCGAACTGTCGCTGAACACCCTGAAGCAGGTGATGGAGGAGAAGCTGAACTCGACCAATGTGGAGGTGATGACCATGACGAAGGAGAAGGAGTTCTACATGTTCACCAGGCAGGAGGTGGAGGAGCACATTGCCAATTTGGCGTAATTTTGCTGCTTTAAATGGGTTAACTTTTGAACGTAATTTGTGAATAAATGGATTCTAAATCGATCTTTTGGAGAGAACAATGGGATTTTTCTATTTTGGATGTCCTTCGAAGGTAATTATAAGTTTCTAATATAAAAAAAAGTATTATAATTTCACTCAGAAGCAAATAACGTTATGAAAGAGTCATTTCCGACCCTATAAAGCATATATATTCTTGATCAGCTTCAACAGGCGAGTCTATCCAGCCATCTTCGACAGAAAAAAAAAAAATTTTAATTTTTTTGAAAATTTTACAAGGGGTTATATCGTCAAAATTCGAAAAATATTTTAATTTCAAAAATTTTTAACTGAATATGCAGATTTATTAACCTAATAAAAACTAGCATAGAAATCCTTTCCGCATTGAATTTAATGCATTTTTGGCTTAGTTATGATAGATTTTCTTCATCGAATTGCCACTGAAAATTTTAAATCCCCTTTAGATTTCTTTCTCGTTAGTATATACAGTTGACTTTATTCGTATGCATGTATAATTCGTGTATGTGTATATATATAGATTTATTATGTTTATTTGCTACAACATTTTGTGGATCCACTTGGCGTCGCTGGAAACCGCTCTACAATAATATCTCGTTTCGCATAATCATATAATATAATACATGTAATCTAGACACAAACTGTTGAGCAAATCAAACAGCTCGGATTAACTTGGTTAATCCCCGTACAAAGGCAAATCATAAAGAACTACGCTTTTCCTCTTCGATGCACAGACTTCTTCTAAAGTTAATATATATATGTGTATCTCTTTGCTACAATTCAATGTGTGTTTTGTACCTAGAACCGAAGCAATGCAAATAAGGCAGATTAAAAAACATTTACATCTAAGTTGTGTGTGAGAGGGACTCGACAGGTAGTAGGTTCTGGCTGGTGGACACAGGGAAGACGAAGAAATGAACAGGTTGCGTGTATACCTATATCGTACGAGTATATGTATATATATCTCTCTATATATGCGTGTGTATAAATACATAAGTAAGCGGGGGCCTAATCCCCGCGAGCATTCACAATTGGTTTTGCCATCTCCTCCACACTCCTTCTATGAGGTCTGATGGTGTTGGTGTTGTTGTGGTTGTTCGCTGCCACTGGGACTGCTGTTGGTGTTGTTATTATTGGTGCAGCCAGCAGCACCACTGTTGCTGGCGGTCCGCATCATCAGCCGGGACAAGCTGGTATCAGTTAGCGAGTAAATCTCCGGCTCAAACACTGGCGGACACTCCATGTTCGGATAGTCTGGGGTGGCCGCTTTCGAGTCCACGGAACCAGAGTTTGAAACTTTCGGCGTGGCTGCACCCTCCGATGCCGCAACTCTCTCTTCCGGCTCTGGTTGCGACTGTGCCTCCTCCTCGCCTCCTCGCTGCCTGTTGGCCTGTATCGGAGGCGGCGGTGCCGGCGGCAAGGGTGGCTGCAGCCCCTCCGAAGAGCACAAATTGGTGGTGGATGTGGTCATGATGCCAGGTCCCCTGTAGCTTCGATAGCCCGCCTGATTGTGCGTGGGCAGGGTGATCTGCGAGAAGATCTCTTGATCGCAATCGGGATCCGCACTGCTGGGCGGAGTCATTGGCGGCAACTGTTGCTGCTGCTGATGATGGTGGTGGCCAAAGAGGGTGCGATGCAGCAACGGTGAGCCGAATAAGCGATTCTCCTTCGAAGGCTTGACTGGTGTTCCACCCGAAATGGAAAGCTTCGAGAAGATGGGTATTGGGGCTGAGTTCTTGCGATGTGCATCGTACTTGGTGCCCACCCGCAAGTCCTGATTGTACGTCTGGCTCTTCTTGATACTGCTCCCACCGCCACCGCCACCCAAGGGCAATCCATTGCCTCCCGTTCCGTCCAGGGCGTGATTCGATTTGGATTTTTTGTTCAAAGGCAGCGTCATGGTCATCGCATGGCCGGATGAACTGCCTGTGGATCCGGTCGAGTGCTTGGAGAAAGGAAAGCGCCGATCGCTGCCCGACTTACTCTTGCTCTTCTTCGACTCTGAGGTGGATCCGGAGCTGCCGCTGCTGCTGGTCTTGTGCAGAAAGCTGGAGAACTGTAGCTGCTGAGAGCGCAGGAAGTGCTTGGTCTTGCTACTCTGCTGCTGCGGCTGCGGCGGCTGCTGCTGCTGATACTGTTGTTGCTGTTGCTGCTGGTGGTGATGATGATGATGATGCTCCTGCCTGGAGCTTGAACTTGAGCTCGGCTCATCGCCGCAAATAAGCTCGTAGCCAAAGTCTCGCAGCTTCTGACCCTCTCTTCCCCTAGTTCGCTTAATACTCTCGTCATCCGGCTTGAAGCTTATCTCGTAGTCCGGCGTTTTGGGTAGACTCACGCTTTGGATCTTGGGCAGCTTTTCCAGGGGCTTCGCCACACTGCTGCTGCTACTCATGGCACTTTGTTGGCTGGCCGTTGACTCTGTGCGTGCATGCTTGTGCTTCTCGACGCCGAGATGAACACGGTTGTTGTACATCTCCTGGGCCTCCTCCTCCTGCTTGCGCAGCATCAATGCCTTGAGCGTCACAAAGCCCTGGATATTGTGGCCATGGTCCAACGTAGTGCCCACACTCATCTTCGGCAGCAGCGTTTTCGAGGTGTGAAAGTCGAACTCCACCAAGTTTGGATTCGAGGCGTGCAGGAAGTTGTAGGGAACCTTCTTCAAACTCGACTTGCTGCTGGGACTTTGACTCTGGCTCTGGCTGGGGCTTTCCTCGGAGCTCTGGTGCTGCAGCGAAGTGGGCGTGGCTGCGGTGGGAGTCGGCGCCGGCGACGTTGGCGGTCCCAGAATCGAAGCCGAGACGGAAACGGCGGATTCTGTGCCGCTGACCACGGAACTTCGACTGGAACTGCGCGACAATTTGGGTGCGGCCGCCAAGGGTGTGATCTGTGTGGGCGGCATGGCGGGATCATGGTAGCCCGGTGTATTGGCTCCTATCTGGATGCCAAAACTGCCGCCAGGTACTTTCCTGTAGCTACGATACTGCTCCGTTGGCACTGGTATATCGCTCGATGGCTTCGCCGCACTGCTCTTGCCCATCTTCCCCATAGTGAACTTCCGAAAGGAGTCCAGATATCCACGCTCATGCTTCGTGGGCCCGGCCGACGGCGGCGTTCCGCCAGGTAGCACCAGCGAGGAGGCAGACATCGCCTCCTTATTGCCCTGCGGCGAAGGTGTGCTCAGGTTATTGGCCACCAGGGCGTCGCACTCCTCACCCGAGCTGTCGTTCTCCGAATACAGATCCTTGGCATCTCCCGCATCGCGCGATGCCGAGCCTTGCGGCACCTTGAGCGAGGCCTGGCGCAGAAAATCCACCCACTGATTGAGGGCGTTTAATGACTCCGCCGCAAAGTAAAAGCTCTTGGCCGTGTGGTATACCTTGAAGGCGTGCGGCTTCGAGTGCACCTCCTTGGCCAGCGAGACTGTGAAGCCGGGCAGGAAGATCACCAGGCTGGCGCTAGTGCTCTCCTTGCTGCGGAACCCATACAGAATCGTATCTAGCATCACAAAGTAGATCCTCGCCCAGTAGGTGACGCCGCGATGATTCTTTTTACGCCTGTACAGGTGCCCCTGGATGTCGCCGGTGCCAAGGAGCTTCAGGTTCGTGTTTCGCCGCTTGGCCATCAGACTGTGCTTCTTCTTGAGGGTCAAGGTGCGGGACTTGCTCGGTGTATGCAGCTCGCTGATCTCTGAGGGAGACTCCACGGGTGTTGTCGGTACTGGCACATGCACAGGCACAGGAATGGAGATGCTAGTGACACTGCCAGCTGGCTGCATGCTGGCGGGCTTTGGCGGCGGCGGTGGCACTACTGGCGGCGTCATCTCCCGCTGCTTGCGCGGTCTGGGCGGCGGTGCAGGCGGCGTGACGAGCAGAAACTCCTTGCGCGGCTCTATTGCTGGTGGTGTGTCCGATTCCTCGCCCGAATTGTCGTAGGCGGGCGTACTGTGGCTCTTGTCCAGTCGCCCTCGGCATCTCTGCTGCTGCAGTAGGAGCGGCGTGTTAATGGCCTCCGCCAGGGGCAGCTCCTGACCGCGTGTGGCCTGATTGATGGCATCCAGTAGGTCCTCGGCATTCTCCGTCTTGCAGTTGCGCAGCGTCTCCAGAGCATCCTCGTCGCCCTCATCCGCAAATGGTATCGGCTCAAAGGTTTCCAGAATGGTGTTCTCCACATTGCAGGTAAACATCTCGTTCTTTACCACATAATCCTCAACCTTCATGTTGGCATCAAAGCGAACTACCTTGCTAACGCCCGGCTTGTAGCGCTCCTCGAGGAACTCGCGCTGCGACTCCTCCGTCAGCTGCTTTAGCTTTCTCACCTCGTGGAACATCCGTTTGTCGCCCGCGATCCCAATGCAGGTAGTGGGTCTCGGCGCTATCTCCAGGCCATATCCGAACGATATTGATTTGTCCCTGATGCTCGGCGAACCGGGATCGCAGGCCGCCGAAGAGCCAACGCCCGGCTTTCGTTCGTGCCACGACGGTACCACCAGATCCGAGTGCTTCAAACTAAGAAACTCATCCCCGCAGATGGTGTTGCGACGCTGCAGCAAGGCCCTGGGCTTGGGGTAATACAAACGAATCTCTCGCGCCGCCGACTTGAGATCCGTGGGCGTGGGAATGTCACTGCAGCTGGAGTCCGAATCGGAGGCGGAGGAAACCGCCGTCGGATTGACCTTAACCAGATCCTCTCCGCTCTTCTCACTGCTCAGCGACTTTCCCAGACCAGAGTCTGGCACTGTGTTTACGATTCCGATTCCCACTCCACCTCCAGTTGCCGCTCGATCCGTGTCCAGGGTGAGGAAGGCGGTCCTGGGACTCGGCATCTGCTCCGCCCAGCGACTGGCCATGTTGCGCTTCTTGCTGGGCAGCCGGTACGGCTGCATATAGATCTGGCCGAACATCTTGGTGTGCTTGGGCCGCTTCTTAACAGTAAGCACCACATCGGGCAGAGCTTCGCGCAGGTGCTCCAGCACGGTGCGATGCTGCCATCCGACCACAGTTTGGTAGTTAATCTGGACGATCTCATCGCCGTCCTCGATCTTCCCCGAGTTGTGGGCCGGGGAGTTGCTCTTGATGTCGGTGACGCGATGGATGCCATTGTAACTGGACTCAATGTTGAAGCCCAGCTCGGACTCCCGTTTCTTCAGCGTCACGAGGTTAAGGGAGGCGGGCTGTAGCACCATCGGATCGGATATGTCCTGGATGATGAAATTCGCTAGTTTCTCTAGTTTCTCCGCCAAGTGCCGAATGTCGTGCACCGGCTGGACGGCGAACCGATCGCGGTGCGCTATGGTGGCCAGCTCCAGGCCACGTTTTAGGACGTTGCCACAATACTCGCGGTACATCTCCTGCTTGCGGAACGGCGTCCGTTCCAAGCTGCCCACCAGCGGCTTTAGAGTGGCTATCGTCCGCGTAATGTCATGCAGAATCCGAGTATCGATCTTGGTGCTGTCCGCATGGTTCTTGGCCAGCTCACGGTGCAAATTTCGTGCGGCCGTCGCGACATGCAACGCCATAAACTGCAGATTGTCGTTTTTTAGGTGATAGTGCTGCAAGATAAGATTAGGGTTGGATACAAATCTCCTAGGCATCGAATTCGAATAACTCACGAAATTCCGCAGATTCTCCACCGCCTCCAGCACGATCTCCTGGTGGCCGATGCGCAGCATGCCCAGATTCTCCAGCTCATAAGGCCGTATGTTGAGCAGCGCCCGTCCGCCGATCTCCTGCTTGGCGAACTCGTACAAATACCCCTTCATGGACTCATCCAGACCTGCAGCCAAGATGTCAAAAATCAAAAATGGATTCCCAGGTAAGAGCGGAAATCTGCTGGGAAAAGCGGAATTTCCTGTTGCTGCAGCGCTGCCCTTTGTTGTTGCTGCTGCTTTTGGGGCAGTGGCTCTGCCAGGGCCACCACAGATGCATTTTTTCGTGTGTCCGTTTTCCTTGACCTCGCTCTCGGCCGTTTCCACACTTACCCCTTATCCAGTCCGTCACCTGGTCGGGCGTCCACTCGGCGATGTTGATGTATGCCATCCTGCTGCTGATCCTCGCACGGCATCAATGCATCTAAGGCATTATTATTAAATTATTTAATATAAAATAAAAAACAAAAAGATATATGCGTCGGTGTGCCCGCCGCTATTATTGTTGATTAGGCCATAACGCCTCGAAAGAGTGGCCAGAAAATGCAAGCGCGCCAGTGCTGCCAGATCGAAGAACTTCAAGGCTGGACTTGTTCTCAATTTGCAGCGTTTTCCTAACTCGGCAAGGAGCGGCCTTTCCAAAAACAAACCCTTAAAATATGGCAGAGATCTCACAAGAAAAATCACCCACTCCATAGTCTGCAACACCAGATGTTGTTAAATTTATAAATTATGTGACCAGCCATAAGTACTTAATTTGTGTTGCCACTTCTTTGAGGCGTTTTGGCATATTTCTTGACATCAGATCGGGTCACACATGTTCCAATCAAACAGCTGAGCGGAGAATCTAATTAATTTGGCCCCCAAAACACTCGAATAAATGCAATGACAGCGCCAAATGGAAATAGATAATAGATATATGCCCCACCAGCTCAATTGCCCTCCCCCAGCCAGCCCCCACGCCCGCTGTCAAGCGCTGGAAACCCGTGAAGAAGAATGTATATATATGCGGCCCGGGCATCGGCCGCGCACGTTTTTCGAAGACGAACAGATTTCAGTCACTTGCTGGGAGAGGGAGAGGCACGACGAAGTTAATCACCGCGTGTTTTTCTAATCGCTGCAACTGGCTGCACCACGATTTGCTATCCAAAATGTCTGTGACCCAGACGAAACAAATCAAATTCTACAACCCATCGAGTTCCGCGAGCTCCGACAGGTAACGAACGACATTTTAATGCTGCGTAAGGTGTGAAAACCCTCAGAAGTCATTAGAGTGTGATACACACACCAATACACGCGCGCAGGCACGCATACCGAGGCATGTGCTCCAATCCGAGCCATTCATCATCATCCATCGCGGGGCCTAAACACGCAATAAAAATAAATGCTAGGAAAACGGCATAGGCTTACGTGCACACATACCGTCAAATATAACGTATGTTAAATTCAAATTCAATACTTGCCGGTTGCAGCTGAAAAGAGAAAGGAAGAAGTGGAGAGACCGATAGAGAGAGTGCGAGCGAGGCAAACCCCCTTGCGAGAACAGTTACAAACTAGAGATGCGCAATGTTTTATCCAAACTCAAGAAAATTTTAAAATTTCAAATTTAATTTAACAAAAAAATACAAATTTAACGATTTTTCTCAATAAATTTCGTTGCTTTATCAACTACAAAACTAAATTTATCCAAATACGTGAGGAAAACCCGAAATATTTAATAAGGACAAATTCGCGTAGTGTTTTTATTTTCAACACCGGGCAACCTTGGTAATTTCCAATCCCATTTACCTGTCTTGAAAGGTAGTCCAGGTATAAATCGTGACACGGATAAGCACGCCTCACGAGCGCACCTTTATTACAAACGCAGCGGCAACAACAAAAACAGCGAAACGGCGACGACGGCGGCAGAGGCAGCGCAGCTTTTTAACCTTAGCTGCCTTCGCACTTTTTTGTCATTCAATCGTTGCCCAAACGCTGCTCACCTCACACCTCCACCTCTACCGCCGCCTTCGCTGCTCGCATTTTATTAGTTATCGAATAAATATTGGCCGCAACGCAAAAGGCCAAAAGATACGCGGCGCTGCGAAAGAAATAAAAGCTTTAAATCACATGTGATCCGCGCCGGCCCATGTGCAAGCGATTCTTGTGAGCGTGTCGAGTGCGAGTGTATGTGGAAGTGAGTGACTGACCCATTTTGGCATCGCCGGCGCGAGACTTGCGACGTTCTGTTCTCACGCCCACGCCACGCCGCACCGCCGCACTGAATCCACTCGCGCCTGGCAGACGCTTCTAAAATGAGCAGCATCACGTTTTTGTGCAGCAAGTCGAGCCACAACAACAATAGCGATGTCCAAAAGGGGAAGCAGGCGTCATCGGTCTTTGCATCGGCGCCCGCCGGTTTACTAACCATCGCCACCCACCAACAGCAACACCAACACCAGCAGCAACAACAACCACAGCAGAAGTCAAAGGTTAAGGCTACAGCAGCAGCAGCCAAAACCAATGGTCACATGTAATTCATTGCATTTTCTTCATTTTTAGTGTAAATCAAATCGAAACCATATTCATTTGTGCATGATGTGAGTGTATGTGTTCGAGTGTTTGCAGTGTTTTTTTTTTATTGTTGTTGCTGTTGTCGTCATTTACCGCCATTCTAATTGTTTTGCTGTTGCGCTTGTTTGTCCAGTACTCGTATGTGTGTGTCTGTATGTCTGTCTCCGCTTCCAGTGTTTAATTAACGCTCTTCGTCTTTCTGTTAACATTGTTTATCGAGTCGTGTCTGCGGTGCGGTAAATAACAACAAATAATGAAAAGACGATAGCGCGTCAGCAAGTGCGCTCTCAATTCTCCAATCTCCAATTTCCAAACATGGCTGCGCGATCAAGCCACGTCTATCAGTTAGGTTTTGCCAGCCGGCTCTTTTCGCCGCCAACGAAATGCTATCCTCCAAGAACTCCTGGCACCATGCCTGTTGTCCTTGTTCCTCCTTCTTTGCCTGGATAACCTGTTGACTGCGAAGAGCGAGGAGCGCTGCTCACGTGGCAGATGCTGCTAATGCTACTCTCTCCCTGACGCGCCTCCAGCTCTCGTTACTGTGCAAAAACTATAAATATGCTGAGGAATCTGCTCTGGCGTCACCAGAATTGGCTCTGTTTTTTTTTGTTGTTTTTCGCAGAAAAGTAAATAAAGAGCAGAAGATACGCAGGAGAGACAAGAGAGAGAGTGCAACGAACGCGCCTACGCCGCATCTAAAAGATGGGTTGTCTGGTTTTGCTTTGTCTGCCTGCTCCTCCTCCTCTTGCTCCTGCTGGTGAAATACATGTGGATGACTGAATTTGCATGTATTTGAAACGAGCTATGGTCTGTATCAGTTGAAAGGCCAAATGCGGCCGGAAACTGTTTCTGGTTACTCCGCAAACGCTGTCTCGACTCGCCGGGGTCACGTCAGCATTCTGCAGCACACATGGCGGAAATACCCTAAATGTAATCTTGCCATACATGCATACGTATGTACATGTGTTTGTATGTATATGTTTGGTGCTCTACATTAAAATTAGGGTGGTCAAATATTAATATGCCATTTTAAATATTTTCTTTGTGATCACTGTACAAAGTTACTGCCTTTTTAGCTCTATAATATTTGAAGTAGTAGCTGGTTTCATTCATTTTATCCAAATGTCCATCCTTATTCTCCATGTTACAATTAACTAATGTTCTCTTTTTGAAATTGGTCCACCCTAATTTTCACATGTGCTTTCCCAAATGTCTCCAATTTCGCAATATTTAATTCATGAAATTTCATTAATAATTTGGTTTTTAATTACTAATATCATTAGCAAGCCTCTTTATATTCCCATATTATTTTATATTACGAATCGTAAAATTCCGCCATCGCAAACAACTGCAACTTTATGCAATACTTTCTCTCCAGACCTCGATTTTAAAGCCACACGCCTTAAGTAACGACCATAACATTATCTGTCCCCATTGGAAGCCATAAAACAATTAACCCTTAATATTGGCGACGTTATCTTCTATTACATTCAATTAAAAGACTCGAGTAAGATTGCTATTTATAGAACCTATTGAGCAGCAGATTAATTCTGTGTTTGCGTGGGTGCACAAAGAGGGGTGCCGGGGACTTTAAAGTGGAGTAGGTCAGTGAGTATACTGCATCCTTGAACTCGGGGGAAAGCACAGCTTTAAGCTCTCTCCTTCCCTGTTGAGAATTCGCACTGACTAACAACAAAGGAAGGAAATCCGTTCCGTAGTGTATATTTCTTTGTGACCATGTTTATTTTTGAAATTATTGTGAAATTAATCAGTGGCCGGTCGACTTATCAACGTTATCTTGTGGCTAATCACTGAATTCCGAATACTTTTGTCGTAGCTTTAAACCCAACGTCATTGTTATTCGGTGGGGGGAGTATAAATAGTATAGAAAAGGTGCGCCGCCGCTCGTATCTCTGACACTAATTGCCAACTAATCCTTGGCCTGATTTACTATTTGCAGCGATGACCGGTCAGATGTCACGGAACAGCTTTATGTGGATCCATACGCTGACCTGGGTAATGGTTTGCCCGGGGATCTTAACTGCTGCCCGGCCTCGCCCACCACAGTGCCTGCCAAAGCGTCGCTGGAGTCGCCATTGAAACGCTCTGGCCGGAGACAGCGAACCACGTCGATTGGCAACCAAACCACCACCGCGAATCCGTCCGAATGCATCATACGCGCCAATAATCGTACGATCTACACGGCCGGACGTCCGCCGTGGTACAATTGTGCCGGCCAGCAGGTTGAGCCCTTTGTCATAGGTAAGATGAAGGAGTCTATCAAAGCAAAGCAATCTCTAATATATTGGTTTTCTTTCCGCCACAGGAATCTGCGGAGGAAGTGCTTCTGGCAAGACCACAGTGGCAGAAAAAATCATCGAGAGCCTAGATGTGCCCTGGGTGACACTCTTATCCATGGACTGTTTCTACAAGGTGGAATCACATCCAAGATTAACAAAGTTCCCCACTCATTCTCCTGAAATTCTGTAGATCCTTAATGAAAAGCAGCATGAGCAGGCCCTGATCAATGAATACAACTTCGATCACCCGGATGCCTTTGACATTGAGCTGTTGCTGGATGTGCTCACCAAACTTAAGGAGGGACGCAAAGTCGAGGTTCCCGTGTACAATTTCGTAACACATGGACGCGAGAGCCAGACAAAAACTATGTACGGTGCGAATGTTATCATCTTTGAGGGCATCCTCACATTCCACAGTCCCGAGGTGCTCAAGCTGCTGGACATGAAGATCTTTGTGGACACAGATCCGGATATTCGTCTGGCTAGAAGGCTGAAAAGGTAACTACTGCTGGATCTAGTCTGCTTCTAGTTGGATTTTTAATATGCATAATCCTTTTTAGGGACATCTCACAACGCGGGCGCGACCTAAGGGGCGTTCTAAAGCAATACCTGAACATGGTGAAGCCGTCGTATGCTAATTACATAGCCCCCACTATGGCCCATGCTGATATCATTGTTCCACGCGGAGGAGAGAACAAGGTGGCCATCCATCTCATCGTCCAGCACGTGCACACACAGCTCCAGCTGGTAAGATGTCTTACAAATAATTCTTTGATCCAATCTTATCCTTTCATTCCTTTCTGTTTAGCGTGGATTCAAGCTGCGCGAAACGCTGGCCAACTCATACAAGGACCAGCCCATGCCACATTCTCTGCACCTGTTGCATCCCACTCCCCAGATCAAGGGGCTGCACACGTTCATCCGCTGCCGGAATACGTCCCGCGATGAGTTCATCTTCTACTCGAAGCGCCTGATCCGTCTGGTCATCGAGTATGCCCTCAGTTTGTTTCCATTCAAGACAACCACAGTGGAGACGCCCCAGGGTGTCCATTATGAGGGAAAGCGAATGGAATCGCGCAAGATCTGTGGAGTGTCCATCCTTCGGGCTGGCGAAACTATGGAGCAGGCCGTGTGCGACGTTTGCAAGGACATACGTATCGGCAAGATCCTTATCCAGACCAATTTGAAGACCGGCGAACCGGAGCTCTATTACCTGAGGCTGCCCAAAGACATAAAAGACTACAAGGTGATACTAATGGATGCCACCGTGGCCACCGGAGCCGCAGCAATGATGGCCATACGGGTGTTGCTGGATCACGATGTGCCCGAGGAGAACATCATCCTGGCCTCGCTACTGATGGCGGAGATCGGTGTGCACTCCATTGCCTATGCCTTTCCAAAGGTGAGATTGAAAGATCTTCCGTCTTATGAAGAAACCTTAAAAACTCCTTTTTTCTTTGCGTTTTGTTTAGGTGAAAATTGTTACTTCCGCTCTGGATCCGGAGATTAATAGTAAGTTTTATGTTATACCCGGCATTGGTAACTTTGGCGATCGCTACTTCGGTACGGAACCCTCGGACGAGTACTGAGGAGGACGTAGCTAAACATCCACGTCACTGGAAGCAAGCAGCATGTTTCTAATGTACCCTAGGTTAAGTTCAAAGCGTTACTTAAATTATGAATTCGGAACAAGATGGTGTTTTATTGGACTGACTACTATAGGAAGCGCATGAGCAGCTGGACGAGAAAGGCTATGCTGCCAACCACCAGGGCAATGCCCACATATCGCTGTATCAGCTGATCTCTGCTTCTCGCTTGGGTCTGTACTACGGTCGCCGTCGGCGCCGCCTCCTCCTGCTTATTTGCACACCTCGTCCAATCCCGTTCGTCGTCGAGTATCTCGCCTACCATACTGAACTTGCTGACACTGGTGATGCGGACATGGACACGAGTACCCAGGAGATTCTCCCGCATTGGCAGCAACACCTGTTCGTAGCTCTTATTGTGACCCACATAGTGTAGCTTGTCGTGAGATACTTCCGTCACCAGCACTGTGTATATCTCACCCACACGATCAGCATATGGTTCGTAGGTGTAGAAGAGATCCGTGAGGCGTTTGGTTCGCTTCTTCACCAGGTTCGCGGGAATGCGTTCCATCTTGGCAGCTGGTGTGCCGGGTCGAGGAAAAAACTGGTTGATAAACAGACTGGGGAATCGGTACTTGGCGCACAGGGTCATCGTCTCTTCGAAGTCAGCCTCGGTTTCGGTGGGAAAGCCGCAGATGATATCAGTGGCTATGGTAACGCCGGGAACCCGTTCCCTTAGGAAATCCACTACGTGCTCGAACTCCTGGCGACAGTACTCGCGCTTCATCTCACCCAGCACAGAATCGCTGCCACTCTGGTGGATTAAAAGGAGATTAGAAACTAGTTTTTAAGACACAATTAGTAATCTCACCTGCACGGGAACATGCAAAAAGGCATAGACTCTAGGGTGCTGCAGAACCTTGGCAACCTCTTCGAGGTGCTCCAAGATGTACGGCGGATTGGTCATGCCTACACGCAGCATACAATGCTCGGGGATAACTTCAACCAACTGCCACAATAATTCCGGCAGGGAACTGCCAATATCTCGACCATAAGCTCCAGTATCCTCCGATGTCAGCCAGATTTCGCAACAACCTTCTGCAAAGGATTGGCGGGCACGCTCGACCACTTCTTCCGGTGGATAGCTAGCTAGATCCCCGCGAGCGTGCTTCGTCTTGCAGTATGTACATTGATTCAAGCAGCCAGAGTTGATGGATATGATCTCGATCAGCGGATTCTTGCGAACCTTGGGCAGCGAAAGAGGAGCCCCGGCTACGCGGCGGCCGTGCACCTTCTTCTTGTTCTGCAGCAGCTGGACACTGTGCCCTTTGAGCGTCTCCTCAACGACCTCCACCACGCGATCGATCTGCTGAACACCGATAACGGAGAGCCCGCTTAGGTAGTCCGACTTTGGAGCTCCTTGGGGAACGCAGCCGGCGACCACGACATGCTTGCCGTTGCGCATTCCCGACTCAATTTCATTGCGAAACGTGTCTTCTGAGGGATTCTTAACCGTACAGCTGTTGAGCAGCCACAGATCCGCCTCCTCCTTGCCACTTAATTTATAGCCGTAGGCAGCTAGCTGCCCAGCCATGTACTCCGAGTCCGAGTTGTTGTGAGCGCAGCCCCATGTCTTTACGAAGACCTTCTGGGTGCCGGGTATTACACTTTCATGGATGGTGGGCTTTGGTTTGTCCTCCTTTGCCTCCTCGGTTTCTGGTCGGATTTGCGCTCGTCTTTTGGCTCGCACTGTGACGTTCTTCTTGTTTTCATAGCGCTCCCGCGGCTTCACATCGTCGGCGGATATGAGATCCTCGATGTCGTCCACATCGTTGCCCGGTAGATCCTGTCCCAGGTGGTACATAATGACTTCGTATCCTGGTTCTGAAGGCACATGTGCGCACCCGGCCAGCTGTTTACATTCGTTTCGTGCTTCTTCTTTTTACTAATAGTGTTGGAAAGCGTTGCGTGGGGGCTATTCGATAGGCTATTTCGATTATTATTCGGCTGCAATGAGGTCGCAATACCCTGTAAAGTTCAAAATAGTTTGATTTTAACAGAAACTTAAAATAAGCGAGTACTACCTTTATACAGCAATAGCCTTAATCAGATTTACTTTAGCTTTTTCTTATAAGCAAACTTCAGAAATATTTAACACACCCTCAAGCGCGAACAGCATGGCATCGCCAATATGCCCGAGCTTTTGCGGCTTTTGCACCCTACTGTGTAGACACACAGTTATCAGCGCGCTATCAGCGGGAACGTTCCACTCTGCTCCAGACCGCCACAGCAGCCTGTAATCATAGAAACCATGGCCACGATTACGATCAAGTGTAAAGACACAAATCTGGACCCTCTGCCAGTCAAGGTAAGGTTACATCCTTATCGAGTTTAGGAAATTCGAATTTTATTGCATCGTCAAACAAACAAACCCTCGGCAGATTGGTATAATTGGCGGTTCCGGCCTGGATGATCCCGATATCCTGGAGCACCGCCATGAGCGGGTGGTAGAGACGCCGTATGGCGAACCATCGGATGCCCTGATAGAGGGCGAAATCAATGGGGTTCAGTGCGTCCTCCTAGCGCGCCATGGACGCAAGCACGACATCATGCCCTCCAACGTTAACTACCGCGCCAATATCTGGGCTCTGCGCGAGGTGGGCTGCACCCACCTAATCGTGTCGACGGCCTGCGGTTCCCTGCGCGAAGAAATACAGCCTGGCAACCTGGTGATTCCTCACGACTTCATAGATCGCACCACCAAACGCCTGCAGACCTTCTACGATGGCAAAGACCAAAGTCCACGTGGTGTTTGCCATCTGCCGATGTTTCCGGCATTCAGCGAACGCACCCGCAACGTCCTGATCGAAGCGGCCAAGGAGCTGGAGATACCCACCCACGAAAAGGCGACCATTGTGACAATCGAGGGTCCGCGCTTCTCATCCCGCTCTGAGAGCCACATGTTCCGGCTATGGGGCGGCGATCTGATCAACATGACCACATGCCCGGAAGTGGTGCTGGCCAAGGAGGCTGGCCTGCTCTACGGCTCGGTGGCCATTGCCACGGACTACGATTGCTGGCGCATGGGATGCGAGGGCGTCAATGTGCAGGATGTCCTAAGAACCTTTGCCGAGAACGTGATCAAAGTTAAGAAGATCCTGGTCAATGCAGTGGGACGCATTGCCAAAGAAGACTGGTCGGAGGATATACTGAACGCCAAGGTAACTGGGTAATATTCATCAATGCCAAGATTTAGGGCTAACAAAAAGGTTATTCCGCTTACAGAAATGCGTCTGCGACAACACCATGTCGGGAGCCATGTGACGTTTCATAAAACTATGCCATGAAATCACACACGAGACGCTGATGCGCCACAAACAGCCATGCGTGCCACCGCCTTTCTATCATCAGTTCCAGCGCCAGCGAATGCCCAAAGTCCACTCCATTTCCATTACGTACGAACTGGAGCCGGAGTACAAAGAAGAGCAGCCAACGAAGGTTCCCTTTAAATGTGAAACTGTAACCTCGGCATCGGGGTCCTCGCAGTAAAAATATAGCTACATAATTACGTGTGACTAGAAGCTTCTCCTTATTCTCTGAACCCACTCGGCGTTTTGAAATTTTTGTGACAATTTGAGTGTGACATTTATAAGATGACAATTGTGTAATTACATAGAGTTTTGCGTCTTTAAAATTAAAATTGGAATTCCAACGAGCGCACGCTGCTGTTGCTAGTGGCCTTAAGGACACTTGCGCTCCACCTGACTCTTGCCGGCCTCCTCGTACTCCTGCGAAGAAATCCACATCTGCTGAAAGGTGCCTATGCTGGCCAGTATGGAGCCGCCAATCCAGGCACCGAATCTCCGCTCCACGCTGCCGTTGGCCGAGATCATTTTCAGTCGCGTATTGGACGGAGCCCGGAGCTGCAGATCACGATTCAGGCGCTCCGGGAAGCCTTGCAGCAGAGTATTGCCACCTAAAAGAAGCGGTAATGGATATTGGAATACTTAGTTGTTAAGGCAAAGTAAATCTCTTACCAGTTACCACCACCGAGCCGAAGAGGGACAGGCGCACATCGGCATCACACATGCCCACGCTCGTGGATGCCAGTTGGCCGGCTCCCAGCATGGCGTTGTCAAACAGACTCTCGGCAATCTTAAACCTTTCGGAACTGAAGTCCTGGTGATAGCCGTTGGGGAACTCATAGTGCACCGTTGGGATTTGGGCAGCCACACGTTCGTCGAAGGGGCCCTCCAGCACCTGCAGCACGTTCATCTGGAAGTCCTGCATCATTAGCTGCAGCATGTAGTTCTGCCACGATTGCGTCAGGTTTTCTGGCAGTTTACGTAGCGTGAAGCGAGCATTGTCCCGCTCCTTGACCACATCTTTAGAGGCAATCTTGTACACCGGCGAAAGATCAATGCCGTGCTTCTCCAAATGCTGACGGCACTGCCGTGAGAGGAAATCGCCACCCAGGGGAGACTTGACCACCGCCTGTGACAGAACATAGCCCTCATGCACGGGCACCGCCGAGGTGTGAGTGGCCCCGCTGTCCACAACCAAAGCAGTGGCCCGTCCGCTGGAGAAGGCGGCCAGCACGGCGTTTTTTACCAGAAAGAAGGCTGGAACATTGTACTTCTCGAACATCAGCTCCGTGAGCTTTTCCCGGTTGTTACGAACATTCCAGGAGGCCTCTGAGAAGAGCACGGGATGGTACTCCGGCTCCGACTGGATGACATTGGCGTAGGCATAATCGATCACCTTCTCGAACAGGTCCCAGTTGTCAATCATGCCGTCCTTCATGTACGTTTGCACCTCCATATGGGCACGGGGCACATTTACATAGTTCGTGTCCACATAATACTTGCGCTGGTCAGAGTCTGGAGAGGATTTTGGTTAAGAAGTGAAACTACTACAGTGCTGCTTGAAAAACTCACTGTTTGGCGTCGCGTTGTTGTCCGTCTTTGTCTCGGGATCGAGATTGGTATCTGGAGCCGCTCCAATACCCACAACAGAGGGAATCTCCGCCTTCGGCGAATCCTCTTGCGCGTAGCCCACACGCAGGGAATGGTGACCAGGGTCGAAGACCAAAGCTCCGATCTCATCCCCGCCGTACAGCATGGTGCCGCCACTCATCTTGGGGCCGTGTGGATGCTTTTCCTAACGATTTGCTCAAGATTTAATTGCAAAATTAAGCCGTCTGTGTGTATTTTGCGGCTTTTTCACGACGCTTCGCTAGAGATGGGCAAACGATTTTGATAGATGTTTACCTAGCAATCGATAACTATTTTGGAAATAGGATTACGCTGAGTCCGGCAACGCTGAAAGAGTAAACGCCATTTAAGTGTGACCAGCTGTCGTGGAAGAAAAAAACCTCCTCTGCAATGTTGGGAAATAAAAATCCAAGAAGTTCAAAAGAAACAGCGTCTGTGGTTATTGTTTATGGTTTTAAATGAACAAAATGAGCACTGACACCGACACTGCCGACGAACAAACTAATTCACCGTCGGATGATCGCATGGCCCTGCTGGAAATCAATATATCCAACACGAACGCCAACTCCCAGATAGTGCTCAACGACTTGCGACTCTTGGAGCTGCTTTGCATGTACCCGTTCCTCTACAGCCGGCAAAATTCTCTACAGCAGGACGCCGACTATGATGAATGGGGCTGGGAGCAGGTGTCCAAGGCCTTCAACGAGAGCTACAACGGCATCCCGCTGAGCACACCGTTCTCCACGGCGGAGCTGCAATGGCGCTGGGAGATCATGCGGCCGCTGATCCATTCACTGGCGCGGGCAAGGGGTGAGATCCCTGAGCCGATGTGGAAGATTGTGGTACACATAAGCAATCGTCTGAACGCTGAGAAGGCCAAGGAGACGGTGAATTCCGAGTGTCAGGATCTCTTGCTCAGCCAGCTGCCCTTTGTGGAAGGGCTCTCGCATAACCAGCGACTGCGCCTCGAGGTTGAGGTTTTGGACCTTATCATGGACGAGGAGCGACGCACAAAGTTCTTATACGATGAGATGAGCACCAAGACGAAAAGGACTGTTCAGAGCGAGTACGATCAGTTTTTCGCGACTATAAAGGTTAAGGAACTGCCACCAGAAACCTTACAGCGCCTGTCATCAGATGATGGCTGCTCCTCCTCCTCCTCTTCCTCACCATCTAGAGCGCCCAATATTATTAATGCTAATGAAACGGGCCTGAGGATAAGCCATGTGTTCACTAAGGCCGAGGAAACCACGAACGGAACAAACGTGCCCGAAATCAAGACAGAACCAGTTGACGAACCGGCAGGTGAAGCTTTCCAGGAGGTTTGTTCGCCCCCGAACAAATCCAAAGACGGGCCCGCTAAGGAAGTAGCAGTTAAACTTAACCTGTTTGTACCTATAAGAAATGCAAAAGAGTTTTGTAAAAAGCTACGTGTCCGGTTGAAACGTTTGGATCTGGACGAATATATACCATTGGCCAGCATTCGACGGTCTAGTCGATTCACGGCCAAACACTAGACCAACCCTCCAATTTGTATCAAATGCTCATAAGTTTATTTAAAAAATACACATTACTATAAATTACAACTTAAGGCTATTGTATAATCCAAATCGCATTTTGTAATTCGTTTGCTTTGCATTCTCGAAAAAAAAACCTAACAACTAAACAAACAAAGAGCGGGAGAGCAGGAGGCGGGAGGCGGGAGGCGGGAGAACCAGGACAGGGACAGAAGAACGAGTTGTACTATGCACGTTGTCTAGGAGTGTTCGTTCGTTCGATGCTTAATTAGTTAATCAGTTATCCATTTTCTTCGCTACACAATTTCAACAACAACAGTCACATAATGAACGCAATTCAACAGGTGTCTACGAAAATACAGTCGTCGTCAGGCAGCCACTGAGAACAACAAGAAACAAAACAATGTGTGGAGGAGGGAAGCTAACAATTTGCTGCCTCAAAACAGTTGGTCCGCCAGGTTGCCAATGAACGTGGCGAGGTTCATGGAGGAGCCCTCCTTGAATTTCAGTCCAATCGTCTTGCCGTAGGCTTGAATAAAAATGGCGCGCACTGCATTCAGGCGTTGCTTTCGTCTGGGATATATAAAAAAACAGTTTAAAGATACAAATTCTTGATTTCTCTCAGACGGATACTCACAAGTTAATGCACTGCTTGCTGGCCATGGTGCTGCCGCCACCAATGTCTTTGGAGGAACCATTTGCGAAACCGTGCGTTGTGCTGCCATTGCTTATGCTGCTGCCGCTTCCGCTGCCACTGCCACTGCCGCTCGACGCCGCATTGATGCTGCAGTGGTAGCCATTGCCACCATTGTACATAGGAATGTTTGAGGAGCTGCTGCCACCGTCCGCGGCCTGCTGCTGTGCTACAAACCGCTTCATGTAGCTGCCGTTCATCATTGAGTCTATGGAGCCCGTATCCGTAACCACTTGCCAGCTGCCATTCGAAGAGGTTGACTCCTGCCGCTGCCGCGCATTTGATCCGGGCACTGAGATGGGACTGGTTCTGGATCTAAAGAAGATCTGGTCAGTATAGCGCCCTACAAAGAATTCACTTACCGCTTGGGATTGGGCGATCTGCTGGTCAACGGATTGACTGACGCTGGCGTCGTGGCATAAAAGTTATCTGTTATGGACATATCACAGTTGGAACAGTTTGAGTAGCTGTCGTTGCTATCTTGATCAAAGGCCAGGATGTAGTCCCTGAAAAAGTCAGCGGGTTAGCTGAGTATTTTAAAGACAACTCCCTGCAGTACTCACTCCTTGAGCGGCTCATCGTCGCAGCCATCGGACTTGATGACTATTACACTGCTGCCACTGCTGCTTGAGGTCTTGGTCCGCTTGCGATGCTCCACAATGCTGTACTCCTCATCCGTGATGAACTTGAGCACGTGGAAGCAGAAGAACATAATGTCCTCGCCTCGTTTAAGACGATCGGGCAGTTGGTGGCCAAACAGGTACCAGTCGTAGGCCAGCGTAAAGTACGCCATCTGCATAGCGTTCAGTGACTGATGGATCAGTCCATCTGCCCACAGGGACAACCGCACAAGGGAAACGAACAGCGGTGTACGATCCCAGCCACTGATGCAGTGAATCAGCAGGCCGGAGCTCTCCTCCTGCACATACTTGAGCGTTGCACGCAGATAGTTCTGCGTAATGACCACCAGATCCCAGTCACGGTACTCCGGCCACACCACATCGATGTCGGCGGCGGGTCCCAGATTTGGTATGTTGATGTTGGCATCGTTAAAGGACTGCTTCCAATTGTAGTGCAGGTTGCGAGCCATATAGTTATTGTCCCGGAACTTCTTGAAGAACTCACAGCCCGGATACGGCAGCGATAGCAGGTTAAAACTCTTGTAATGCTTGTTGGGGTCAGCCTTTTCCGACGAGGAAACGCTGTGAAAAAGGAAATAGGTTTCTCAGTAAGGACGCTTTAGGAAGTTTTATAATTTACTCACGCCATAAAGTATTTGATCTTGCGATTCTCCACCATTAGGTCCACAATCGTGGAGACGTTGAGCGTGTGCAGCAGCTGGATGTCGCTCTTGATGACCTCGTCGTAGCTGAACTGTGACTGAGCCTGATCGTGGATGTGATTGATCAGCGATTCGTCCGTGGAATCTGCGTCGTTCTCCTCTCCATTGGGCGCTGTATAATTGCCGCCGCTTAGGCAGTCGTAGGCATAGTCCACCACCTTCCGGCCGTAGGTTTCAGGCATTACGGAGAGCGTGGCCGAGCGGCAGATGTACTTGCCACGATACATGATCACGGGCACGGCGAACCTTTGGCGGCATCTTGCATACTTGGCCATCGTTACCAGCTCTCGCATCCGTTGGATGTCGTACTGGTCCTCGTAGATCGTATGCTGGGGCTGCTGTTGCGCGGGCTGTTGTTGTTGCTGTTGCTGCTGGAGTGGAAGTGGCTGCTGGGAGGAAGGATACTGTGGCTGTGCGGGATATTGCTGCTGGAGTGGATGTGTTGGCGGCGGGACCTGCTGTGGCGTCTGCAGAGGATTGGCGAACGTGACAAAAGCCTGGATACCCACGCCTTCGCTACCGGTACTGCCAGCACTACTATTCAGAGGCGTGGCTGTTGCCGTCGTACCGGAGGAGCCCCCTCCACCCAATCCGCCTCCAACCGGACCAAAAAGGCCATTGCCCGGTATCAGCGTTTTCGCCATATGTCCGTGCTCGCATTCCGGAATGAGTATTCGGCCAGGGTAACGAGGGCTGAGCAAACCGTTTGAGTTGTCCAGCTCTATGACGCTGTAGTCGAGTTTGAACAGGTATTCGCATTTTTTGGAGATGTCGTACTCCTGAAAAATAGGAAAAGGGTTTAAGGCTTTCATTAGATAAGGATCAGGATTCAGAGAAGATCTATTAAATATATTAAGTAAAACAAAATTAAAACCATAATAAATAAAAAACCTTTTTTCTTGTTATTCAGTTACTACAAATTCAGATAATCGCTTCGTTTGAATCATATTTAAACCGTATCCACCAATGACCTCGCAATACCCATATTCCTGCCATATCTCCAGTGACTTTGGGTACTCGTATTCATAAAATATTTGACGGGGAGCTGGGTAAAGTCAATTGCTTGCATAAATCAGCGATGCCGGCGTCTTAATGGGCAGCGCGAGATTAGAACGCGGAGTGCAACTGGTTTCTCAATACTATATATGTACGTACTACTAATATGTATGTATAGTATGGGTATAAATTCTTGTCCCGAGTTCAATGGAACCTAACGTCCCCGGGAAGGAGAACTGGAATCTGGAGGCGCCGACTATTTGTAGCTATCTCTGCTATTACCCGCTACCAGAAGGCCAAGAGCGATAAGCGTGAGGCGGTAGAAGGGGCAATTGCCAATACACAACAGCAATTAGCCACCGAGATAATTGCATAATATTCACCTTTTTTGCCAGCAAATAAATTTTGTGGATCTACACAACAAGAAATACGGGTTAACCTTAATTGGTTTATGTTTATTTAATTATAATTCCTGAAAATATCCTTAATCTTATTTAAAGTTTCTTGATACTTAAAAACTTCAATTGGTTATAAAGCGATCACAACTCATAAAAAAGACCCGAGATCACGATCCCATTATCATTTAAGATCATATTCAATAATTTATCGGTATATACCACCAATAATTGCAGTGATATTATGGCGAATAAATTCTAAAGGTTGGCATTAGTGCGCTGTTGGCTAAAAATAGCAAAAGACTAGCTAGGCCAAGGGGCGGGTGGGCGGAGCCGCAGCCAGCTGTCCCAGACAAACAACTAGATAAAAGCATAATAACAATAACAGCAAAAAGCACTCACATACACACACATGCAGACTTACAAACAAACACCTTGAGGAAACAGGTTTTTAGCGCACACACACAGACGCGCAAGGAGAAATGTGCAAATAATAAAAACAACAACAGAAGCAGAAACAAAAGGCTGCGCAAAAAAAAATTAGCAACAACAAACGCGAAACAACGAGCAAAACAAACCTGGCGAAAACTCAGTCGGCCGTGTGTGTAAGTATGTGGGTGTGTGGGTGAGAGAGGCAGTGAGAGAAACTACGCAGAGCGAAGCAAGTGAGCAAAACAACTAATACGCAATTACAATTACCTAGAAATGCCGACGCTAGCACGCAAAAGGAAAACAAATGCCTGATTATGACATTTGTTTTGTATTTTAATTTTCTGCCACCTCCAAATTGCATAAGAATAGCGTCCAAAAATTAAAAAAAAAAAATTTTTAAATTTAAGCTCTCTTGAAAAACAAACGACAAAATCGCAACATCAAAACAAAATGATGCTGGCTCTCACTCTCACCATTAAAATTGCCATCTCACTCGGAGTTTGCACAAGTGTTCGGCTCGCAGCTGCTATCAGTGCTGTTACTTTAGTAATTTTCTAACTAAGAAACTTTTAAGATTAGCATTTTGAAGAGTTTATTATTAGTTTTATTATATGCATTATACGGAATGTTAAGTGGCATTAATTTCTGTAAAGCAAAAACTGCTAAAACGGTTATAATTTATATTAATTGGTTAATTATTTAAGCTTTCTTGTGGCGTCTTTGCCACTTTGATTGCTTATTTTAGCTAAGTGTGCCCAACACTGACAGTCAGATGAGAGTGGGAGCGTGCGAGGGAGATGGGGATGCCAAAAACAAAAAATCCCATCGATGCCCGATGCACATGGGTATGTGTGAGTGCCCCCAAGTTGGAGACGCTGCCGTTACACATGCACAAAGGGGAGCTCTTACTGCTGTGTGTGCATTGAACTGCTTGCTCGCTCACTGCTTCTGTTGCCGTTGTTCGCTGCTGCTGCTTCTGCTGCCTGCGGTCGCAGATATTTTCTTTGTAAGCGAGTAAATGCAACTGTAACTGGCCGCCGCTGCAGCGCTGCTTTCGAAACTGCGCGCCTGTTCCAAAGGCGCTGTAAAACTTAAAAACAACAAACCGATGCGACGGGCGATAGTTACAGCGAACTGTGAGCTGTCGCTGCCGGTGCGGAAAATAGTTTTTGTGCCCGGACTGGGGCCGGCGATCATCGGCGGCGACGGCTCGACGACGCTGCTGACCCAAATAACAGAACTTAAACCAAAGACTTAAACTCAAAATCGAGAGCGAGACTCAAGCCGCGATGCAGTTTTGCCCACAAACCCGGATTTTAAGCACTCTGCCGATGCTGGGCCACCAGAAATCCAGCAGAAGCTGCGAGCGTGCGACACACTTTTCCATCTCTCTCCCTCTCAGTCTTTCTCTGTGGTAAAAAGGCAGAAACAACACCAGAAAAGCTGAAAAACTGAAAAAATACAACACAGCAACAACAATAACAGAGACAGCAACAAGAAACCGCAAAGCAGAAATAATCGCACTCGCACTCGTACAATCGAACCGAGTGAGCGAGGAACCCACCAAGCGAACCGAACTTCAACTCGACCGAGCACAGGCCATCAGCAAAGAGAAGGAGATGGAGAGGGAGCGGGAGTGGGAGCGGGAGGAGACAAGAGCGAGGAGGCGGAGAAGGAGGAGATGGAAACGGAAGGTCGAAGACCATGTTACCATCTACAGTCGGACTTCGGTGGCCACGACTTTGAAGAAGTCCAACTGTTGGGAAAGGTTCCTAGGCAAGTATAGTTGTTAGTGGAATTTATAACTTTTATTGTTTGTTTAATTAATTTTATGCTTTAAAGCTTCCTACAATATACACAAAAGTGTAATAATATAAATTCAATTTGTATAATATCATTTTAAAATCAATTTATAAATATAAAAATTTCATAAAAATCTCTCTTATATATTTAATACAAAATTATATATTTAATTGTTATTATAAATAATTTTTGGAAAATAATTGCTTGAAGCAAACCCACCAAAGCTCTTCCAGCTTCGATTCTTGGCTTAAATCAGCCAGCAACAACCTCCTCGAAGGCGGAAAATAAGGCGGTCGAAGCCCATTGTTAATGCAACAACCCACACGTTGCATATTCAACGATGGCAGAGTTTTCTTGAATGAATTAATTCTGAGCTCGAGAACTAAGTTAAAACCTGGGGGCCACTGACCACACCCATCCATCAGCCGCTGCGCGTTGTTGTCCGTGAGTCAGTGAGTGTTTCGTGCTTTATTCTCGTTGTTCTTGTTGTTGCTTTAACATGATTTATGCTTGCGCTTTTAAATGTGCAGCGTGTTGTTCCAGCGCCGCTTTTTGTTGCTGTTTTTATCGCTGGGCGGTTAAAGACCCCACCCGATATAATATAACAAAAAACAAGTTGCGCCCACGTTTCGAACACACAGAATTGGAATTTAGATCAGGTACGAAATCCAGGTACTGGACACGAGGGCAGTACAGTTTTGCCAATCGCTTTAATATTTAAAATACTTTAGATTTATAAATATAAAACATTTTATTCCCAGAGTTCCCTTACTTTGATATTCAGATAACTAAGTTTTCTATATCTTCAAGCTTTCTCATCCTATAAAAACAAGTCTTTTTTTTTATGAAAACATCTTCCACTTGAGCTAATCTTCCGCTTTGGCCACCTTTTCTCTTAATTTATGCACATCATCCACACCACATCGATAGGGGAGTTATTAATGATCTTTTAATATGCAAATTGCCGTTGCAGTTGATTTGCATTTAGTTTCTTTTCTAGAGTGCATAAATACCACATGGGTGAAAAACACACTCGACAGTGTGTGAGAGACAACTTTCGAAAGACTTTGAAACCGCTTTGTGGGGGAGATGAGTTGGAGATGGCGATGGAGCCGCTGAGAGGTATGAAAAATAAAACACGTTTGAGCCGGAAGTTTTGGGCCATGTTGAGGAGGCCAAGCGATTTTCGCTCACTGCCCCCACACATCAAGACATATCGCACTCGCAATAATTGAGCGCAATAAATGACAACCAGCCAAGTGGGCGTTACGGACAATGAGCATGGAGGCTCGGGCGCCATCGGGGGGCTGCTGGCTGCTGCTTCATTCAGAAATCTATTCATCATCTGCTTAATTTATTCGCCAGCCGAGCCGAGTCGAGAGTCAGGAAGAGATTTCACTTCCCTCGCCCACACACGCACTCACTCCCCGTTGTTCCCACAGACGACACAGAACCGAAATTGATTTCCTCGGGGCGCCGATCGCTTTCCTTGCCTTCTGCTTTCCCAGCAGCTAGTTCAGTGTAATGTGAAAAGAAGGTCATCTGAATAATCCATTCGATTTGGCAAAGTTGTTGCATGGGATAACTTAGAAGTGGAATGTGTGACCTTTTAAACAGTAAATGAATTTGCAATTATATTTGTTAAAGGAATAAGCATTATATTAACATAAAAACAAATCAAAGAACTCATGTTTTAATGTTTAAATAAACATAAAATTAATTAAAAATTAATAATATAAGCTAAAGTGTTCCTAAACTGTTAAACAATTACATACAAATATTTCGGTAATTAAATTGTTATAAGCTTCCTTATAATAAAACAAATATAAACATAAATATAGTGCCTGCCTAACTGAATTATTTCTTCAAGTGCTTTAATAACAAAGTCCACCAATTAAAATCAATAAACAGCAGACTATGTACACACTTTTGTATATATATTTTTTTTGGTTTCAAGAGAATAAAAATTCTGGGACCCTGGTTGTCACTTTATGCATTTGAACACACAACTTAATCCTTCCCTTATTCGTGGCAACATCCCCTGATTTTTTAACCAACCACAACAAAGGCGAAGCCCATCGTGCTCCCGATCCCCCTCCCAGATATACCCACGCCGATACCGATGTCGACCAAATCCCCCCTTCCTTTACCGAATCTGAATACGAATCCGAAGCCCAACTCCCGGCGAATAGTTGACACTGGCTGCTGCGACGGCATTGCCAGTTCGCACATTATCGATTTTATCTGCCAGCGAGCAGGCGTCCAGAATTTAACAGTCGGCGGACCGAAATCCGCAGCATCCGCAAAACCGCAGTGACGGAGAGTTGCTCCCTTCTTCTAATCATGCTTGCATGGTGGCGCCGGATGCGAGGCAGTTAGTCCGGAAGCGCAAGAAGCTCCGCAGCAGCAGGGTGTTTCGAATGCGGCTGACTGCAACTTTTCAGTATGGGGACCACGGAGGAGCAGGGTATGCATCTGGAAGCATTGGAACCCCGTCATCTATCGGAGTGGCCCTTAATCGAATCGAACTCGCTGCTGCTGCTGCGTTCTCTCTGCTCTGTTCCGGACATGCGCTCGGAATGCTGTTGCTGCCTGCATCCCCAATTTAGGAGCTGGAAGCGCCGTTACTACGGCAACCAGATGCCAGCTGCAGCTGGAGCCGGGCCCTTTGGCCCCACTCTCGCTCCCTCCTGCCTGATTCCCTGCACCAGCTTCTGGGCACCTGGCACAAGTGTCTGCGGTGCGACCCACGCACCTTGCAGCAACAGCTGGCCAGCGGGCACACCCACTTACACACACACACACACACTAGCGAAAAGGGGGCCAGCGGGGGTGACACAGGCAGACGCGTGGGCGCAAAGTTCATAGTGCAACAGGCGATCATAAAAGGGAGCCGACTACCAAGAACTTACAAAGCACACTGGTAAACACTGGTTTTAGTTTTATTTAAAATATTGAAAATGTATAATTATAAAATATATACCATTTTTATAGGCTCAAGAATATAAATGTAATATTTTCTATTTTAAAATTGAGAATAGTTTTTTTGTTCTAACCGTTTATTTTTTCCCTTGTGTATGCATGTGTGTGCTATTTTTCATAATTAACATAATTAAGCACTTTGACATTGACCCGCATTTCATGCTAGCTTTATTTTCGCAGCTTTCCATAAACTGATGTCAGGCAATAATGGTTTTTGGCATGCTTGACATGCTACAACAAAACACACATTAAAAATCAATCAAAACAAACGATTTAGCCTTGACAATTTTAATATAGCCATTACGCATTCAGAAACCTTTAGAATGATATATTTTTCCATATAGTAAGCAGGCAATTAACCTTAGCTTTATATAAGTTTTAGTTTAATAATTTAATACAATTTGTCTCTCTATTATTTTTCTCAAGGATATTCAAGATATTGGCTATACCTTTTTATTAAACTTATTTAAGTTTCCATTTGACAGAACCTTTCACTGCACCCACTGTGCCGCAGCATTTCCATTGCATTTTGTGGCAATGTGGAAGACACACAAGCTCTCCCACTCGCCACCCGTTCGGGCAGCCTTCCGCTCTTCCAGGGATTCCTGCGCGCCTGTGCCGCAATTTCCAAAGCGCCCACACGAATGACGCCGCACGGCTTGCAGCACAGCTGCATCCACTCCCCAGGATGCGGTGGCTGCAGGTGCGGCAAGGGGTGGCCATGGACAGGGGCGTGGCCTCGGCACAGACTGCTGCCAACAACAACAGGCGAGCAGGAGCAACAGGAAGGTTACAAAACAACGTCTTCCCGGTCATAATTAGCGCAGCTCCACTGTCCCTGGAAAGCGGTTGCAACCCCCGAATGGAGTGCAATCTCCGGGCTGGAAGCGAGCTGCAAACTGGAAGTATCACACCGACAACGACGACGAAGGGATACACATTAATGCGGAGAAGTGCTACTGCAGTAGCCTGGCTAATCCTGCAGGTCCTGGGGCCAGGACAGTGTTCCAGCAGGCGCCAAAGGCAGCGCTCGCTCCGCGGCCGTGTCTGGTCGATTTTCTGGTGAGCCAACAACCAAAAAAGAAAACCAGCAAAAGGAAGCCCGGAAGTAGCAGAAAAACCCTTTTGTTAGCAGGACCAGCTAGAATTTAAAACTTTTGAGGCTCTTTTTCGACAGAGCTAAACAATTTCGCGAACAAATCATAGGAAAAACCATTGAAAACGGCAACAACAGCAACAATAAGACAACAACAACAACAGGTGGGTATCTGGTAATGTGCAAATAAAAACATAAAAAAATAACAAGCGGCAAAAAACCAAACTCGCGGAGATAAGCAATAAAAAAGATTGTTTACGAAATCGAAATACATTTTTGAAAAGGAAAGCCTTCGCCTTCCTGCTATTTTTTGCATTTTTGCTTGGCCGGGAGAGCGAGCAGCGAGCTGCTGCCTCGGAAATTCACTTTTGGCGCCCACGCGAGCAGACAGATGGCCCGGCCCACCCACCGAAAGCCCACAGATACCGAAATCCAAATAATACACACTTGCATCTGTATCTGCATCTGCAGCAGCTATTTTCAATGCCATTTCAAAAATAAACTCGTCTGAGCCAAATACAAAAAGAGTGCAAATATAGTACATATAATATTTGCTTGTTGCTGAAATCAAAAGTGATATAATGATCAACGCAGATCATCAGTGCAGCCATATGGGGGGATGTTTTCTCAAAAGGAATGTGTGGCGACAAAAACGAAATAATTGACGAGATTTTTTAGCAGTCTATATGGTATTAACAACACCTGTTGGATTCTTCGCAGTTAAAAGATTCAATTAAAATAATTAAAAAGATTAAGACTTCTTTGAAAGCTTTGTTAATGTTTTGTTATTAATTGGAATCATATAACATTTAATTAACTCCATAAATAATGAACTCTCCTTTCTTTTATTAACACTAAACATAAAACTTTCCCTTATCATTTTTAGTACCTAAAACCCACTAGATCAATTTAAGATGGGCGAGTATGAGCCGCCGACTTCCTGGCCCCACCGCATGCCAAGCTTCCAGCGCCGACAGATGGATCTTAACCGTCTGGTGATGAACTACCTAGTCACAGGTGTGTCCTATCCCAAATTCTCCCAATCTCTTCTAACCCAATTTTCCTTTTTCAGAGGGATATCAGGAGGCCGCTAAGCGCTTCATGGCCGAGGCTAATGTGGAGCCGGGCCCCCATATGGACACCATAGGCGACCGAATGCGTATCCAGGAGGCAGTGCGTGTGGGTCAAGTGAAGTACGCCATGGACCTGGCCAGTCGCATCTATCCCTGCATCTTTGAGACGGAAAACTATGTATACTTTCACATGCAGCAGTTGCGTCTGATCGAGATGATCAGGGATCAGAAGGTGACCAAGGCCCTGAGCTTTGCCCAGAGCCCCGCCTCCGGCTTTGCTCAGGTTGATCCCGACCGTAGGCGAGAGTTGGAGCGAACCATGGGTCTCCTAGCCTTTGATCGACCGGAGCATAGTCCCTTTGGCGAGCTTATGTTGTACTCCTACCGCCAGAAAGTGGCAGGCGAGATAAACTCTGCCATGTTGCGGTGCCATCAAGCGGCAAGCAGAGGAAAGGACCATGGACCCATGGAGCCGCGGATGATGTTCCTCATCAAACTGATTTTATGGGCCCAGGCCAAGCTGGAGAAGGAGGGCTGCACTGACTTCCAGAAGCTAGATCTTCAGCATGCTGACTTTGAGGAGGAGTTCCGAAGGTGCTTCGAGGGTTGGTAAATAAATGACGATAAATTGATAGTCCAACGATCGAACGAATGTCGTCTACTGCGAATTTTAAGATGTAATTGTATTTTTTTTTTAGCAAATACAACTAAATTGTAATTATTTTTTTTTTTTTTTCAAACCTACACATATTTATAAATGTAATTTTTTTGAATGGATGTGATGTTTAATAATAAATGTTTCCATATCTTGGTGTAACCAGTTTTTGCCGACGTTTTGTCATAATACCGAGAATACAAGCTGATAAGGCTGATAAGGCCGAATTCCCGGGGTAATCTGAAACGCAAATTGTTGTGTCACGTGCCAGCAGAAAGCTATTTATACTGGTTTGTTTTTGTTTGACTCGATAACAGAATGAGTACGAAGACAGAAAGACAAAAATGTACGAGAAATACGACCAGGGGAATACCTTTTAATATAGCCTATGCGATCGATTTAATTAGAGAAGATTTTGTTTGGGATATCATAAATTAATAGTATTTATTTAGTAGATTTAGCCCTTTAAGAATCCGAAACAAACTAATACATTTTTAGCTTTTAGTATTAGATTTCAAGGTTATAAGCCTACAAAACAAAGTCAATTAGGATGGTATTAAATAACTTTTTAATGTTTAGTAATATAAAACAAAAATATAGACTCATAATATGCAATTTTAAATATTTTTTAGCACCCCCAAGTTCTGCAATATTTTTCCCTCTGTACTTTTATAAAGTAAACGGCTTCTCTTTCAACCATATTTTTGCACACGCTCGCCCGGCGATCTTTCTGATCTCCTGGCAGCAGCTTTCGTGGCTATCGCCGTCCTACGTCAGTGGGTTAAATATTGTGCCATTGGCTGGGCGCCTAATCTAATCGGCGCTGGCAAAATTTAACCTTGAACCCGAGCAGCTCCTCACATACAAAATTCACCCTTTGCACCCCATCATCAAATGCAATGCTTTTGTATCAAGGCTCTGTGTTTGTTTGCCTTCGATTCGCTGGCAGATAAGGCACTATAGAAATATAGAAATTATAGAAATATAAACTCTACTACTGGCGCTGAAAAAGCTAAGGTGATAACGTTAGCTAACAACAATTGGTTTGATAAAAAGCCACCTTTGCAATTGTGCAACTACTGCAACAAAGTAACATATCTGGGCCCTTGGCCACCAATGTAAGTTAGTAAGTTACTGAGTCTTGTCAATTATGAACGACCATTTCAGCTGAACAAACACACACACACACATAATGGGTGTGTAAAATCGCTCGGGAAACGTGAGTTACGTGCCAAGGCTTCATTCGGAGGCTTTCCTCGCTCTGTTTCCAGGTGCTTTTACCTGGCATTAGATACTCAGGCATGCAAATGAGCTTGCCAGCTGGCTGGGTTGTTGCCAACTCAATTGTTATTTTATTATTTCGCTATTTGCTATTTGCAATTGCCGGCTAAGCGGGCGATAACACGGAATTACACACTCGCGACTATTAAGGCAGCGTGCGTGACATTCACGAGGGGGTTAACGGGGGAGTCAAAGGGTTAAAGAGGTCCGTGCTTTCCACGAGAAAAGACAAAACAAAAGTGCGTGCCGGGGAAAATAAGTGCACATTAATGCGTAAATCGAGAGCGGGTCTTAAAAAGGCCATTAAGCTTTTAATTACCGCTTAGCGAAGCGCGTGTGTGCGGTGTGTTATTGAATTTCAGCAACGATTCGAGAACAAAAACCCACAAGGAGACGTTTCCGGTTTTGGAAAACCGGCTTACTTGTTTTGCTTAATTTAATTAAGATGTAAATTAATAGGGGAATGAAGCAATACAACTTGTAGTTCATAGTGGAGTATTGAGTTTTTAATTAAGAATTATATGACATTTCATTATGCCATTTCAGTTATAATAGTTTTAATATTTATAAGTTTCTACAATGTCTAGAGGGAAGTTTTTAAAGATATTTATTTTATACTATTTTTATTTATTTGCCTTAACCGTATATTGAAAAAAGGGATCCAAGGATAACGATAATCGAGGGATAATGAACCTTAACCAGGAAATCCTATTAAAGTAAAATAAGCGTTTTCATCTTGAATTACAAACAAAGGATAATTAACCATATTCACAAAAGTACCATTAAATCACTAAAATGTTTCATAAATATAAACGAGTAATTAGCCTGTAGCTTTTTGGTTTTTATTATTAATGAGGTTTAAGGTCGTTAGGTTTAAATTCCCTGATTCTGATTGCGATAAAAACATAATAAAAGTATAATTACCAAACCTAAACAAAGAAATGCATTATAGTGGTTTGCTGATGATATTCGGAAATTTTTCAAACCACAAAAGAGATTAGATTAGTAAAAAAAAAACAACAAAAAAACGTCATAAATAAATATTTGAAATATGAAGGAATGTGACCTTGGATTACTAAAAATAAAATATAAATAAATCATAAGTTCAAGCTCTCTGATTCCCAAGGGGATAATTAACGACTTGTGATCACTTTCGGTGGCTCAATAGAGCTTTAACCGGCTTATTTGTCAAGTGTTCCTGCTCCTGGCCAACATAATCCATTAGAACAACCTAAATGACGGCTTTTACTGCCAATCGATTTCCATGAAAAGACTATTTTCCTCACAGGAAGCTTAATGGCGGCCATTTTGAGTGGCAGAGGATTTTTTGGGGCGCGGCAAAAACGGCAAAGAGGAAGAGAAGGAGGAGCAGGAGACGGAAAACAAGAACTAGGAGAGCTGAGAAGAGAAGAGAATAAGAAGAGAACGGGACATCTGACGTGTCCTCGTCGTAGGCGCCACGCACACTAGCAATCCAAGCTTTTCGTGACTGTGTGTGTTTCTTCTTTTAGCGGCGACAGCACGTGCACGTGCGCCTAAATGTATGTCACACCGACACATACACATAGCTAATAAACTTACCGCTGTTCCTTCCTCAAAGGCCGCCGCCTCGAATGATTTTTTTTCGAAAATTTCCAATAGGTCGTGGAGGTCCTGCTGCGTTACGTTGACCATGTTGTTTAGCGTCAGGCTGCACATTTTTGCGGCGCTGCATTTACCGTTGGATTAGATATCCCTTCCTTTTTTCTTTTTTTTTTTGGGGAGGCGGCGCTCTTTAAACACACACACACACGCGCGCACTATCACTCACATACACGGCCAACCGCGATTCGCGAAAGATGCCGAAAATAATGGATTTAAATTTGAACAATAAATCTTTGTGGCTGGCGGCGCTCGTGACGTTGCTGCTTTTATTGTATTTTATCTGCTGCGTATTTCACGCTCGTTTATCGCTACTACGCTTTTCGCGTTTGTTTGCTTTGCTCTTGGCTTTTACGCCCTACAAGACGGCGACGTCATCAGAAATTCGCGGCCGCAAACGCAATCCAATTGGCCCGCGGTCACTTTTGCTGCTGATGCTGTTGCGTTTTACTGCGCTCGCAATTCCGATTGCCAATGTAACTGTGTGTTATGTGTATTTCCGCAACGCGGGCGGATTAAACGGAAGAAAGCGACAAACAGCGCCGACGACAACACAAAAGGAGGAGCGATGAGTGACCGTAGCGTGCGGGCAATAAAATACACCGTTAGGCGGCTTTAGCGACAGTATATTTGGTATTTCATTTAGTCAAACAGTTTGATTTTTCAAGCTTCAAAAATACCATAAATTAAATAAAATAAATATTTATTTTCCATTTTCAAAATTATCTTGCGCATTTTGAACAACAAGAACTGTAATTTTGGAGTCCGGCACTAAAAGAACCTCGTTGGTTTTTGTGCGAACCCTCAGCATGAGAAGTTCATCTGTGGGATCTATTTTGGCCATTCCTCGCTCCAATCTTCCTCGAATGGTCTGAAAGAGTCCCGAAAAGTGAACAGCGTCTTCAGTATGCATCGTACTTTTCACCGGATGTCCTGAGTCGTTGAGAATCACCACATCCCGAACATTTTTCCTTGACTTCACTTGCTCAAAAGCTTCTTCCACATAGCGCAGGGTTCGCTTCGGCTGTGTTAAAAAAATAACCAAAATAACTACATAGCTTAAGATGATAAACTGCTATTCTTACCCTTTCTGGCGTCTCAAGAAACATTTTAAAGATTAAATAAAGTGCGTTTTTCTAATTTTATTTGACCCAGTTTTTTGTTTTCCTGGTTTCCAAGGAACGTTTCTACAGGAGACTGTTGCTATATGGGTCATTGTGTCTATTAAGTATGCCTATGAGTGGTTTTAAGCTTCCTCCCTTTTACTTATATTATAAGTGGAATAAATTTTAATATATTTTTTATATGAAAAGAATCGTTTTCGTCTTTCTGGCAAATTATAAATATGTAATTATTTATAGATCTAGTTTCTATGTATTAATTTTTAGTTGTGAAGTCAAAATAAAAAATAAATATATTAATTTAAGAAACTTAAAAAATAAATGGCATATTTTAGTATTTTTTACTAGCCAGGTATATTTTAACAGTCATGTGGTGGTCACACTGACAAAATAACAAACTTTTTTTGTCATAAAAACAGTGGTTTTGGCCAAAGTTTCGGCAAAATTGTAGATAAACATGGTAAGTGAAAGGTTTATAAGGTAAAAATAACAATTAAGTAAGTACATCTACAATTTCAGTCGCAAGAGGTTGAGGAAACACTGAAGCGTATCCAGAGCCACAAAGGAGTTGTGGGCACAATTGTGGTCAACAATGAAGGTGGGTGTGGGGGTGTTGCTACTGCCTTTTCTGCATCGCTTGACAACCAAAAGTCCAACCATCTAACACCGATTGTATTCCATTAGGAATTCCGGTTAAGTCGACTCTGGACAACACGACCACCGTCCAGTATGCTGGATTAATGAGTCAGCTGGCAGACAAGGCCCGGAGCGTGGTGAGGGATCTGGATCCCTCGAACGACATGACATTCCTGCGGGTGCGTTCCAAGAAGCACGAGATCATGGTGGCTCCCGACAAGGACTTCATCCTGATCGTCATCCAAAACCCAACGGACTAGACAGGCTCAAGTTCGGAACACAACGCTGAAACTATTTACTGCACATTTATAAACATACATATACCTAAAGTGTCGTCTAGAGAAAAAGGGAGTTAAATTAAACAATAATAAAATAGTACGCGAGAAGACTTATTTATGACATCACATTAACATTCTGTTTAGACGTATTAACATTTGTTTTTAACATTAGTATATCGATATCGATACATAGATAATATCGATATTAATCCAATGTTATGGTACAGTGTTCCCAGATCAGGGGTTTTCCCTTAGATTTATGTTGTTTTTATAGTTATAAATTGAAAAAATAGAATGAAATAAAAATAAAAGCGGACTGATTTAATCTAAGTAAGTAATGCATCTTTATAATTAATTAGTGCCATAAGTAATGCGGTAGTGTCATAACACTATTAAAAGTATGTGGAAGTTGGTATATTTTAGTAATGTGCGTCACCGACGCTAATTTGGTATATCTTGCGAACCGAAAAGCTGCCACACTATTCGTTGTTGTTTGAAATAGAGCAGACGTGCGGCCGTTGCGCACTTTCTGCCGAAAGAAAATCCAGTAAATGAGCAGGAAATCCGGAGCAAATTGTAGTTTATCGAGTGCGGCACAATTTTTGCAACGCGTACGCACTTCTTTTTTGCCCGGATGCCTAGCAGAAATGTGGATATTTTGTGATTAAAATTCTCCCCGTCTGAGGTAATTTTGTGAAAAAAAAATGTCCGCCCCGCGGAAAGAATCGACGCCGCCATAGTCGTTACCTATAGTCGTCTCTTTCTAACCAGTGGGATTGCGCATAACGGCTGTGTGTGTGTAAAGTGCTTATTTTGAGCGTTGAAATCTGGTGAAAATTTGAAAAAACCAGCGCACAATGGAAAATTTTATGGATGGAAAAAAATTTTCCCGCATGTAATTTTAATTAGTGACATATGTACCTGCTTGAGCGTGTTTTCGTGTATGTGCTAGGGCGAAAGGATAAGTGCCGCAGAGTTGCATTTTATTATTCGCTTCTGAGCGGGGTGAGATGGAAAATTATGTGTGATAAGCGCTTTATTCAAAGATGACTTTTGCTTTATTTGTCTTGATTTTCCCTCTATCTGATAGTGGATATTACGCAGCGTTATTGGGCGGAATTAAATCAGCTTGTGTGTGTGATCTAAAGTCTGACCAGGGCTACAGCAGCGACACATGTGCTCCGCGGCCGGCTTTTTTTTTTTTTAATTTTCCCGCCAAGCAGCGGATATCAGTTCAAAATAATAGTGGGAACTCACCCAACCCCTCTTTCTGTTTCGCTTTTGCAGATGTCTCAAACATGAATGAAGGTAATTCAGCAGGAGGGGGGCATGAAGGGCTCCGCCCGGCCCCTCCTGCTGTGTCAGACCGCGTAACTTCTCACTCTACGGAAAAATCAGTTGCAACAAACCCCAAATCCACGAACACAACAACAACAGCTAGCACAGCCGGAGCTGGAGCAGCAGCAGCAGGCGCAGCTCCCAGCGGCAGCAGAGCAGCAGCTTTGCCGGCTTCGCGCCATCAGCACCATCACCATCCGCCCCAAGGAAAGGGAGTCGCCAGCAGTAGCAAGCATCAGCACCAGCACCAGCAGCAGAAGCAGCTGCCCAGTGCGCAGCTGCCTGTGCCGCTGTCGCCCTTGCCGCCACAACAGCAAACGACAGAGGCAACGGCAGCCACGCCAGCAGCAGCACTGCCCGCCCACTTCCACTCCACTTCTACAAGTTTAAATTCTGCCTCCACCACCACCAACATCATAGAATCCTCCGTATCGCCGCCGCAGGCCAAGCGTCAGCGTTTGGACAACGAGACAAGCATCGTTGGGAGCGCCAGCAGCAGCAATATTGTAGGCTCTCTGTTGCCGGCATCGGTGGCTGCCAGTAGCGAGGTCGGCGGGGTTTCATCCACAGCCCTGCAGGACCTGAATGCGCTTAAGAAGCGCATACTGCAGCAGAAGTTACAGATTTTGCGTAATCTTAAGGAAAGGTAGAGTTTCTTCTAGCACATGTCCCTTCTCAGAGGCTAATATATTTGCTCTCCTTATCAGGCATCTTGAAAATGTGTCGGAATACTTTTATCTACAAAACGGCGGCAGTATGATGGACTACCCTGCGTGGCGCAAGAAGACACCAACCCCGCAGTTCATCAGCTACAGCAACGCGAATCGTATAGATCAGCTGGTACACGAGGATAAGCCCAGCACATCGGCAGCAGCAGCAGCTGCAGCCCAAAATCAACCTACTAGGAGTAGTACGCTACAGCAAGTCTCTGTGGAGGCGACGACAGTGGTCAGCACAGGAGCGTCCACATTGGATGGAAGCAGTGGCAGTAACACACTGAAAACGGTTAGGATCTTTGAAATAATTTCTTTTTTAGTATTTCATGGTGATGATAACCATCAACTGAGTGCCGTTACCGATCTATTTTTGATTGGTTCTGGCGAATTTAAAGGGATGTTCGCAGTTGCGAGGCATTTGTCTGAATGATCCATAGTGTGTTCCTTTTAATTAAAGGCTTCTCAGCAATAAGCTAATCCCGGGTTTCGTTTTATCTCCCCACAGAATACGCAATCTCAAGTGCCAAGCAAGATTGGCAGCAGCACAGCCTCACAGTCACCCGCAGCAACAGTCAGCAACGCAAACAGCAGCAGTACAGCAGTCCTAAGTGCTACTACTACTGGTAGTGCCACCGTCACCAGCACAGCTGGTGGTAATCCGGTTGAGGCGAGCGGTAATGTGCTGCCACCGGAGGCCGAAATCAAAATCCCAGCCGTTGGGGCCACACCCGTGGCCATTTCAACGAAGCTACCCGCCGCCGTTGTCCAGCTAACGCAGCAAGGTAAATTCGCCGTGTTCACCATGGCATTACTGATCTCTCTCTCTCTCCGCTCCCTCTTTCATTTTGTGTTTTTGTTGTGTTCGTTTCGACCAAAAATAAAATGTATTTTTCGTTGTTATTATGTTTGTCCAAATTCAAATTGTAATATCGATGCAAAAAATAAAACCAACTCCGAGACGAAAACGCGCAAAAAACGCCAAACGCACGTCCTGCACTTCACTCTAAGGTTGAGACAAAATTGATATATTGTGGCCGCCATCGTAATGTGCATTTTACTAATAACAATAATCTAAAGTTTAACTACTAAAATCTCAAAATCCAAAACACATGCATAACATATAGCCACACATAACCACAGATAATTCCCCGTCCGTCGTACTGCTATTTATAATTATTACAATTTGTTTCCTTTACCCGAATCTCACATTTATTGTTTTCACATTTTATTGCTGCCGCCTTCCCTTACATCCCTCTATAACGCACACATCACTCTCAAACTCACCATAATTGTATATCCGTTATCGTTATAATATAGGTCACATACCCGGTAGACCTTTAGGAGGTCGTCACGGTATGGTCTTTGGTCAAATACCCGCTCCTCCTGCTGCCGTAGGAAATCCTTCTGTACCTTTGGTGCCAGGTGCTTATCGTTCGCAAAAACAACAAAACAAAAATTATATTAAAATTGTTACACAGCTAAAAATTTTAATTCATTTTAATTTCAATTTTCTTATATAAAAGCAAGTTTGTGTGTTTTACCTATTGAAGCATATATATTTTATGATTTGCCAAGCAAAGTAGTGCATTCATTAATTGATGTGCCTTAAAATTGAATTAATTCTCTTTGTTTGTTTTCATTTGTATACCGTTTCCTAGAATTGGTGTTATAATACAATATTGCCCTTAGTTTTGATTGATTGATTGATATTGGTAAATCTTTTGCTTACGACTTTGTTTGATTTCATTTTTGAATCGATGAATAATTGATAACTGTATCGTTTGATTGATTGCGTTGATTTTGTAAGCAAGTTAGCAAAACTTAAGCATATCTACATAGTTACTTTAGAGAAGGCGTTGCTCTTGAAACTCATCATGCGGTTGTTTGGGGTTACCATTATCATCATCCTGTCACATCATCTAAGCTCTAGTCTAGTGTAAATCCCGCACCTAAAAGCGTTTTCTTGCCAGCTCGTTCAAATGCTCTCGAAAATCGTAGATGTGTGCCAGAGCGAAGCTCAGTTGCAAGTGATTCGGCCTTTATAAGTGGCAGATATCCATATAGCTGACAACAAGAGATTCCATTGATAGAAGTGTATAGTTTAAGCTGTGCAAGCGCACTCTGTGTCATATTGAACTGTAGCCCCCATGTGATTACAATTTGTAAGCTTGCCAGAGGAAATATGCAATCGGTGCTCTGCTTATCCATGTGGCAGCGATCTTGTTGCTGCTGCATTGAATTCGGGCTCCACACTAGGAATAAGTTTGCATGAAGAACCCATTTCTTTTGTTTTAGCAACTGATTCGCAACCAATTCTCATGTTTAATCTATTGAATTCCATTCATACATCATTCTTATTATTGCTTTCCTGGTAGAGCTCTCTTTCTCTCTTTCGTACACTTGATGCACTATCCAGCATGCCAAGAGTTGATCTTCTTCTACCACCAACGATCGATCCTGTAGCCAACGTAACCCATGTGTGCTAATCAAAATTGTGACTTCTTTTCCAAGGTGGCACTCCGCTGTTACCCTGCAGTACATCTGTGGGTTCGACGGCGACGCTGCGTCGCAACCAGGGACAAAACAATGCCTCAAGCGGCGGATCTACGGCATCCGGAGGAGCAGGCACTCCCACGCTCTACACGGGCAATGGCCCGGCAGCAGCTTTGGGTGGTAGCGGTGCTCTCACACCGGGAACACCAACATCGGGTAGCCTGCTCAGTCCGGCGTTGGCGCCTGGCTCTGGAACGCCGAACAGCGCTGCCCAGGAGTTTTCGTTCAAGGCCAAGCAGGAGGTGTATGTAATGCAGCGCATATCGGAATTACAGCGAGAGGGATTATGGACTGAACGGCGCCTGCCCAAGCTGCAGGAGCCCATCCGCCCCAAGGCGCACTGGGACTACCTCCTCGAGGAGATGGTCTGGCTGGCGGCGGACTTTGCGCAGGAGCGCAAATGGAAAAAGAATGCGGCCAAGAAGTGTGCCAAAATGGTGCAAAAGTATTTCCAGGACAAGGCCACCGCCGCCCAACGTGCGGAAAAGGCCCAAGAACTACAGCTTAAGCGAGTCGCCTCCTTCATAGCGCGCGAGGTGAAGAGCTTTTGGTCGAATGTTGAGAAACTGGTGGAGTACAAGCACCAGACGAAGATCGAGGAGAAGCGCAAGCAAGCGCTGGACCAGCATCTCAGCTTCATAGTCGATCAGACGGAGAAATTCTCGCAACAGCTGGCCGAGGGCATGAACAAGAGTATGGCGGATACGCCTAGTCTCAATTCCAGTCGTCTGACATCGCCCAAGCGGGAATCCGATGGTAAGTTGGTTGGTTATAGAATCGATTTTATTTCCAGCTCTAGTTCAGCACTTGATGATAAAATACAAACTGAAACGTTGTTGTGGGCTATTTTTGAACACTTCGATGTTACCTTGGGATGGTCGCATTTGCGAGGCATTTGCCTGATGCATTTACCCCTTGGACACCTTTAATTTAAAGCTAGAAAACATCTTCTAATTCCAAAATTTCTCTTTCCACAGACGAGTTTCGGCCAGAATCTGGCTCCGAAGACGACGAGGAGACCATTGCCAAGGCCGAAGAAGATGCAGCCGATGTCAAGGAGGAGGTTAAGGCCTTGGCCAAGGAGTCAGAAATGGACTTTGATGACTTTCTCAATGACCTGCCACCTGGTTATCTGGAGAATCGTGATAAACTCATGAAGGAGGAGGAGCAAAGTTCGGCGATAAAGACCGAAGCTGATGACAGCGACGACAGTGAGTTCGAGGCGAAAGAGGCCAGCGATGACGATGAAAATACCATCAGCAAGCAGGAAGAGGCAGAGCAGGAGATTGACCACAAGAAGGAGATCGATGAGTTGGAGGCTGACAATGATTTGTCGGTGGAACAGCTGTTGGCCAAGTACAAATCGGGCAGAATCAGTGACCAGCCGCCCAGCGCCAAGCGTCGGAAAGTGGAGCTAGACTCGGATGATGATTCGACAGCCGTTGATGATTCCTCCTCCGATGAAAGCGGCGTAGATGCTTCCGACGATGAAGATCTTTCGACTATCTTAACTGACACTGAAGTTGAGGAGCCAGAGGACCAGGAGGCTGGCCTTAAGAGCCTGATGACAGATGCAGTTGCCTCGGGAACTGGTTCTACCACGGCCACTGGAGGCGCTAACAAGGACGACATGCTCAACGATGCCGCCGCCCTGGCTGAGAGTCTGCAGCCCAAGGGAAACACCCTGTTAACCACGAATGTGGTGACGCCAGTGCCTTTCCTGCTGAAGCACTCGCTGCGTGAGTACCAGCACATTGGACTCGACTGGCTGGTGACTATGAACGAGCGCAAGCTGAACGGCATCCTGGCCGACGAGATGGGTCTGGGCAAGACCATCCAAACTATCGCCCTGCTGGCTCACCTCGCCTGCGCCAGGGGCAACTGGGGACCGCATCTCATTGTGGTGCCCTCGTCTGTGATGCTCAACTGGGAGATGGAATTCAAGAAGTGGTGTCCCGGCTTTAAAATACTCACGTACTACGGCTCGCAGAAGGAGCGGAAGCTGAAGCGCGTCGGCTGGACCAAGCCGAATGCCTTCCATGTCTGCATCACATCCTATAAGCTGGTGGTACAGGATCAGCAGAGTTTCCGCCGTAAAAAGTGGAAGTACCTGATCCTGGACGAGGCCCAAAATATCAAGAACTTCAAGTCGCAGCGCTGGCAACTGTTGCTCAACTTTTCCACCGAGAGGTAAGTTTTTTTTTGTGATGAAAGTTAACCCTTTGCTGCCAGCACCAAAAATCAGTAACCATGCGATTGCTAAACTAGCATGGCGACTACGCTTGGGTGCTAAAAATAAATCCGCTATAATGCCGCATACTAAACCAGAGCATGCTAATCCCACCCTAGAATGCTTGTGGCCTTGTTTCGAAACAGTTGACCCTGAAATACCAGAGTTTGAGTGGATTTATCAAGTATTTTTGTTCTCTTTTCCTTTTACGTAGACGTCTACTCTTGACGGGAACACCGCTGCAGAATGACCTGATGGAGCTGTGGTCATTGATGCATTTCCTCATGCCTTATGTCTTCTCGTCGCATCGCGAGTTCAAAGAGTGGTTCTCCAACCCGATGACGGGCATGATCGAAGGCAACATGGAGTACAACGAGACTCTGATTACTAGATTGCACAAGGTAAGAAAAATACATTTACAATCTACCCTAAATCCTCCTCTTTAATGGTATAATCTTGCACCTAAAAGCGTTTTCTTGCCAGCTCGTTCAAATGCTCTTGAAAATCGTAGATGTGTGCCAGAGAAATCCTTACGATAGCAAAGGATTTGAGTTTTTGGATAATTCTAATTCGTTTACATTGTGAACAGTCTTCTTAAAAGAACTAATAGTTAGAAATAAGCAAATGCACTCTGTGTCACATTGATTTATAGCCTCATGTGATGACAATTTGTTAATTTGCCAGATCAAGGGAATGCGTCTTATCCATGTAGTCAAACCCCAATCTGGGTAATTGCATTGAAAACGCATTTAACATAAACAATATTCATTGTATTCTTTGGTTTTTTTGCTAGCACCTAAAAGCGTTTTCTTGCCAGCTCGTTTAAATGCTCTTGAAAATCGTAGATGTGTGCCAGAGCAATCCTCACGATAGCAAAGGATTTGAGTTTTTGGATAACTCTAATCCGTTTACATTGTGAACAGCCTTCTTAAAAGATAATAATAGGACTAGGCAAATGCACTCTGTGTCACATTGATTTATAGCCTCATGTGATGACAATTTGTTAATTTGCCAGAACAAGGGAATGCGTCTTATCCATGCAGTCAAACTCTCATCTGGGTAATTGCATTGAAAACGTATTTAACATAAACAGTATTCGTTGTATTTTATATATTTTTGCTGGCACCTAAAAGCGTTTTCTTGCCAGCTCGTTTAAATGCTCTTGAAAATCGTAGATGTGTGCCAGAGCAAAGCTCTTACAATTGCAAGTGATTTGAGTTTATGGATAACTCTAATCCGTTTACATTGTAAACAGTCTTCTTACAAGAACTAATAGTTAGAAATAAGCAAATGCACTCTGTGTCACATTGATTTATAACCTCATGTGATGACAATTTGTTAATTTGCCAGATCAAGGGAAAGCGTCTTATCCATGTAGTCAAACCCCAATCTGGGTAATTGCATTGAAAACGCATTTAACATAAACAATATTCATTGTATTCTTTGGTTTTTTTGCTAGCACCTAAAAGCGTTTTCTTGCCAGCTCGTTTAAATGCTCTTGAAAATCGTAGATGTGTGCCAGAGCAATCCTCACGATAGCAAAGGATTTGAGTTTTTGGATAACTCTAATCCGTTTACATTGTGAACAGCCTTCTTAAAAGATAATAATAGGACTAGGCAAATGCACTCTGTGTCACATTGATTTATAGCCTCATGTGATGACAATTTGTTAATTTGCCAGAACAAGGGAATGCGTCTTATCCATGCAGTCAAACTCTCATCTGGGTAATTGCATTGAAAACGTATTTAACATAAACAATATTCATTGTATTCTTTGGTTTTTTTTGCTAGCACCTAAAAGCGTTTTCTTGCCAGCTCGTTTAAATGCTCTTGAAAATCGTAGATGTGTGCCAGAGCAAAACTCTTACAATTGCAAGTGATTTGAGTTTATAAATAACTCTAATCCGTTTACATTGTAAACACTATTTATCTGAAAGCACATTTTAAAAGCTGGGCAAATGCACTCTGTGTCACATTGATTTTACACCTCGTGTGATGACAATTTGTTAGTTTGCCAAAGGAAAGAGTGGCGTCTTATCCATGTTCTCAATTTTAACCCTCAAGTTGATCACATTGAAAATGCTTCTTACACCACCTTTACTTATGATTCATAACCTTAATTTCAAACTAAATGCGCAGTAATTAGCATATTGCAATTGTTTATCCCTGCAGGTGATTCGTCCCTTCCTACTCCGACGCCTCAAGAAGGAGGTGGAGAAGCAAATGCCAAAGAAGTACGAGCATGTGGTCATGTGCCGACTTTCCAATCGCCAGCGCTATCTGTACGAAGATTTCATGAGTCGCGCCAAGTAAGTTTTGAATAATTTTTGACAGAGATTTAATGGATTTACTAATCTTTATTAATTTTTCCCCTTACAGTACCCGAGAAACTCTGCAAACTGGCAATTTGCTAAGCGTGATCAATGTCCTGATGCAGTTGCGCAAGGTGTGCAATCACCCGAACATGTTTGAGGTGCGTCCCACCATCTCGCCGTTCCAAATGGAGGGTATTTCATTCCACACACCGCGTCTAGTCTGCGACATAATGGAGTATGATCCGTTCACGGTGAGTCAAGGGAGATGGTCACCTCTCAACCTTTATCCTAAGCAAAATGATGTTAAACTGTCACTGATAGTTGGGCTTGATCTATTTTGGAGAGAGTCGTAAACTTTATCCAGGATGTTCGCATTTGCGAGGCATTTGTCTGATTGGAATTATCAATAATTTATTTGAAGAAGTCTTTATAAATAACTTTTTAACTAATTAAGTATTGTTTTTTATAGCAAATCAACCTGGAAACTGTGAACCTATTGTTGTTGCATCTGGAGCAAACCGTGACCGCCTATGTATCGCACAAATCCCGCCTGCTAGCCCCGCCTCGGAAGCTGATCGAGGAAATCGACACAGCTCCCCAGCCGCCGCCACGCTGTCCCAACGGCAAATACCGCTTCCACATTCGTGTACGCAGTGCAGAGTTGGCGCAGCGCATAAAATTAAACGCAGTGAAAGTTGGGGCCAGTCCCGCCATGCGCATGGAGGGCACAAAGATTGTGCCCATGCGTAATTTGGTGCCCAGCGGAAAAGTCCTTAAGCGCGTCAGTGGCAGTATTAATCCTGTGAATATGGCTCTGAAACCGGTGGTAATCAACAGCGTGGTGACAACATCAGCAGCATCCTCTACAACGGTAGCCTCATCGCCCTCGGGGGCTTTGAATGTCTTGGGTAATTCCAAGTTGCTTGGAGCAAGGCCGCAAATTATGAATGCACCCACGCCCGCCAAAGTGGCCAAGACAATGCAAGATGGCAAACCCTTTTTCTACCTCACACCGGCCACGAATTCAGGGGCAGCTGGAGCCCGTTTGACGCTGACTAGCAAAACCACGGCAGCATCTAGTTCCGGAACAACTCTGACAGCAGCACCTAGCACAGCGCAGCAACTAATTAGGGAACCCATTGTCCGGGATCTGGCTACGCATGTAAAGAGCACGGCGCAGAAGCAGCAGAGCATTGCCAATGGCAAAGCCGAAACCGAAGAGGAAGAGACCGAGGCGGAGGAGGATCCCTACAAGGTGCAGGAGCTAATTCAGATGCGTAAGGAGCAGCGATTGGCCTCGCTCAAACGTATGGCCATGATGAATCGTCGCCGTACCGATGCCACGCCCATCTACGGCTCGGATTGCCGAGGTGCCATAGAGCGTTGTATGCATGCAACGCGTTCGCTGAAGCGATCCACCTGGCAGACGCGAGGCTATGCCAACTGCTGCACGGCAATGGTGCACCGTGATGGCTGGTCACTTAATCACCTGCTCAGAAGCTACGAGCAGAGGTGTGCTGACCTAAAGCCACTCTTTGCCAACTTTGTGATCTATGTTCCTTCGGTGTGTGCACCGCGTATCCGACGCTATGTGCAGAATCTTTCATCGACGCACTGGCAGACCGAGCGGGAGATTGAAGACAAGGTGGGTCAGGCGCTGCTGCCCAAGTTAGGGCTGCTACATCCCATTATCTCGGCGATGACCACTCAATTCCCAGATCCGCGTCTTATCCAATATGACTGCGGCAAGCTGCAGACGATGGATCGGTTGTTGCGCCAGTTGAAGGCCGATGGTCATCGGGTGCTGATATTCACCCAGATGACCAAGATGCTAGACGTCCTGGAGGCCTTCCTCAACTTCCATGGCCACATATATCTAAGGTTGGATGGTTCTACGAGGGTTGAGCAACGACAGATCCTGATGGAGCGCTTCAATGGCGATAAACGCATATTCTGCTTTATTCTTTCCACGCGATCCGGCGGAGTGGGCATCAACTTGACGGGTGCCGATACTGTGATCTTTTACGATTCGGACTGGAATCCCACGATGGATGCTCAAGCCCAGGATCGTTGCCATAGAATCGGACAGACCCGCGACGTACACATCTATCGTTTGGTCTCGGAAAAGACCATCGAGGTGAACATTCTAAAGAAGGCCAACCAAAAGCGCATGCTCAGCGACATGGCCATCGAGGGGGGTAACTTTACCACCACATATTTCAAAAGCTCCACCATCAAGGATCTCTTTGCCATGGATCAGAACGAGCAGGACGAGACAAGTCAGGAGAAACAGGAGGAGAAAGATAAGGCTGTGGCCACAACTACTACGGCAACGACAACCACTGGTCAAGGGGACTCGGAGAAGCAGTCGCTGCGCGCCTTTGAGCATGCTTTGGCGGCCGCCGAGGATGAGCAGGATGTTCAGGCCACCAAAACGGCCAAAGCTGAGGTGGCCGCCGATCTGGCCGAGTTTGACGAGAACATTCCCATTGCCGCGGATGAAACCAATGCGGACGGGACTCTGGTGGAACTCAGCAAGGCCGATCTGGAGATGCAGAATCTGGTTAAGCAGGTGAGTGGGGGCTTGGTATTTGAAGTAAGAGGGAATGTCAGAGGAAATTTCCTCAACAAATTTGCAATATATTGTGTGTAATCATAATTTACTGGGTCTTTCTGCTGAATTCATATGGAAAATACGCATCTAGTGCGTTTTCTATGCAGCAAGATAGGCCCAGAGAAACCATTCTTCGGTTTGGCAGACCTTCAGACATAGTTGATGCGATCCTTGACCACGCCTCGATTGTATCACTCAAAGTCTTACATTTTAATTTAAAATCATCATTAAGCTTTATTTGTGGCCACACTTGCTACTTGTATGGAATTCTCTTTTAAATACGCTTTCCATGCAGCAAGCGTGGCCAAGAACAAGCAGACCTTCAGACATAGTTGAAGCGACCTCAAACCACGCCTCGATTGTATCACTCAACGTCTGACAATTTTCCACTCAAGACAGTCGAAGCTTAGGAAGTTTTAAGATCTAAACACATTCTCAAATCCCAATTTCAATCCCATTTATAGCTCTCACCTATTGAGCGTTATGCCATGCGCTTTGTGGAAGCCACTGGAGCGGCTTGGACGGCGGAACAGATGCGTGCCGCGGAGGCTGAACTGGAGGCGCAGAAACGTGAATGGGAGGCCAATCGGTTGGCGGCCATGCACAAGGAGGAGGAGCTGCTCAAGCAGGAAACGGAGGCCGAGGAGCTGCTCACCTACAGTCGCAAGGATTCGAGCAATCAGGTTAATACCAAACAAGATTCCACTTCCAATAGGCGAAAGCAACCCCTGGTGAGGGTGATGCGCAGCAAGTCGGCTAAGAAGCTAAGCAAGAGTATCAGTAGCCAGAGCAACAGTAATAGTGATAGCAAGAAGAGATCAGCTCTGGGTAGTAATCGCCAGAATAGCCTCAATTCGAGTGCTCCAGCAGCGGGATCATCAGGGACGGTAGCAGGGGCGGGGATCAGCAGCAGCAGCAGCACCCGGAACAGTAGTAACAGCAAGAGGGCAATGACGGGTGGGAAAACTACAACGGTGGGGCTAGCGGTTGGACGGCGCACTCGCCTCCATTCGCTTGGGGCTGTCCATGTAGCCCATATGCCGACACCGCCCACTAGAAAGACAACACGCACAGCTTTGGCTGCATCGGCAGCAGCTTCCGCCTTGGAAGATTCCACCTTCATCCTTGGAGAGCGGCCCAAACGGCAGTCGGCTAGCATTGCCATGAGCAAGATGCTAAAGACACCGACAAAGGCGTCCAATCAAGTGGCAACCAGTGTAAAGACAACCCCACCGAAGCGGGGGCGAAGGGATAGTGTTGCCGTGGCTGCCACGCGCAGGAAGCTGCTAACAAGGCGAGCCACTATAGCGGCGCCTTTGGCCATGAAGCTCAGGGATGAGGAGAGTGAGCTTGATGCAGGGGATGATGATGATGATGAGAATGAGGAGGATGATAATGATGATGATGAAGAAGATGATGAGCAGCAAGAGGCAGAGGACAGCGAAGATGAGGAGGAGGCAGGAGATGTTACAGTGGACGATGAGGAGGAAGAGACAGCTGACTCTAACGCAGAGGAGGATACAACCACACAAACCGAATCACAAATGAACGAGGATGAAGACGACGACGACGAGGAGGAGGAGGAAGATGGTGAGGAAGAAGAAACGGTTGAAATCATTCCCGAAGACTCTGAAGTCGAAGGCAAGTCCACATCCAGCTACGCCACAGCTGGTGATCTTGGTGAGGAGGAGCATAACGACAGCTTGGATGGTTGGAATGCACACGAACAGGTGCAGGACACCACCATGACCAGCTCCACGTACTACAATGTGAGCGAGGAGTCGGACACAGATGAGCACAATGATGCCAAAGAGCAGCAGCAGCCGCAGGCGTCGGATAAGAGCGATGAAAGCGAACCTGTGGGACACACACCACGTACTCGATCCCGCGGCTCTGTCAAGATCAATCTGTGGACACTGGACATGAGTCCCGTTGCGAGCACACTGAACAGAAGTGCCGCCAAGAGAACGCCTCGCAATGAATCCACGCCCAAGGAGTCGCAGAGCGAGCCGCGACAGCGACGAGGGTTGGCCACCAAGCGACCCTTGTTGAAAAGTAAACAGGATACGAATAACAAGTCTGTCGGCTCTGTTAACACCCTGCATCGGTGGATAAGCAAGTCACCGCGGGTGATGCTGCGATCCACGCCGGTAACAAACTCGCCCAGCGCCTCCTCAAGCGGAGCAACCAGGTGATGACCCTGCTCCATCGCCTTCATCATCCATCCCTCTGTCAGTATTATCAGCTAGCTAGCTGTGCCTGCTGTGTGCGTTTTTAGTGGGCAAGAAATCCTCTCCAGAACACGCCCTTTTGCTGTTGCTACTGCCACAGAAACGAGTATTTAATAGACTGTAACGAGTTTCCTTCTATCATAAGATGTGTGCTAAGTTAGTTAGGCAAGGGCGGGAGAGGGGAGAGAGGGGAGTCTAGGATAACGAATTCATCAAGAGATCACAGCATTGATAGATATATGTTATATATAGGTAACCAATGGGTTTACAACTCAACTGGCTTAGCATAGTAAGATATCTCAGAGTGTACATAGAGTTATATCATCGATCTAGTATCCAGGAACTCGTAGGGATTCATTTTCGGTTATTGTTATTAAAACTCAATTTTTTCTAAAAAAAAATAACACATACTCCTCTCCCTCAAAAGAAACTTCTTTAGTTATATAAGTCTAGGCTTTAACTATATACTAATTGTTAAATATTTTTGCATTCTATAATTTATTTTGTACTCGTAACTTAACAATCTAAAGACTATGAGCATAGATTGACTAACCCAATAAAACAGAGAACTCATTTCGTATATGCTTTTAAAAGTATAATGAAACCCATTGATTGTATAACAAAAAAAGAAATACCTTTAAAAAAACAAACGAAACAAAGCTAAATCTTAAAGAAAAACTATAAAAAGACGTTGTGGTTTTTATTTACGGACTAATTTCGTGCGTTGAATGAAAAATCCCCCTCCAAAAATAAGAAAAAGAAAGAAAAGAATAAGCGGAAATCAGCAAAAAAAGATTGTTGAATATTATTTTCTGTAAATACAAAATGTAGAATTCTGTTTTGGTGTCGCAGAGTTATAGTACCTCTTTAGTTATATATATATGTATATTTAACTGTACAATCCCCAATCAAACGAAATTGTTCGGAATGAAAGCTACAACGCCATCAATATTTGTTCAATGTCGAAACAAGAATAGTTTCTAATTTCTAAGAACCCGACCCCCGCCAGCCCAACCAACACCAAAACAGAGTTGCTATATTACCTTGAAAATAATGCGGAACGTTTATTCTTTTCTTTGACTTTCTTGCCTCCGCCCGGTGCTTTCTCGGTCTCGGTCCAGGTCTGGATATCGCGCAATTCCATGGAACAGATGCCGGTAAGTGTGGGTATAGTGGGTAACTTAAGGGGGGATGTACATGTGTAAACGGTCAAAGTGTTGACATGTTTAACCTGGTTTACATGTACATCACCCCTTAACTATTGGATCTTGGATCAAGCTAATCTCTCTTGTGAATCCTGATTAGATGTGGTGTCCGCCCACGCCGCCGCAGGATAACGACAACGATATCTATATCGATTACTCGCTCTCGTTTATGTACGAGCTGGATCCCATTTCCGAGTCGGATCTGCCGCCAGTCTATGTCCGCAAGGAGCACAAGCGTTCGCGCACGGATGCCGGTTATGATGGCAGCCGGCGCCCGAATAAGATGCGTCGCGAGGACAACTATGTGCCGCCCAGGTCTCTGTTCGATCGGCCCACACCGCAGCTGGCACGTTTGCGTCGGGAGCTGAAGAGCCAGCGTTTCCGTGGCAGCTTCAAGCCTAATTCGCCAATTCCTGGCCTGAAGCCGCAACTGCCGGCCAATAAGCCCCTGACCGAGCCAGAGGCCATGGCTGAATGGTGCATCTTCGAGGACATTGCCATTCTGCATGTCCTGGTGAATCTTCAAGGATTGCCCTGCAGCCTAATGCTACTCTCGCCGGGACAGACGCCCAATTGGGATCTGGTCTCCGAGATGGTAAACTTTTGCTCCAAAACCTATCGTTCGGCGCGACAGTGCCGCTGGCGCTATGAGACCCACATCCAGCCCCGGGAGGAGGGCAAGGTGGTGGAGAGCCCTAAAAAGCAGAAGAAGCTCAAGCCGACCCTGCGCACCGAGTACCTGAAGAGCCCGCTGCGCTATCTGCGCACCACCCAGCTCTATGCCAGTGACAACAACGCCTCCTTCTACAAGACCATGCGCTCTCGCTTCGATAGCATCAAGACGGCGTACCTGAAGAAGGCACCGCCGCCAAAGCGTCAGTTTAGTGCTCCCAGCCTGATGAATCCCAAGCATATGGAGGTGCTGCAGGAGTTTGGCATTCAGAACTATGATCAGCCAGTGTCGCCCCAAAATATTGCAGCCATGAAGGCGAATAAGATTAGGGAGAAGCAGCGAGGACAGCAGCAGTTGCCACCGCCGTCGGTGGGTCAACAGGTGCAGCAGGTACAACAGCAGCAGCAGCCGGCACCTCCTCCTCCTCCTCCCCAGCAGCAACAACAACAACAACAGCAGCAGCCACAACAAGTGGTGGTGCAACAACAGCAACAAGTGCAGGTGCAACAACAGTTACCCACTGTCTCCAACGTCCAACAACAAACCCTGCCCGTTCAGCAATCCGTGGAACTTGTCCAGCAGCAACAACCCACGGCCACCACCACAACGGTGGCTGTGCCTTCCGCCGGTGGCCAGTTGCAGCAGCTTCAGATCCAACACTTGACCGGAGCCAATGTCACCGGCCAGCAGACAGCCATTCTCCTGCATCAGCCACAGCAGCAGCTGAGGACGCATCCCGGCCAGCAGGGACAGACCACCACCCAGCAGCTGGTCAAAACCATTGTGGGTACATCCTCCAGCCTGACAGCGGGTCAGTTCCAGCAGCTGGCCCAGCAGTCGGTGCAGTCCGGTTCCGGTCAGTCCAGTGTCAGCGTGGTGCTAACCACTCCCGTTCAGACCCTGCCGGCAGTGGTTCAACCCCAAACAGGAGCCGCCCAGATTGTGTCCATCTCCTCGCAGGGCACACTGCCAGTGAACACTCAGTCGCCGCAGCTGGGCAGCATTGTGCAGACGCAGTCGCTGCCTCAGGTGGTGTCCGTGAGCACTCTGCCCACTGTGGGCACTGTGCTGACCACCACTGCCAGTGGCCAGCAGGTGCAGCAGCAGCAGACCACGGCTGTGACCACTCTAAACACGGCCATGCTGCGGGGTCAGCGGATTGTGTCCTCGGTGGCGGGGAATACTCTCCAGCAGCGTACCACAGCCGGTGGTCAGTCCATTGTCTCCATGCCTACATTAGGACAGGGCGTAAGTCCCGCCCAGTTCCAAACCCAACTCCGTTTGGCCGCAGTTCCCTCGTCGTCGGCGGGTCATCATCAGACCACCCAGCTGGTAACCACCAAGGGTATTCCGGTGAGTGCGCTACAACAGGGTGGGAAGACGACGGTAATACCGGGTGGAACTCAGCAAGCGGGCGGAGCGCATATCCAACTATATCGCCAGCGCAGCCTGAAGGTGCTGCAAACCACACAAACAGCCACGATAGGAGGAGTGGCAGGTGGTTCTGCCGGAACCACCACTAATCTGGTGCAAGCCGGCGGCACCATTATTCAGACCAACAGCATGGCCACGCATGTGACTAGCCAGAAGGTGGCAACAGTGTCTGGAATGCCTGGAACCTCCACCGCCGTGCAGGCGGGCAATGTGGTTAGCAGCGTTCAGATGCATGGCCAGGCCCGGACGCAGTTCATCAAGCAGATGACGGCCGCGGGCAAGCAACAGCTGCAGCGTCAAGTGGTGTCCGCTGATGGAACGACCACCACAACCACCGGGGCAGGTGATATGTTGCTGGTGAAGCGGCATAACATCTTGGCTGCCCAGAAGGCGCAGCAGGCAACGGGGGCTCTGTTCACCACGACCACAGCTGCCCAGCAGCAGCAACAACAGCAGCAGCAGGGTCAACTCCCAGTGGCTGGACAGCCGCAGCAGGTAACCCAGCAGCAGATTGCCTCGCTGGTGAAGGCTTCAACGGCGGCAGCGGCCAGCGGGAGCAGTGTCAATGCCGGTGGCGTTACTGTCTCAGCCACAGGACCCACCGTCCAGGCGGGCAGCGTAAATATGACGCTGCCTCAGCTGAAGCCGGGCAGTCAGATTAAGGTCACTGTGCCCAATCAGATGCGACACTTGCAGATGCAACAGCAGCTGACGATGCCCCGAAAGATAAGTCGAATGACGCAGTTGGTCAGTGCCAGTGGACAGCCCACGGCCACTAATATAGTGGCTACGACGGGGCCACAACAGCAGCAGCAGCAGGGCGTGGCTGCGGGGACTCTGCCCACTGTTCAGGCCCAACAGCAGCAGCAGCAGCAACAACAACAGCAGCAGCAACAGCAGCAAAAAGCGGGAGGAGGCAGTGTCCAAGCTCAGCTGTTGCACATCCAGAACACCAAGGCTTTACCCAACTCGGTGACTGTACAGCAGATCCAGCAGGTGATGCGGAGTGGCCAGCAGGGCACCTTGGCCACCACGAACCTGGTGCTGGGCAAGACCAGCGTGGGAAGGGTGATTCCTGTTTCGCAACCCAACCAGCGGCAGACCATTCAGGTGGGTTAACTTGAACAAGGATCCTCTCCAGACATTTTATAACAAGGGAATCTCCATTTTACAGGTTGTTTCTGCCGCCTCCGCCCAAGCCCTGGCAGCGGGCAATATACGGACCCATGTGGCCGGTCCAAATATAGCCAGTGCCTTGAAGGTGGCCGCCTCGGGAGGAGCTGGTGGCCAGACCACGCAGCAGACACTGATAGCTGCACTGCAGCATAATCAGCGGCAAAATGCCAGTCCTGTACGCTTGCAAACTACGGCAGGTGGTAATCTATTGGCGGTTGTGCAGCAGCAGCAGCAGCAACAGCAGCACACGAGCATAGCAGGACCCACAGCTGGACCTGCTGAGGTGATGACCATAACACAGACCACCACAGCGTTGCCCACAGTAAGCAGCCTGCAGCAGCAACAGCAGCAGCAGCAACAACAAGGTGGCGGCGTGTCACAACCCACAACACAACAGGTACGGAAGTTGGTGCAGAAAAAGATCATGATACGCAGCGAGAAAGAATAACGTATGGGCAGGGCCGCCAGACCACGTCATCAACGGCGGAGCATCTCGAGCCTCATTTCCACAGCCACCAACTCAGACTCGAATCCAAAAACCACCACCACAACCGCCACTATCGCCACCGCCACAAACTCAATCTAATCAATCTGATTCCGATTTCAAGATCAAACCAATCTCAAATAGCTCATCCCATGCCAATCCTCATGCATTCAATCAGTCAGCCAGTCAATCAGTTAGTCAATCATTGCTAAATTGATCTCAATTTCTGTCGATTGGTTTTGCAGCCATGAATGAGCAAGAAGGCAACGCAGGAAACCGCTCTCTGAGAATGATGAGAGAGAGAGAGAGCGATGCTGCCGCTGAAGACGACGATCATCATCGATCGCTCCTCAGGCAGCTCAAGGCATGTGGCCGCCGTATTATTAATCTTACAAGATCCATAGCCCTAAGTTAATATCTAAATTTTAAAATTGTAAATCGTAGTTAAAGCTAAGGTCTCCGGCCCCTCAATTCCCCACAGTGCAGTATGTACATTCGTAAATCTAATTCAGATCTATCAGATACTACATAGATATATCCTTACTATATGAACATACAAGTACTTTTAGACTTTTAAGTACTTACAATTAACTTAGATGCTTTAGTTTAATTAATGAATAAAAAATCAAATATAATATAAAAAATGTAAAAACCAAAAAAATCACATAAACGATGTCTACGATTTGTTTTTTGTAATTCTGAGACTTTTGGAAGTTGAAAAGATTAAATCTTTTAAGGAAGGATTTTGTTTAGTACAAATGTGCAATATCTTGGGAATATTTTGTCAAAGTTGTACATCGATTATAGCAAAATTGACAATGTTATGCCTAGTTGAACGGAGGTCGTTTGGTGTTCAATGTACGAGTATCAAGTTTCTCCACAACAAATTAAAAAAAAATGGAAACATATAAAGAAAGAGTTTTGGGAGCTCCAGGCCCAGTTAAAGGTTGCCATACTGTAGTCCGTTTCCATGGCAACATGTTCCCCTTTTTTTCCAACCACAACACACCGGGAACTGACTCAGAATCGGAATCGAAGTGGTTCCAGCTAAAAACAGTTGCAACATGTCGCTGTTCAACGTATGCAGCTGGTGGTCTGCTCAGTGCTCTGATCCCGGAGAGGAGTACGATGTGGCCAGTTTGCTGTGCGCCCGTTTTGGTCTAGAGGCTCAGGAGAAGGACTACATCATAGTGGGATCCCAGACGGGGCAACTGAGCATATACTATCCGCACCGCAGGGGTTATGATGCCACCGATTTGCTGCTGGAGACCCAGATGGTGGCTCCCATTTTGGGCTTATATGCGGGCAAGTTTAGTGGGTGAGTTATGGAAAAAGAGAATTTCAGTGGGAGATTACACCTTGTTCACGCACAGAAATGTACGCAACGAGAATGCCAATCAGTTGGGCGTGCTCCTACCCAACGCCATCGTTATATACAATGTCCTGGCCATTGGTGGACTGGCGGAACATGGCGCCCAGCTTCGTCTTCAGTTGCAGGCAGAGCACAAGTTCCAGCGCGTGGCTTTTGGCCTATGTCAGGGTCACTTTGGCCAGGTAAAAGGTCGCGAGTTCTTTTGCGTGGTGCATTTGGATGGAACGCTGACCTTCTACGAGCAGGATGGCATCTCCTACGAGTGTCGTTTTCCTGGATACCGTGCCCTGCCGGCTCCGGTGGCCTATTGCGAGCGTACAGATAGCTTCTTTCGGTTCAGCGCTACCTGGGATTTGCAGTGCTATAGCTACCAGGATCTGTCCCATTCGCTGGTAACCAAGAGCAGCTATCAACCCACCTGGACGCAGTGCGTTGGCGAGGGCATTGTCGATATGCGAGTGGTGCAAGTCAAGGAGTGAGTATGGAATGCAGGGAAAGCCCTGAAAGTATGCCACGGCTTTTGGGGTAAACGTTTGGGTTTGGATTGGGATTATGTTTACTGATATTTCAGGAACTGCTCCTACATCATGATCCTGGGTGAGCGGAACTTCATCTCTTTGGATGACAATGGCAAATTTAACTTTATGCTAAAGCTGGACTATGCCCCCAAGTGTTTCCACAGCTTTGTAGTGGGCTACTACTGGGGTGAGTCTCTCTCAAAAATCATATATCAATATATTCCTCAACTGGATTACATTTCCTAGAACCTGGTGCCCGTCTAATCACCGCCATTGTTTCGGACTCCTCCAAGCTGCATCTTTATGAGGAGGCCAACATTATTTGGGCGGCGCAGTGGCCCAGGCAATCACCTGCTCCAGTGGCTATCCAACGCTCCAATGTCCAGGGTCTGGCCGGAGGCATTGTTACTCTCGGCGCCAAGGGTCAACTGGAGGTGGGCTATCTAGGCGCCGATCCCTTTCAGTTTCAGGTGCAGCCCCTAAACATGGAGGAGCTGAGCTTCGCCCAGGCTCACAAGGAGCTGCAGCAGCTGGAGGACGAGATCAAGGAGGCGGTAGATGTACGCGATATGGATGCCCTCAATCAGCAGGCGGCGGACCAAGTGCGTCTTAGTTTCAGTATCCAGCCGGAGGCCTGCGATGACCTGGACACCCTGCTGCTGGACGTGCCCGCCGATGTGGCTGTTAAGGAGTTGCCCTCGGCAAAGGGATTGCTACGCTGCAAGATCAAGGCGGAGCTGGCCGAGCTGCAGCTGGCTTTCCAAATGCCGAATGGCATTCGTTGCAGTCAGGATACCTTGAGTTTTGTGGACGTGGCAGCGGGCTCAAGTCATGAGTTCAAGCTGGACTTTTACATTGCTGAGTTGTTGCATGTTCACAGTTTCAAGGTGGAACTGGTGGCCTCTTTTGTGAGTCCCAGGGTGAGTACGAATCAGATTAGTTATAGATTTCCCTGATTTTATGCTCTTTGAATTCTTCTCAGGGCATTCCCAGGGTCATCCAGCAGAGCGCCCACCTCCCTCTGTCCATGTTCTATCGCCCATGCCAGCCTCAAAAGGCGGCTGGCATCAAGTTGACCTACAGCATCACCAGCCGCCATGTCATCCCCAAGTTGTCCACCTTTTTTGGTGAATTTCTAGAGGAGCACAGCGATGCTCATGCCCTGGGCTTACAGCTGCTTTGCCCGGGTCTGGAGAAGCAATCCGAGGTGATAACCGTGGTGGCGGCCAAGAACTCCAATCGCATTCGTATACAGTCGGATTATGTGGAAACCTTTGCCATGATCCTGGAGCGTATTGTGGAGCGAACTCTTCAGCTGGATAGCTCGGCGGGTCTGATCAAGATGGAAAAGAAGAAGCCCAAGAAGGGTGTCTTGAATCGCTGTGTGGAGCGCCTGATGGCAGCTCCCTTTATACCAGCCCAGCCCATTCTTCACAGGATTGATGTGCACCACGAGACCCAGCAGAGCATAAGGAAGCAAACTGTAAGCAAAGGATCAATGCAATATCTTCAAATATATCTTTAAAAAATTCCTTATTCTTAGGAACAACTGGAGGACCTGTGGCAGCAGTTCAAGAGCCTTCAGCGTCAGCTCCAGGAACAGTCGGAGGGCGAACCCAAAGAGGCCCTTACCATGCAAATCGAATCCAACTACGACCAGTTGATCCTAGAGGGTGATAAGTTGGTGGAAATACGCCGTGATGAACGCAAGTGAGTATGTGTCGTACGTGGAGTGTTCCTATAATAAACTGGTCATTAAGTCATTCCTATATAGAGTGCCGCCTCCACCACTCTTGGAAACACACTGAGATAATTGAGGTTTTTATACCTCGTACTTGTTTTAGATTAAGGGTATATTTGACATTTAGATTGGTCCTTTTTCGTAATATATTACAATTTTAAAGATTATTTTTTGTCAAAATATAAATGCTGTTTGTTTTTTATAATTTTTAAACCACTTTTATTTCTATTAATGCAGAGTACCTATAATCCTCCCCTCCCTTTCCCTATAGGGTATCCTGAAACGCCATTATTCGTCGTTGTATGTCTACTTCAAACTAATTTTATTGATTTCAGACAGCGCTGCGACCTCAATTGCGCCGTGGCTTTGGCCAAATGGATTATTCATGCCCTGAACCTGGAGGAGCGCGTGGTGAATGTTGTTAGCTCAGTGTTGAGTGTGCCCATCGAGGATTGGACTGAATTGGTAAGAGCATTAAAAATTAAATATAAAAATCTGAATAATTATAAAATTAACATAATTTTCTTTAGAGCTGGGAGGAATCCATGGCTCCCGGCATTGATATGCTGCATCATTTCGGACCACTTACCCGTTCCAAGTCCACTTCGACCCACGGTTTGCTGGATGCCAACGCCAGCTCCAAGGATAGCTTCGATTACAGCAGATTCCGCAGACACTTTGCCACACTCTTCGATCGTATTGTGCGTCTTGCATCCACACCAGCAGCCATTAATACCGCTGAGGTTACAGCTCAACCGGCGGCAGAGGAGAAGCCACCGCCACAGGAACAGCAGTTGCAGCAGCAGGTGGACGAAATCGGAAACATGCAGCGTATGCTGGGCGACAAGGGTCTGCCTTTGGCTCCACCCAAGCGTAGAACTAACATGAGCAGCTCCCTAGAGGCCGTTGAAGATGACGAGGAATATGACGAGGATGATCTTCGCGAGGATGTGGGCTATAGGAAAGATTATGGAGCCACCGACGAGGAGAAGAATCCAGCCAATACAAAGAAGCGATCCGAATGGGTCAACGAGGACTTTGAGCTGCCCACCACCGAGGAGCTGTTCAGCGACCTGGGCATCTGGTGGTAGGTCTGGCTGGGATTGGGGAAACCGAGTAACAATAAACGTGCAAACTGTCAAAACAGAGATCTTTATTGGACGCTCACCTGGACGCTGGATGACAGGCTGACGGCTGACAGCTGCTGGGCCCCAAGATCTCCGATTCTGGCGGCGATAAAGCTTCGTAATCGGAATTTGCATAACCAGCAACGACAGCCAGACAGCCAGTCAGCCCTCCAGTGTCCAGTCTCTCAGTGGGAGTGCGGAGATTTGTGGGGACAAGATGGGACAGGCGGGACAGGAACAGGAACAGCAGACTCGTTTATGATGCATAGCCGCAGATAAAGCAAGATAAAAGTCAGGGGGACAACTGAGAAGAGGCTTCACTGTGGCCTGTGTGAGAGTGGGAAGTAGGCAGATGGAGACTGGGAAGTGCACATAGAGAAATTGAGGACTATTACGGGATTTTAAATATTAAAAATATGAAAAAATAATAAAATAATTCTTCAATCTTTTCCGAGACTGACTTTTGGTTGCATTTTACCTTTATAATGGTTATTAGTTAGGCTCCTTATATCTACCCCAATTTCAGAAATTCTATTCAAAGTCATCATTTTTTTTCCCCAGTGTTCAATTGTAGCCGGGACAGCTGCTGTGATCCCTTGTCTGCTCCACACGCAATCCCACACACATGGTAAACTGAGTTATAGTAGTCGCCGCCTGATCTAGGCCTTAGCTCCAGTTGCAGGACCGTAAATTGGCCACAATTGACTGCCAAGAATGCCAGGTCTGGGTCCTGGTCAATGCATATGCTCCTGAGACTCCAACTGAATGTCTGTGTGTATGTCATCGGGTGCATTGTGCACATTGTTTATGGGACAGAACGTGGGTTTGCTTTTCGGCGGGGGTACAGCTGGCTCATTGCCTCATTGATGAATTAACAGCTTTTTAATGTGATTCTGAGCGATTAAAAATTAATTAGTGGCGTGCTGATGGCAAATACTCATCTCATCTCATCTCGAACGAACGTAATGAGTGCAGGATAGGTCAGTCACATGCGGTGAGGCGTGAAAAATAACTGAATGCACATTGGTTTTAAGGTGATATTTTCTTGGGGATTTTGGGTATTTGATATTGTATTTTAAAGATTTTATATTTTATAAGTAGGAAGATTTTTAAGGTCAGCTCAACAGCATTATAATAAGTTTGTTGCTGGAAATAGTTGGGGAAATCTTAATATTAATCTTAATATTAAAAATTCTTTTCATTTAAATATTTCCTCATGTGGACCCAGTGTCCGAGAACCGCTTTCGATTGTGTTTCCGTTAACATTAATAATTGAGTGCCCGCTGAATTGGCAATTAGCGACAGGGCCAAATTTAGCTGCCGGAACGACAATAAACAACAAGTTGACGTATCAATCAGTGCGAGAAGTTTTCCCAAGTAATCAATAAAAATGCAGGTGATTTCATTTGGTTCATTAGTTACAAACATATGATTAACAACGATTTTATTTGGTTCATTAGCTTTGGGTTAGTATAGATTATAGTTGGGATTGTACTGCTCCTTGATGGAACAGAGGGCGGGATAATCCGGATTGCTGCCGGTGCGGCACTGGGAGGCGGGTTCACCGGCATTATAAACTGGAACTCCAATGGCATAGACACTGGCATAGTTGCAGGCGGTGTTGTAGATGTACAGGAAAGGATACTGGGGATTGGTAAAACGCATCATGGCACAGCCCACATGGGTGTTCCTGTCCACCACTGTCTCCACAAAGTGTCCATACTTTTCACTGAAGAAAACGATAAGAGAAGAAGGTTAGAGAAGGGGTTAAGGTAAATTTAATCTTAAATCATATTTAAGAAATAATTGAGCATTGAAATGATCCTTTAATGCTCAAAATTATATAAAATAGTTTTCTTTACTTACTGATTTCTGGTGAGCCTAAAGTCGCTGATATAGCTACTATCAATCAGTTTATGCTCTCCGAACCACAAACCCATAGATTGCTCTACAAGATTAGTCACATTCAAGGGCCAATTCCTGGGACGATCGACACCGCACAGATTCTGACCCAGATTCCGGAAGCGATAGCTGTTATGGCAGTCATCGTGCTCCAGGTAACAAGTCTTTAGGTTCAAAGTGGCCAGATACTCCAGTTCAGCATCCCACACCATAGTGGCCATTCGAGTGGCAGGATAATAACCAGGCAGCGAACCCGAGGCTATGTAGTTCCGGCGCTTATTATGTTCATCCAGGATAAAAGAACGATATGGCTTCATGTCCACCATGGTGGCATCCGTAGAGCAGGTCTCATGGAAGTCCTAAGGGATAAGAAATAAACTATTTTAAGTAAATATATCAACTTTATTTCATTTATCAAAAACTTACCCCATTATTATTGCAGGCTATGTGCACTGTATTTTCTGGACACAACTCGGGATCGCACCAGGACAGTGGCTGCGCCTGAACAGACACCAAGATCACCAGGATCAGCATCGCACAACCGATGTTCATTATATATCTTCCGGACTCCATGTTTGCTGGATCTCAAATGCAAATCCTGACCACTGTCAAGGCGATATTTATAACGAAATTTTGATTTGCAGGTGTTTATTTTCGGTCACTCTCAATATTGGTCCCAAATTCGATGCCGATGATGCTGATTCCAATCCCGATCCCGATCACGATCCCAATCCCGATGCCGATGCCGATCTTAAACCGCAGCTTGAGACAGGTCAAGCGACGTTTTATGAATCATTTCCATTTTCGGGGGCCGTTGTCTTTGTCTCAATTCAATTACTGCCTCGAGTGTGTCTCTGTTATTTCTGCTGTTTCTGTTTATTTCTCCAAAGAGCGTTCACACCGCGGTGCTCCAAAGTGGACGACTTCTAGGAAAACTCGGGCATTAAGAGAGAGTCTGGCCGGGAAGAGTCTCCACTTTCCCAGCTGAGCCCTATGTATCTATTCCGAAATTAGACTATTCAACTCGATCGTTAAAACTGCAGAGTTGAGTGAAGTTCAAGCTGGTCGGAAATAAGTATATAGAGAAAGCTAGACACACGGTTTTAGTTATTTGTTGAGCTTTGATTTAGTTGGTTAAATGTTAAATGTATTCTAAAATTTGTGGGCTTCATACTTTGTGTTAAAGTTTGTTTAAATTAATTGAAGATGGAAAATCAGAAAGAAAGCTGGGTTTGGGTAGCTTGTAGTTTGCCATTAGATCAGAGGGCCGAATTTGTGTGTTTCTGTTAATTTTTATTAGGTAATCAAACCCTTTAATAATAATGTAATAGGCTTATATTAAGTTAACAGTTCAGTGACTTTTAAATCTGCGTCAGAAACCTTTGGGAAATCCCTTATAAATATGGTAATCTGTATTTAAATAAACATAAATGGTCTATTAATAGACTTGTATAATCTAGTATAAGAAACTAGAACTATATAATTTTAAAATAACTTAACCTATTAAACCTTAGACTCTATACATTCTAGAAAAACTTGTCTCCAGTTAAAATGACACAATAAATACTTTACCGCAAGTAATCGTGGGTGTTTCAAGCAGTTCAGTGACTTCACAGCTCCACATTAGCCAGATCCCTGACATTGACATTGACCCATTTGACCAGTTTTGTATAATCCATGTATAATCTTTGAAATCTTCTTGTTTTCTGCCCATTGCACACGCCAAGCTCCGCATTGAAAGACAGGTTCTCAATCACAAAAGAAGGAATCAATAACTTCTGCGCACAAATCAAATAAAATAAATGGAATTTGCATATGCTTGGGGCGAACATCTTTATGGGCGGCTCATTCTCTGTTGGTCAATAACAAACGAAAGTTCTGTGGGCCAAACCAGTCTCGCCGGAGACTCTCGGAGACTGGCTGACTGGCTGGCTTTCTTTGAAGATTCTCATTGTTTATTTTGGTGGAACTTACAGCACAACTCGGCGACTCAACTATAACTCAACTCGACTCAACTTGGCTTATGCAATAATCTTGGCCGGGTCAGAAGTCAGCAGCGGTCTCTGTTGGTGACGTCTTTAGATTTAAATAAGTTATTCAAAACAAAAAAAAAGCAGTGACTGGAATCGATGCGATCATTTATTGGTTGTAGGATCTTCGTATTCTTTTTAAAGCTAAGTTTATGAAATACTCTTGGCAGTTGTACCTGAGTGCGCGTAGGGGGCTTCCCCTTTGGGATCACATTAACATTTACCAATTGGGATTGTACTCCTCGCGCGTGGAGCAGAGTCCCGGATAGAAGCGGCTCTTGCCCGTGGTGCAGCGGGAGGCGGGATAACCACGTTCGTATACAGGAGCTCCTAACGCGTAGAGGCTGGCATAGTTGCAAATGACATTGTAGATGTACACGGAGGGATAGTCTGGTCGCGTGAACCTCAGAATAGAACAGCCCACGGCAAAGTTCTTGTCCACATTCATCTCCGCAAAGTGGCCATAGTCCTCGCTGTTTAAGATTAAATCATAATTTAATAAGTATTAATTTAAGATAATTTTTTCTTATATATTAAAGGGACATACCCTTTCTAGTACTTACAAAATCGGCGTCACTTTGAAGGCATCTATGAAACTGCTATCTATAAGATCATACTCATTAAACCATAGTCCCAGCACCTCTTCCACCAAACTGGTGACATTCACATGCTGACTCCTGGGTCGCCACACAGCAGCCAAATTCTGTCCAGAATTGGCATATCTGTAGGTGTTGTGGCAGTCATCATGGTCCAGTTTGCAAGTGCGGGTATTCAGCATGGACAGGTACTGCAGTTCATCGTCCCATACCTAAGGATAATGCCTTTAAGTTGCCTGATTTTTTTTGGTTAAAGGGAATTCAAGTCCTACCATGGTGGCCATACGGGCAGCTGGATAATATCCTGGCACTTTTCCCAAAGCCAAAAAGTTTCTCCTTTTATTATGTTCGTGTAGGAAATCCGCCTTGTTGCGACTCACATCCACTTGAAAGGCATCCGGCTGGCAGCGTCTGTGAAATTGCTAAGAAAAGTCAAAGGAATTTGTAAGTAAAAGTTGAAAATTGTAAAAAGAAAATTATATTCTAAATTTACAGCTAATTTTACCAATAATTTCTGTAAAATATTACTCAAATCATTACAAAATTTTAACTTCCTGAATACATTTCTGGAATCAAAATAGTTAAATAATAATAAATAATAAAATAAATTTCTGAATTAACTGATTGCACCTAAGCGATCTTTAATTATGATATATAATAACCATTAAAACCAGATAAAGCCGTCTTGATTGAAGATTTGTTGCGTTTAAATTTAAATACATATAAATAAATTAAGCAGACAAAGCCCGGAATATATTCAAAATACTTGTTTGTGCAATAATCTTTACATTTTATAATAAGCAATTGATATTTAAGATCTGCTTAAATGTTAAAATGTATTCTTTTAATAACTTGTGCTCCTTTGTATTGCAATTATTTTAATTTATTTATAGTTTTTTACATAATAGTAGTTACTCACTCCTGTATTCCGGCAGGCAATGTGTCTGGTGCCAGGCTGACACAGGCTGGGATCACACCAGCTGTACTCGCTGGCCAGGACCAACTGCATCGTTAGCTGGAAGAGGGCCACGCAGGCAGTCCATTTGAGCAGCAACGACATTTTGTTTTTTATATATATTTAACTAACAGAAAAATAAATCTCTAACAAATCTCTATTAAACTATAGGAATCCAATCCAATTCCGCTGGCACTTTCAATGGATTACTATGGCCAATGAGCGTGGCCGTCTTTATTGAATGTTTCCGTTTGAATGATCACAGAACCGAGATCTGGGACTCCGACTTGGACTTGGACTAAGCAAGAGAGCTCGTGTGTTGTGCCCGCCGACTTTTTATACTACTAGTATATCTCTCTCCGCCGATTCTAATGTCATTTCGCAAAAGCCCGACTTAGCCAGGCCAAGACATGCCTTTCTAACACGTTTCGAAACGAAACGCTACGAAACGAAATGGCCAAGAACAAGTTTGCACGAAATAATGATAATAAATATAAATATTAATTTGAGGGCCAGCCGAGCGGAGGATGAGCTGTGTGCGAGTCTTCCCGGTCTGGCTGTTCCATTTCATCCCGCTCGGTGTTTCGGAGTCGCAGTCGGGTTTCTGAATTCGTGATTTCAAAATTGGGCAACAAAAAATTAAACAAAAGCAAAAAGGTAAAGACTAAAGGCTAACAAAAAGCAAACATCAAAGCGTAACTCGACAGGGAAATACCTGCTACTTTATAAAGATTATTATCTAAATCTTATCGTGTTATCTACATGTTTTGTTACATGTTAACAAGCTTATTTTGAGCAGTGTGATCATGGTATAGTTTATTTATTTGTAAAGGGTTTTAGCTAACTTGATGTTTATTTATTTACTTTTTTATTTAGTAAACAAAAAACCAAAATAACAAAAATCCTGATGAATAAAATATAAATATAGATGTATCTACATTGTTTCTAGATTGTTTATTGCTCTATTTATTTGATAGGTTTTCGTAAATATTAATATTTCAATTTTGAATTCTGTGAAAATTGAATAAATGGTTTGCTAATACTAATTGAAACCATGTTTTATGTATTGTTATAGATTTATACGAACTAAAAGATCATATTATCAATGTTCTATTATATTATTAATATATAGAAATTGTATCTATAAGTACCAGAACATTTTTTAAAATATTTAAAATGATTAAGAAGTAGAATTTATTAATGAAAATAAAAAAGGGGATTCCCTTAATGATCTGATTTCAATTTATAATTTTTAGGAACCTATAATACCCCTTAAATATACCACTACTAAATAAAATATAAAAAAATAAATAAAAGAGAGAGGAGAGAGTCCATTCTTGCCACGAGCTTGTAGCTATCGATCGATCTATGTGGACACTGATCGGTTGACAGGCCATAAAATGTGCGCGTTTGATGTTAATGCGATCGTTAGCGATCCGATCCCATCCATACATATGCTCCTTAGCTATATTTGAGCGTATTTATTGGGGCTTGGGAAACGGCGGCTATCCGGCTATCCGGCTATTTGGGTAAATTTAGGCTATTTCGGGGGGCGTGCAATTAATTACCCGACTTTTATTGACACATATATCCGAATGTGGCTCCGGTTAGCCGGTAGATGGGGCCATCAGCCTGACCGGCTCGCTTAGAACCTCAGAACACCAGAACCCCAGAACCTATTAGACTAAATTTAGTGGCCTCAGTATGCAAATTTCAACAGCGATTATGCACGATAAGGTGGCACTTAAGACTGACGCGTGATTTAAGTTGCTTTTCATAGATTTATAGAGGAGAAATTCGAGAAGAAAGGTGACTGTGTGTAGAGTGTGTGTCGGTGTGTGCTGCTAATTGATGGTTTTGTAGCATGTGTTTGGTTACCCTGGAAAGTTTTTGGGAGATGGAAGTGTCTAACATTCAAGTTAATATGTTTCTTTAGGTAAAAAGAATTTTAAACAAATTATTTCCATTTGTATTTAAGTTGTATTTTGAACTCAAATATATCAAATGATTCCTTAAGATTCCCTTTTGACACTAACAGCATTAATTAGTGATTAATCTTTGTTTTAAATCCGTACATCTCTCGGTTCCCACAGTTCAAATCGCGACTCGCTGCGCCATTATTGCAAGCGAGATTACAAGATTAGATAATTGCAATTAATACTCAATACTGATGGCACTGCCACCGCCACTTCCGTCATGAGCAAACAACACCTTCCACTCAGGTGTAGTCGCTGCATAATTACATCTGATTGCGATGAGGCTCATCGCAAATGATGCGAAATAAATCGCAGCAAGTAAGTAACTCAGCGAACAAGCGAAATCATTTAGTATTAATTAATAAACAGTATTGTTCGGGACCGGCATGTGCCAAAAAATTATCCGAAACTGATGGATGCCAACCAGTTTCGAGACAGAATGAAAAAAAGAGTGCAAACAAAATGTTAATAAATAAGAATAAACAAAAGATTCTCTGTTGACGACGCCTGGCTGTCTGTGGAAGTGCCAAAACAACTTATTAGGAGAAATCTTGGTTGAGAGAGAGAGTCCTCGTCCTTTCACATAATTATTCAAATGACCAATAACTAGGCAATTAATCTATGGTTTAATTTCGTGTGGGCTTGCCTCTTCCATTCCCATTCTGATTGAGACACACGCTATGGCCATTTGAGCCAACGCTGAATACTTGATTGCCAATTAAATTAGTCAAAACCCATAAGAATCGCTCGAGAGGAGCAGAGACTTTAGCTATCCATTAATTCAACAATTCATTCAGTCATTCATCTCTCGTGTTTGTAAGACCAAAGAAATCTTCCCAGGCATTTGTGTTCTTAATGACTTGCTCGATTGTTGATTGACAGCTCCGGCTGGGCTGGGGATTGGGGCGGGGGCGGTGTCAGCGATTAATAACTAATTTGCTCGGCTTATTAACTCTGGCCAAGACGGCTTAATTAACTCAATGGGTAGAGGTAGAGTGATTATAATTATATCTCAAATATTTACTGATTTTAATAATTTTAATGAGATTTATTGGGTAATTTATACAAATTCTAAATTTAGAAAAATAGTGATTAATTTTTAAATCTAATTCTTAAATCTTAAGATGTGGAGTTTCTTTATTTTAAACATATTAAATAACTTCCTTCTTTATTATCAACTGGAGCGTGTCTATAATAAAGCTGTGTTAACTAAAGTTAATCAACAAATTAGGGAAACATGCTAATAAAATTGATTCGTAGAAATCATCTGGAGCGTGTCAAATAACCACGAAAAAGAAGTTCATTAACTGTAAAGTCAAGACTAAAAAAAGGCGTTGAATAAAGAAAAATTATTTAATAATCTTAGGAAATATAAAACACCATAGAAAATCAAATAAATATTTGAAGTCTAAACAGATAAATGAATTTTACATTTAAATGCAGACTTTTGCCTTAAATAACTTCTTCCACCTTTTAAATCTTTTATTTTAGCATTCATTCTCCCCTTTTTGATTTGTATTTTCCACCACTTCTAATGGTGAATCTAACCGGGGGATGGTATGGCCACCCCGTTTTGGTGGCATTTGGGTCAGCGCCGGAGAGTATGCTACAAATTACTGTCACTCTGCCGCCGCACTCTTTCGCACTTTAGTAGTATATTCCTCACTCTCGTTCTCCAACTCTGCCGTATCAATAACATAAATAATGCCCCCATTTGTCCAGTTCTGTCAACAGCTTTGGTTTCCCACATCCGGGAAAAATAGGAAAATGGAAAATCCCAACGAAGCTAAACCCCAAGGCGAAGTGCAGCCCTTGAGTTCGCTGGATGTGAACGTGGGCGAAGTCTCTGGCTCTCCGGCTGTCCAACTATCCGGCTCTGGAAGCCGCTGACATATGGATGCTATGCGCTAATGGCCAAGCCCAATGACAATGCTGACAATGGCTGCTCCCACGCATCCAGCGGATGATTCATGCGTTTCCACTCGCTTATGCACACTTAGGAAGTCGCATCCTTGGATGGCCTTTTTACACAAAAAGAAAACTTGAACATTTCCTAAAATTCTGTAATTCAGGGTATGGGTAGTACTGATATAAAACATGAATATATATATCTTACCTAATACGAATTGCTGGTAGAATAATTTTTAAAATGAAATAAAATTTCATAATAAAATCTGGTCAGAATTTCCCATTCTCATTTTAGTTAAAAGCTTGCAAAGCAGTAAAGAAATCATTTCCGACCCTATAAATCATATATATTCTTGATCAGCATCAAAAGTAGAGTAGAACTAGCCATGTCCGGCAGAAATTTTTTTTTTTTAATTTTTAAAAAATTTTATAAGGGGTTACATCATTAAAATTGTCAAAAATTCAAGAAAAATTTGAATTTTTAAAATTTGTAAACTTGGTATGCAGATTTATTACCCTCATAAAACCTAGCTTAGAAAAGCTTTCCCAGCTAAAATTAAGGCATTTATAGCTTAATTATGATTTTTTTAAAACTTTGATTTGTTCAAAAAACTCCATTTAATTTTTTTATTGTGTACCCAAAATGATGCATGACCAATGGCATCGATTGTCCTTGCTCATCGCGGCTTATCGCCGGCCATCTCGTGGTCCTGCCAGAAGGAATTGATAAATTGTGGATTTTAAGTGGCCATCCAGAGGGGCAACCAGGGCCGAAGGAGGCAGAGATCCCTCTTCTCTCAAATTATGAATTATGAAGAACATGGGTCCCGTCGTCTAATGTCGCCCCTTGGGGAATGCAGCACAAACGCCACTTGTCCGTATTTCAACCGAAGACGACAGACATTTCACCGAATGCCAAATTTGGCGCACGCCGTGGCGCCACACCATCGCCGGCTTAGCCAGCAGATGCCCCCATGGTACGTGGTGCTATGGGGCAGCTGCTTCGATATGGACAGGTTAGCGCCCGATAAGGCGCGAGCACGCGTCGAGCGGCGTCTCTAGAGGAGCGACACGCGGACACACGCGGAAGCGCTCAAAGGCAGATGTCATCAGATGGAGTCCAAGATTTCTGCAGAATCAGAAGCCACGGGAGCCGAGGAGACGGACATCAATCAGGCTGCAGGCGGGCAGTGGCAATTGGAAGTGAAGTGCAGTGGCACTGACCGATCGACTTGTTTGCAGATTCAATGCACGTGCCGGTTGCGTGGTGGGGCACTGGGAAAAAATTCGGAGTACTTCTAGAGGATTTATTATCATATTTAATTTAATTAACCTTTTTTTTTAATTAAACCATTATTAAGAAAATAAATTAACAAATGGATATTGCTTTCAGGCTTAGTAAGGGTTTATTTTTAATCATTTATAGCGAATAAAATATAGAATAAATATAAAAATAGAAAGAAGTATCCTTTTTGATTAAATAAATTCAATTTAAATATTTTTTTTATGCCTTTTTCCAAATAACATAAGATATTCCCTCTTTCATAAATCCAATCACTCAATCCAATCGCTCCTTTTCCCGCCGTGCATCTGCTTTCCTCAATGGGCCGCCATGATCGGCCTCCCAGACCAGATTGTGTTTTCCTTCTAAATCGCCGGCGATCGGTGATCGGATCGCTTGAATTTACGAGCGCCCGCCTTGTTCTTGGAATTCTCCAAGTTGTGCCCCAGCTTGTGGCAAGCAGCAAGTCCGAATCGAATTACAGACAAACTTGCCCTGGGAATTGGTCTCGGATTCGTTGGAGATGGGGAACTGGGGACTGGATATCGACCCTAGACATCGCTGACAATTATTGCTAAGCAAACATGCATAAATTGGCATTGCCTTCAAATGGCAACTGGCAACTGGCTAATGGCTAATGGCCATGCCCCGTAATTCGACGCCAGCCAGACTGAACTCGGACTCTGGAGTGGCCCTTGGCTTTGCACTCCACTCGCCATTCGGCACTCTCCACTTCCTTCCTGGAGTCTGGAGTCTGCAGTCGAGAGTCTGGAGTCGAGAGTCGGGAGTCGAGAGCCGGGAGTCCACCCCAGACGCAGTGTCGTCGTGGTCATTGAGAGCTGGAATTGGAGTTCGTGCCTCTGAAACCGATGCCACACACGAGCAAACGAACAACAATAAACACAAGTATTCTGGGGGATCTTACAGTTTTTTTTTTTTTTCGTTTTGTTTGGGAAGGGGAAACTAAAGTCAGCCGTGGCCATTCCCATTGGCAATTTGATTCCTGGTCAGCTGCAGAGCCAGCTTAATGGCTTAAGCATAGATTTCCCTAAAGGCTATTGAGGCGACTATTTAAAATTGAATCTTTAGTTGAAGTACTATATTTACTACACATCAGGTTGGAAAACTCTTTAAATATGTAAAATCTACCAAATATATGTAGAAATTAAAGCAAAGACTATCTTTAAACTCCCTTCCCCAAAGATAAACACCATTCTTAAATTGTTTTTTTTTGTTTTTTTATATATTTAAATTTCATTTGATCCACTTGCATTGTATGTGGCATTGTTTTTTGTTTTGTTTTTTGTTCTTTTCTTCATTTAATTTTTTTTTTTTTTTGTATTATAAATTGTTTTTGGGATATTCTTCTTGTAAATTTACAGATCCTGGCATACAAGTAGAACGTTATAGTTATAGTATATAAAGAGATAATTATCGTACATTATATTAACTTTAAACTCGATTAATTTGTAAAATTGAAAAATGGCAAAGAGTTGTTGTGGTTATCCTCCGGTTAAGTGCATAAATAGTTGGCGTTATAGTAGTAGTTGTAGTTGTATAAATACTAACACAGTTTTTTGGGCTAAAAGTTGGTTAATTCTTCCCCCCGATTTGAGATAAGCGGAATTTCGAGTTGGTTAAGAGTGTTTTTTTTTTAAGGGAAGCTTTGAGTAGGAGCAGAAGCTTGTAGTTGAGTGGGGAAGCGTGTTGGTGTGTTTTTTCAAGTTTTAACTAAGCAAAAAAATACTGTTTGTGCAATTCTCATATATAGTATATAGTAGTTGTTGGGTAGGTTCGTTCCTCCTCCTTCTCGCTAGAGCTTAAATTTTAAGCAAACATTATCAAGTATTTCAGCTAGGATTGCGTTTAGTTCTAAGTACACTTAGCTAAGGCTTAGTTTTTAGTTTATCATTTATAGTTTTTAGTGTTTAGTGTTTAGTTTTCAGTTTTTAGTTTAGTTTAGAGCGACAATAAAAACACACATACAGGAATACAAATATAAAACAGGCACACAAACAACAGGCTCTCCGAATAAAAACTCCTTTTTTTTGTTTACTAAAACTAAAATAAATAAAACTTAGGCTACACGAGAAATGGCGACAGAATGGATGATGTGTGGGATATATATATATATATAGTAATCCGATATACTATATATCTACCTACTCCAGAGGACCGTTCAGCTTAATACTGTTGCCTGGCTGTCATGGAAGCGAATTCAACTAGGATTTCTAGGTGGCAGAGGGATTCCCCTTGATGGTTATGGATTATTATTTAATTTCGAATAATGGCTTTAATTAAAATATATTTAATTAATTTTCTTTTATTTCCTTTTGTAAAAACTGATAAAAATCCCTTTGTAATCACTTATTTTCGGGGAATCCCTCGACTGCCTCTCACTTGCTGGGCCGCCAAAAGTATGCTATGAATAGAGGCCCTTTCAATGAGACTTCTTAACTCTTGTGTGTGTGTGTGTGTGTATGCGGATGGATGCAGTAACTAAATGAGTAACTAAACTTAAATGCTTTTCCCCTCCCCTCACCCCGCTTAATGCAGAGGCGGCGGCGTGCGATCCGGCGCACGTGGAAAGAGCAAACCGCTGGGTACATGCTTCGCTATGAAGTCCTCATCCCTTTGCCGCTCCCTATCCTTGGGATTGGAAGCCTGACCCGGCTTCTCCAGCTGATTGTGGCTGGTGCCGAGCCTGTGGTGCCTGCTCAGCTTTTGCTGCTGCAGCTGCAGCTGGTGGTTCTTCCGCTTCCGACCTCTCCGGAAGCTAGAGTCGCCATAGAACTCGTTACGCAGGAAATTCGACAAAGTGGCATTGCGCCGCCAACCCGCTTTGCAGTTGGTGGCTGTCCGCCAGTCTGGCAGCTGGACGCCCAAGCGCCGGCACTCGTGGGCATATGCCGCAAAACTGTCGCAGTGGCAGGCTCCCGATGGACACTCGCAGACATCCATCCGGCAGGCGGCTATATAGTTCTCCGGATTAAGGCGCTCGTTGCATTCGCCGAACAGCGGCGACACGCTCAGCGGATGGCAGTAAAAGCTGGACTTGCGCTTATCGCAGGTGGGCACTGCCGCCAGGATTTCGCGCTTGCGGGAGCACGACTTGGGTCCACCCACGCGCCAGGAGTTGGCAAAGTGCCAGACCTCCTCATCGACATGGTTTCGGCCATCCTTGCCTGTGAGATCATCTCGTGCACTGCCATTGAAGTTGCCACAAAGGCCGCACAATCGCTTCTTGAACTTTGCCGGCACGGAGACCTGCAGGAAGCCACCGCCATCCCATTCCAGAGAGAGACCCATCTCTGATCTTAGCATCACTGCTCCACCATCGGACAACCGCTCAATGGTTACATTCCGGCCACCAGCTGTGCCTATGTAAGGCAGCAGTACTCTGGTTCCATTCACCTTTATTCTCAGCTTCTGGCCAAGATTCACGCGTAGATTGTGCAGCTTCAGGGTCACCGTTTTGGCCCAGCTGGCATGCCTTGTGCCTCGTCCTTCGTTCGTTAATCGAATCTCAAAGGTGTGCCCGAGACAATCCTTGGCTAGGAGGTACTTGCAGCTGCCCTGAAAGCTAAAGAACTTGCCATCAAAGGTGCGGAAGTGAGGATCCCCGAAGACGGTGCAAGTCCCCGCAGTCTCCACACATCGCTGGCAGCACTCTCCCGGCGGCAGCTTCAGTTCCTCGTTGGCACGACACTTGACCGGCGGACAGCGCATCTGGGAGCAGCGAATGGTGCCACCATTGCAGCGACAGCTCCGGCAAGGACCCATATCCCAGGTCTCGTTGTTCTGGTAGGTCACACCCTTAACACTGCACTCGCTTCGCACTTCGGCAACGGCGCAGCGAGGACAGCAGGATCCATCCTGGAACTCCTGGAATTCGGGGGCGCACTCTAAGATGGGGCAGGTGGCGCGCTGGCACATGGCGGTGCTATTGAGGCAGGTGCAATTGGTGCATCTGTCTGGCATAAACTGCGTCTTCTCGGGATAGACCTTGTTGTTGAAGAAGCATTTGCCTGGGAAAATAGAGATTTTAAAATATAAATTAGTTAATAAAGTTATACTTAGTTTTAATTATTAATTATTCAAGTTTTTAAAATTATATTTTTCTAGATTTTACTCACCTGGCACTGACATAAAACCCTGATGCTGGGCACACCTTGGACAGCACTCATCCGGTCGCTTGATCTGCTTGGACATGGGACAAGGTAGAACGGGGCAGGTCTTCTTAGAGCAGGTAAGCTGGTTGGATGAGCACTGGCACACCAGGCAACGGTCATCGATGGAGGCGTCGACCTCCTGGCCCTCGGCCACTGTCTGTCCATTGATCTTGCAACCTGCCAACGAAATCCCCAGCAGACATTCAACATTAGACACTTTATGATTTAGTTGTTGGGTTTGATTTTTGCTTGGCAGCGGGCCAAGAAATTTTCCACAAGGCGAAACAAGTTTCCAAGCGTCGCTATTTGCATAGGAGCAGCGTCATAGGAAGGCCCCAGATTTTGTGGCTCCGATGATATGCTTTGCTTTGTTTTGTTTGGATCGCAATGGCGAATAATATCGGAATATGCGGGGCGACATTGTCGCCTTAATAGACAATTTAAAGCCCATAAATAAGCGGGGCCAACAAAAACAGAGAACATATCAAAACAGATCGCAGCGGATCAGCGAAGCTCTGAGCATCGGAATATTGGAATATCGGAATGCCCCATGAATAAATCATTTTTGGGTTAATAGAGACATAAAAAATAAGAAAAAAATAAAAAAAATGCTGGGATCTTATCTCTGATGATCTACTTTGAGTTGGGCAATGATTAGCCTGCTCTCATTTATGAATTTTAAATATAGAAATATTTATGTAAGTGCCTAACAGCCTCTGGCATGCCTAATACCCTTTCGTAGGGCATTATTTTTCTGGTTAAATCATCTCCTTTTGTCTAACGATTATGAGGCATTAGCGGTGTGTCTCTGGCTAATTTTAGTGACTGATGCTACCGGGGACTGGTCTTGGTCTTCGACTTGGACTGGATTTGATTGGGGTAATATCAGTTTGAATGGGAACAATACTCACCCTGGCAGGTGGGACAGCATTCCCCGGGGCGAGGTGGCTGCAGCTGGTTGTCATCGCACTGCGAGTAACATTTTTGCACCGTTTCGGTGACCACAGTCGCCATGCACTTGTATGTCCTGCAGGGATCTTCCGGGTCGCTCCACTCTGCTCCGCTTTCGTAGGGAACGCCACGGAAAATGCAACCTGGGGATGATTTAAAATTTAAACTTTATTATTAAAGCATATTTAAGATTATTGTTTAAAAATAAATGTTTTTTTTTATTTTATTTTTAAATTAATAATTAATTTCCATAGATCCTTACCCTTGCACTTGCTGCAACAGGAATTTTCCGGCTTTTCCTGTATGTAACAATCATCGATGGGAGGACAGGTATTGCGACAGTTAACAAAGCCATTCTGTAAAATGAAAATTACAAATAAAAAATAAACAATAAATTAGTCTTATCTCACAGCAGGCCCATGTGGCGTATGCGCAATTTGCACAAATGCGCCGCTAAGCGATGTGAAAGATGGCTGTCACTGAGCCGCTGAGCCAATGATTTGTGACTATGCACTATGGCCAGTACGGAGTGGAGCACATCCGCGCTGCCCCCTCTCCCCTCCCCACACACTCCTTGCCCAGTTTTCCACCTGATTTATGGTATTTCAATTGCAATTGCTCAATGAAGTTCTGCCCTCTAACCTTCAGTGTAATTTAGTTTCGGGCGTGGCGATTGCTCTGACTTTTGTTTCATTTGGGGTTACATGCACTGTGGGAAAACATTTATTTAAAAAAATTACTAACTTTATTTTTTGAAATATTTAACATATAAAAACATACTTTTGTTTGCCTTGGTAAAACTTCTTCGGTAATCTGAATCTGAATTTTAATACAAAAATGCTGCTGAAATAAATTAAATTCCATTAATTACATTGTTTTTTCTCTGTGCGATTAAGTTGGCCTGGCTGGCTGAGGGAAAAATCAGCTGGGGATTATGCAAAGCCTCGTAATTTATGCTGCAATAATTTATCCTTAAAATTCCCCTGTGCTCGTATCTCGTTAGTTGATCCCTCGGCTTGATTGCCTGCCCACCTACGTTCATACCTATATACATATATGTATATATGCTGATATATATATCTACAGGTATCTATGCATCTGGATTTTCTAGCCATTTGGCTGTTAACGACACGCTGACAGCTGCAGCGGGGCGCATTAGAATTGATGTCGATCATAAGTCAAATTGTGGCAACTGGCGGCTTGTGCAATATCTCGCCTATTGCCTTTAACCCTTGAGAGTATCGGCGTGCGATATACACCAGCTGCCGGCCTGTGACAGGTTAAAGCCAGATTCAAACTCAGATTCAGATTCAGAACGAGCGTAATAATAGAGCTCCGCGAGTCAGACGCGGAGCCCGCCGCCACTAATTGTAAATGTATCTATAAATCTAGATAGATGTCGACCAAAAACAGGCAAAATATTTCACTAATTTGTATGCAGTTGCTATGAACAATGTGAGTATCGAGTACGAATACGAGTATGAGTATCTATCTACCGTACCTCCTACCTGTGTGCTTGTGTGTGTATAATTTAGTGCAAGCAAACCAGATTGGATCTCAATTTGGATGGGGCCGCAACGTGCAAAATTTGCAATTGTTATGAAAATGAAAATCTCTAGATCTCCGAGTCCCAGAGTCGCAGCAGAGTCGCATAGTCGCGGGTCCCAGGCACCGAGATGTTTATCATCGTATTAGTTTTAATGGCAGTTGTTAGTTGGAATTTTAATGGCACTTTAGTACGACTTTGTCGTAACTCCCCCCACAGTTCCCCCCGATTTTTACACGGACAAAATATAGCGGATTTGATTTCAGGTGGCTCGAGAACCTCTAGAGATTTGCGGAATAGAATTTTGTTAAGATTAGGATTTTTTAAAAATATTTATAAGCTAGGATAAGTTTAAATCGTTAAGCAAATAAATGTAACTACTAAATATATTTATTTTTCTAATCAGATATAAGCATGAAATACATATTCTGTACTTTACTTTATTATCTTTTCCCTATAATTTTTAAAGAGATGCTTTCATTAAGGTTTATTTCTTTTAAAAAATGGTAACTAAAACCCTATTTCTCTCGGTGCATCCCTCGTAAACTGCAATAATCTGACAAAGATGGAATATCACTCTAATCGCTCGCCGTTTTCTGACAGATCAAAGTTCACATGCTCCCGAAATCCGGCCACAATCGCAATTCAACCACCACAAATCTCAACTTCTACGGTGTTGGCCAACAACTCACAGCCAGCTGTTTATGCTGAGGAATTCTTTCTTTCTATTTAATCGCGGGAACCGGTATGGAAAAATGTGTGCTGTTCCAGCCAACATGAAAGTTGAGAGGCATTCTGCTGGAGATTGCCAAAGCCAAAGTCAAGCCAACTTAATACCAAACTCAATGAAAGAAAAGAGATGGCTGAGAAGGCGCCACGATGGCAACCTGAGCTGCTAAGTAGCATTTCTGCCGGCCGCGTTTTACCTCTTGTTGGTGTTGTTGCGGTTCTTGCCCGCCGGCAGTTTACCGAAACAACAATAACAACATCAAGTCTAGTGTGTGTTTGTGTATCTATGTGTGCCACAGTGGCAGAACCGCATTTGCAAACGGCCTCTAACGACCTTGCGTTTGACAAAACATGATCAGTTTTAACACCGTCTCCGTCTGCGTCTCTCTTTCGGCCAGCTCGCTCTATTGGCCATCTCCACACTGGTAAATAAGGGGGATAACTATTTAGATAAATTGGGATGTTATTTTTAGGAAATATTCCCAATATTATAGGGTTTTATCCCAAATTAATCGTATAAAATATTTCTGGGAATCAAACAATTTATATTAAAAATAAGATGAAGAAACCCACCACAACTTACAGTTTCTTCCAGTGCATACTAACTCGGAGTTAACTTGGCCAGGTTGGCTGGAGTCTGTCGCTCTAGACACGAAGTGAATATGGTAATGACAGTCTTGTGGTTTTATGGTCATGTGTATTTTGTCACTTGTGGGTTACGGCTCAAATTGGAATCGAAATCGGAATTGGAATCAAAAGAATCAAAGGCTGAATCTGACTTGGTATCGGGTTTAGAATGGAATGCCCAAGAATTTGCAGGAAAGGAGTTGGCAGACCTGTATGAAAATATTTAACCAAATCTGGTTTGCCCGATTTGCTCTAGAATTCCATATTCGCAAAAACTGAATTTAAAAGATCTCTAATGATTTCAATTTGCTGATTTGCCCCTGGGCGATCGTAAATCCTTCATTAATATTAATCTGGCATGGCTAAGTAGATACAACATAGGCAGAGTCACTTTCCATTTAACTCTCATCCTGTCGCAACTAAAATAATGTCTCATTAATATTAATTCAAAGTTCCTGGTTAATATTTATCAATCACCCGCTGCTGTTGTATCCTCTAATCACATGTTTACCCATTTCCCAAGCACAAATTTCATTTGCAAAATATACATTTCAGACATAAAAGTCCGGCTCAATCATTCGGGGAAAACATCCCGAGAATCGTTTAAATCATAAACCATTAAGAGCGAATTCAGCGGATTCAGCATAATATTCGCATAAAAACGAAAATTTGTAGTTATCTCGAGGGTGTGTGGCATTTACCCATTTTCTTGGCCTGTCCTTGACTATTTTCCACCACACAGCAAATACTTGTGAATACATAAAGACCGTTGCTCTGCATACTCCCCCGTATATTAAATATATTTCGTACAATAAAGGCAAGTCGTAAACTTTCGACTTAAATGGGTGGGAATAATGCGAGAGTTACCCACAGTACGAAAAACTCATTGAAGCAAGTACTGGGGATAACCTTTTTTGAGCAATCGAAAAACTGAATGGGATATTGAAGGAATTTCTTTTTATTTCCAAAGATTTATAACCTTTTTTTATAACAAACAACAATTAAAAAGTACTAAGTTTGAGATAGATTATCTTATCCTGTTCAAGATAGATTCGTTTCTCAAGTTCCTGAAGAAAGTGAAAGTCCAAAAAGTGGCTTAAGTTTTATCCTAGAAAAGTCTATACAAATTATATATATTTCTAAATTATTTAAATAGGATTACCTTTTAAAAATGATTAGTTTTTAATGGATTACATAATAATATTTTGTTGCAATATTTTAAATTAAAGTTCACATTAAACATTTGATCTTTCAGAAATAAATTCATTCCGATTACGATCACTTTAAAGTTTAACATATGTCAACAAATTTGCATTATTTGTATTAATTATTAAATTATGGAATATATGGCTTTAAGCTTCCATTATGGCCTTAACGTCTTGCACGTTCCATTGAGGAATTTGTGTGTATTTTTGGCGGCATTTTGTTTTAAGAGCAAAACTAAGAGAAATCGCATCGCATCAGCTCGGGTTAAATTCGATTTCATGAACTTTTAATGATTTCAGCGAGGGAAAGAGGCGGAGATAGCTATGCGGAAAGAGACCGCTATAGCGACGGCGCCTTCCCAGTAAGGTGGCGCCAGTATCGTATTCTTTTTTCTTTATTATTTTGCGATTTTGCTGCTGCTTTTTAATTTTGGTTACGCCCACTTGACGACGACGACGACAGCAGCCAGCAGCAGCAGCAACAATGGAAATAATAATAACAACGAAGCGACGCGACGCGTCTCGCCGCAAAATGAAGCTCAGCCGCAGGCGAAAATAAGATTCTGCGATCGATCGATCGGTTCGATCGCTGGGATCGGATCGCTCGATGGCTCGATCGGCGCCAGCTCGATCGGTTGCCGCTCAAATTGGAGCAGCGGCGTTTAGCAGCGCTTAGCGCTAAATTAGCAAGAGGCTCACGACAGCTACACTGGGGGAAATTAGGTGGCCTTATTATTACTATTATTTTATGATGATTAAAAAATTTTTTGGATATGAGTACTTTGAAAATAAAGATTGTGTTTTAAGAAAAAAATTACGACTCACTTTAAAGCTATGTAACTATAAGATGCGTAACGCCATACGAATTTTTGGGTCTGACTTTAAAGCTGACAAAAGGTTTTCCTGAAATTTTGTTGATAATCATAAAGAGCTTAAGATCCAGGATCATGTTTTACTTTATTTAATTGAATTTATGAAATAACTTTAATTATTAGTTATTTAATTACATAAGGTTATTCTTTTAAAAATTAATATTATTCAAAAAAAAAAACAAAAAGACTTTGAATATAACTTAAATCTTGCATCATGGAAATATAACTAATTAATAAATAAAATCAATAAATCTCTGATTAATTTCCAAGTGTCTTGGCAACCCTGTCGCAGCATCACCTGTCCTTATCACCATTCCTATCTCCATCCCGCTCTCTCCAGCGATCAGCCAGCTGAGCACGCGCTCGCTTAATGACGACACGAAGCTGTCAGAGCAGGTGGGTAAAGAGCGGAAGGGTTGCCGGGCGGGTGGTGGTGGAGACGGCTGTGAAAGAGAGGGGCCGTCGCCTGGTAGCTGGCGACGAAAAATCACAGCGGCGGCGCCAAGTGTTTGTCAAACGATCGACTGCCGACTATCGGCTATATTCATACATATAGAGATCGATCCAACACCGAACCGAATACCCTTGCCAACACACCGCCACACCAATACCACCGAGCGACCCACACTGCGCGAAACCCGTTTGACGACCTTGGATCATAAAAATTCACCAGAGAGGGACAGGGATGGCCTCCGGGACACAGAGAGAGAGAGAGAGAGAGAGGGAGCTTTGGAGTGAGAGGCATCGAGGGAATGTGGGCTGGCAAGAGGAAATACAAGAAGAGCTGAAGCCAAACAAATGCAAACAAACTCAAACATTTCAGCCGAATCCGGCAAAAAAATTTGTCAGCTGTTTGAGCTCTTTTTTTATAATGCACAGAGCGAAAAAGGTTGAATTATATTGAATATAATTAGCCAATGAGACTTGGGTAAAGGATATTATAAAGTCTATTAGATTTTTTACTTGCTGTACTATAATTCCCTAGCCTAATATATTAAATCTCAGCGAAGTTTGAACTTTATAAATTCTGGTAAAATAGATATTACATTTTCCATTAACAATATTGGTAACACATTTCTCTGCCTGTACCTAACGGTAGTACAAAAAACTATTCGACCTTATGAATGTGTGTTGGCTTGGTTATTTCTTCGTGAAATATTCTACACATTTTCGGTATTTCTCATTTTGGCAGGCCGCTAAGGAAGTAGTGACTGCAATGACACGAGTCTGAATGTCCTGCTGGCTGGACACTGGCGTCGTCCCATGCTGGGAGCGAGATGGAAACAAGGGCGGTAGCAGGAGAGGCTCGGCTCTGACAGGAGAAGGAAGGAAGGAACCCGGGTACAAGAGATTTATTTCAGCGAGCATGTTTATGTTATTTCATTTCGTTTCATTTCGCTTTAAGTGACTTTTATCGAGGCCAAAAGGCGAGCTCCACTCGCAAACTTGGCAAGGATCCCTGGAGCCTTAAAAAACGAAGCTGACTGAGAAGTGTGCGTGGGGATTCGGTTGGAGTATATAGAAATTAAAGTGTGTAGCTTTTCTTTTTTAATAAAAACTCACCTTGCATTCGCAGTTGTAGCAATTGAACTGGTCCAGTTTGACTTCTTCGCCCTCGTTGGAGCAGGATATTCTCCAGCCTGTAAGAAGGGTAAGGTGCGGATTAGTGATATAGTGCTTATTGGTCGATGGTAGTGGTTAATCCCCTTTCCTCACAGATAAGCCCCACCCACTGCATTTCCTGCCCCCTGACGTTGACTCTTGATGCAATAATCCAAAAACAAACACAAACAACACGATTCATGGCATGTACAAACGCCGGAAATTGCCCACCGACTGAGATCTTATCCGAGCACGTGACCCAAAACGGATTCCTCCAATCCCAGGCCCAACCCCAACTCCCCCGTTCTTATGCAGCTGATCTCCATTCCACAGGTCAATGAGATTAGGCCACTATATAAATGGGAATGTGTGTATAATGTGCACGGAAAAAAATGGGTAAAAATCATAAATTCCTATTATATGTCATCTAAAAAGCTAAGTTCGAATTTTGTTTTAATAAAAACCAAGATAAACAAGCAAACAGTTTTAAGAAATTATATTTTTAGTAATATTTAATTGAATATTATTAATATTAAAACACTAAACACTTATAATGTTTTTAACTTCATATGAATTAAGCTCTTTATGAAACGTAAGGTGCTCTTAATTTCTCTCTGTGTAAGTACTCTCCTTCCTTGCCTTGCTTTTTTGTTGTTGTTGTTGCTGCTTCTTTATTGTGTTTTTACCTTTTCCTCAGTTGCTGTCGACGTCGCTGCTGGCGCTAAGTCAAAAGTAGCGAAGCATTGCATGTTAAACATGTTCCACAACAACAAAATCAACAACAACAAATGCAACACAAAAGCCATAACAACAACAACAATCAGGCAGTAGCAGCAGACCAAAAGGTAAACGGAAACAGTGAGGAAGACAGGTACAAACAATGATCGAGGTGGGGTGGTAGTGGGAGAGGGACAGGGTGAGCCACGACCCCAGGAGGCTCAGTTTGCTCTTCTTCTTCCCAAACCAAAAGAAAAGAGAGAAAGAGGACCACCTGCAATGTGCTGATAAATACCCACACACATACACACCGGCAGACAGACAGACACGCGCGCCATCCCCCTCGCTCTCACCCGCTGGTTGGGCGATAAATGAAGACGCCGGCGCTACACAGAAAATATATTTTGAACTTATAAGATTTTAAAGATTTAAGAAAAAAATTCTTTAGATATTTTAAATGTACAGAAAATTGTGTATGTGTTTAAAAATTGTCAAGTTTATGTCAACGGTAAGAAGACGTCACCATTATATTCTTCCTGTGTAGCTGAATAAGTCAAGAGGAAAGAATGAGATCCATTGGAGCTACCTTTTTTTGTTCCTCGACATCGTCTTCCTCTTGCTCTCTGATCTCCGTGGGCGGCTTTAGGACTTTGTTTTATTCAGCGTTATTATCATGGTTCCTCCTACTTGATCTATCTCCAACTCCTAGCTTTTCCCTCCCAGAAACAATCTGTGTAATTTGGTCGATTGTTTGTTTTTGGTTCGCTTTGTTCTTTGATGCCTGGATCTCGGTTGATTGTTGTTCTCGGTCGAGTCTTTCCTGTTATGCGATTGTGTCCTGCTGGGTTTTCCCTATAACAAGGCCCCCCCTCCTCCTCCTAAATCCCCTAAATCAAATGGAAAATTTTCTCCCCCCAAAAAGAATTAAATTTTTGTTTTCGAAGCGCGCCGCCTTTCTCTTTTTGACTAGAACACTTAATGAACTGGGTTCAAGTAACCCGATATCGGCATTGCAATATATCTAATTTATGCGATTTTTATTTTCATTTAACACACTCGAAAATCCATAAAAAAAATCCCACTCAGTATGTTTTTTAGAGAAGCCCAGACGAAATAATAAAAAAAAAGAAGGCCCGAGACGGAGACAACGCTTGAAATGCTCAGTCAGTAGCCAATATATAGTCTCTATATAGCAGACTCCCCCCCCCGATTTCGGACCTCTCCCCTGAACCGCTGGCGTCGGCGACGTTCGCCGATTAATCACAGTCGCAGATTAAGCGCCGGCCAATGGAGCGGAAGGAGGGGATTAAGAGGGGGTCAGCGGTGGGTCAGAGGTGGGCCAGAGCCGGGGAGCTGAGGGGCTACGAAGGCACGTGCTTGGAACGGGCACGTGCGGACGCCTAACAACAGTCGAGAGCGGTACTAAGTATTCTTGAAAATATTTAAAAACTATTATCTGGCTTGTAGATTTTTAAACAAAGGGGATGGCCAGAATAAAGATAGATTTATAAGACTTTAAATTAAACTGTTAATCTTGAGGTTCTAAAAATAGTATTTCCCTTCATAATAACTTTAATTATTTAATTTCTAGATACCAGAATATGGTATTTATATTTCTTACTTTGATATACTTTAGAATCATAAGTATCCCTCTAGCATGAATAATTCCTTTTAAAGATAATGCTTCTCAGTAAGTAAGTTAATTTGCAATAAATAGTAATGCCCGGTAAAAGTGCGAGTGCACCCATAACGAAGCTCTTAAAAATCGAATTCTGACTCAGTTGACAATCGCAAATAAAAAGTTACGTGAAAAACCGATCGGAATGGCTTTAACCCCGCTCCTAAAGCCAATCTATGCAGCTGTTATAAGCTCGTAAAAATCAGCTAAAATCCATGATTCATAGTCATAAGTCCATACTGAAATCAGGCAAGCTGCTTAGAATGGGCTGTATTTTTGGGGTATTATTATTATTTTCCAACTTGGCAAGAATGTTGATCTTCATCAAGGTTAGATGAAAGTTTAACGATCGGATTGGAAACGAAATTTATGACCAAAAAGTGATAAAATAATTATGATATTAGAAACAGTCCTCAAATGATTTCAGTTGGATCGTAAAAACATTATTGATGAGGTAATCAATGTTTTTATGCGAAAAAAAAAACGAAACGGATGAGAATTTATGAGGCATGACCCTAACGAAATTGAGCTCTTAATTAATTGAGGTGTTTTTTTAATTACAAAACTGTTTAATTAATATATAAACTATATTTATAGGAACCATATATATTTATTTTTACCTAACCTATCTATAGAGCTGGCTTATAAATCTAATTTTGGGATACTTGACCAAAGAACGTTTATGGTTACTATTTATAAAAAACCCCAAATGATCTCTTAAGTTTTTCAAGAGCCTGTTAAGTGAGCACTTCTAAATTATTTTTAAATTTTTAAATATTTATAGATCGATCCATTTATGGAAACTTACCGTGAAGACTTTGGCCCAATCCGGCGGCGACTACCTGTATTTGGATTTGGATCAGGCCCAGCAGGATCAGGACGAGGATGGGTCCTGGTATATGCCTAAGTCTGCTATATGCTGTGGCTTTTGCTGTTGTTGCTGGTGATGACACTGATGATGATGATGACTTGGCAGATGGTTCCCGTGGCTGCTGTCCACTTGAAGAAGACTGCGCAGAAGATTTCCCCTGGCCGCTTGATTGGCAACACATTTTCACAGGCGGTCGATGTTCGCGGAAATCTCTATTCATTTTTCCTCAGCACAATTTCCCAATAAATGCTTCTTTTATTTCTGTGGCTGCGTGCGCGGCTAGCGTGAATTATGACTGGAAAGAAATTGTGTTTTTGGTGGAGAAAGATCATGATCAAGCCGGTTAGTTTAAAAATAACAGAGGAGCGGGCGAAAATAGATATTTGTTTGGATATTCTGCAGGTGTCTCGTACCAATTTGTACCTGCAACTTTGTTGTTCAAATTAAATATAGAACCGAACGTGTGTGTGTCTGTTTTGGTTCTGATTCTGAATCTGACCCAGAGACTTTGCACTTGCCGCATTAAGAGGCATTTAACAGAGGGAGAAATTTCCCGTCCCCTGTCCAGTAAATCATTTCGTTTTTGGGTTTTACGACTCCTCTTTAAATGAGATATGGGTTTCGGTTCGGTTCCTTTCGCCAGCCCTCGGATTCTGCGAATCATCTCACCGACAGCACCGACAGAGAGGTGTTAAGACAACCTGGACATTATTAGTTTTGCGATCTATGGGCGCGTACTCGGATATACTCTTGGCCGGCTGCCTGTGTATGGGTTCAGGTAACAACAGATATGGGCCTTATGTGTGGTGGCTCTTTGTTCGCCGCTCTCGTCTGGCGGATCATAAAAATGTTAATGATCTTTGACGGGGCTGGCGCCAGCCAGGGAATATTGTAATGCTTGTTTGAGTTATAATTAATTTCGATGGCGCATAATATTTTATTATTTGTCTTGGACAAGCACACAAACGAATTCGCCAAAGATCTGTTGTCTCGCAACTTATCCACCGGTTGGCTTTCGGCTTTGGTTTTTTGACTTTTTTTTTATGGATTTCTAGCCGCTGCCTTCAAAGTGGCGCCAACCAAACGCCGAACCAATCGCAATCGCACCAAATGCGGATACGAATCTCAGTGAATCACTAAGCGCTAATCCCAATCCCCGGCGTAATCCCAAGACCTGCCTCGGATCCCGTTCCCATTCCCACTCGGCGGCGGAGATCGTGTGACACACCCAGCGGCGATCGGCGATCAACGATCGGGAGAGCATACACATCTACTATATACATATGGGAAAGAGAGATTCAATGGCCCAAATCGGTGCTTGACCTAACAAATGTCACCGGCATTCGAACAAGTGTCAATGCCCGATGAAAGTGATGGAACAGGGAGTACCCTAAGCTTATGGTTGATTAAGGGTAGAGAAGAGTAGTCCTGTTTAGGGTTTTAAAAGATTTTGTAACAGGAAGTAGAGAGTAAAACAGTTTGAAATAGATTGTAACTCTCCAAAAAGCTATATACATTAAATCAAGAAATATTTTTAAAAAAAGGACAACTTCTAGTGTCTACATGCCACCCCAATCGGTACTTGTCACCCTCCCCGTTGAACTGATAAGACCTAAGCTCATCACATATTGGACTATATAGTACCCTGAATAATATGTTAATTTCTGCACTTGATAACGTAACATACACACACATAGGCGAAAAAATAATAATAACAAATGCAGCGATCGCCTACGTGACGATCGCTTTGATTTTAGTTGCTGCCGTTTCCGCTCCCGATGATTAGCTGCAATTTGTCAAGCAACTTGCCGTTGACAAGGACAATGTAAATCAGTGGGCACAATTATTCACATTTACTATATAGTCTTACCTCCCATAAATACCCCCCTTTTCTAGGAAATAATTCTTTGTTAGGCGACTTTGATTAAGTGGGAAGACTTGAGATTAATCACCCCCTGAAAGAGGAATTTCTGCGTTCAGGAAGGGAACGACTAGCAACGACTTATGTAACTTCAATGTCGCCGTTATTCCCTCTGCTTGCGGATTTCAAGAGCTCTTCGAGTGCCATTCCAAATACTTCTCGATTCTTGATTCTTGATTCTCAACTCTTAGTTGATTCTTGTCAAGGGCCCAGCATCGAGGCTCGTGTTCTGATTTCAATTGGATTGCGCCAGTCCGCGGCTTATCGTGTGTGGGTTCATTGTTCATGTTTTCGAATGCCCCTGGCGATGGATGGTTGGATGGGTGCCACATGTGTTTTGTGTGCAGTGTACGCAATTTTCAAATCGCCAAATCAGGCGGGTTTTTGTTTTTGTATACTTTTGAGCCTCGGGTTAATGTGCGATTGAGTGAATGAGTTGAGAAATATCATTACCAAAGACTCTGGCGCTAAGAATAGCCGGGAAATTAACGGGGCGGACATTTAATTCGAGGTCCAGTTCCTAAGATCTGGGGTCCCACCACTCTCTCGCCATAATGTGTGTAAGTGGTTATCCGAGGGCATATTACATGACTCACAGACCTGGACGATGTCGTGCCAATTAAAATGGCCGACGGCCAGTGATTATGGCTAGGCGTCTCCACGGAAAGAAATATTAAGGAGATACACTTTTGATCAACTTATTTAAGACTTAAATTCATCTAAAATAATAAAATCTTCTTTTAAAGGCATTTGAAATATGTAATAACAATCTTTTTAATATCTATTTGGTTTAACAAGTTTACAATTTAATTTTTATAGTGTGAGGTCTTAGTTTTTGTGCAGTGTGGGCTTTCTAATGGTTCGTCCGACATGGCGTCAACCCAGCCGACAAGGCCAGGGCAATTAAGTGAACTCGGGGTTGCGTTGCACTTCTCAACTGCGGCAAATTGGTTGGGTTCTGGGCTCTAAGTTCTGGGCCGGTTTCCTTGGCTCCCAAAAGGGTTACGCATGGCACGCAGACGGCGTCTAGACGGAGCCCTCTAATGATCGGCGGTAGGTATGGGTACAGTGTTTGTGTGCCTAGGTAGGCCTACCCTCAGGTAGCCAGTCCCTATTCCCTGTCCCTGCGACTGAAACTCGCTCCCTATCGCACTCGCGCCATCGCGAATTCCACTTAAAAGCCCGTCCGTCCTGCCAATTACTCGCCGAGTGGACCATGTCGCTGGCTTAATTCAATTAACAGCGGAATGCCGGGGCTCCTCTCTTGGCAGTTACAACCCAGCCTACGGCCATTAAGCCCCCGAGAGATCAGTCGTAATCCCCGCAAGCGGCGCAAAAAAAAAGGCCCCAACAGACTTTGGCAAATCATGCAAATTCCACAGAGCCACAGCTACAAGACACGACTTCGTCTCCGACTACGACTCCGATGCTGATAGCAACTCCACAGCCAAAGCCACACAGCACAACACAACACAACTCCCCGTCGAGAGAGTCTGATTCGGATCCGATCGCTGGGCTGGCAACTAATTTCAATGTATTTGCATATTGAAGTCTGTTTGCCACAACAATGAGATGGCTAAAAACGCACATTTGTCAAATCGGTGGGGGCCAGAGGCGTTCGGGGACTTTTGGGGGCTGTATTTGGTACAATTTCATCTGGCAGAAACCGAAACCAAGTTGACGATTGCCCAAGACAATGGGCCAGGCCAGGCCAACAGCCAATGGAGTTAACCAATTCCGTGTGCGGGGAAATCGAGGGGCTCAGCGGAGGAACCTGGAGAAACGAATGCATCGAACGACATAATAAAGTCACAAGCCAGACACAATCGCACACAAAAGCTAACAAAGCTATTAGCCATCATCATCATCATCATCATCATCGATGGGCCCAGCCCAAGTTCGGAGTGCCAGGACCACAGTGAAGACCTCAAACTGGTCCTGCTGGCTCCTCCGCTTCCTACTCTGCCGATGGGTAATGCGATTTTAATAGCGTTCGAAGCCGAGTGCCAAACTGAACAGAACAGAGCGGGGCCGATCCCAAATGTGCCGGAATAAGTGCTCCATAAAAGTCACACATCGTACGCTTTAATTAAGCGAGATTTCTCTGTTGAGTTTTCAAATAACTTTGGGGTGATGTTTTATTTTCTAAGAAAAGCGGTTTGAAATTGAATTTTATTTGAATGATCAAAACTAGTTTTCTTTCAATTTAAAGCAGAGTTTTCCAGTGGGAAATGAGGAGAGAGCTTTGGTATGAAGTAGAGGAAACTTGTTTGGGGTTTTTGTTTTTAAATATAGTTTCTAATTTACTTAACAACATTAATAAATAAGCATTTTATAAACAAGATCCCAAATTGAACACTACTAAGAACCTACACCAAATCATCGCCCAATTTAGTTTGATTCGAAAAGCTTAATGATTCAGCGATTGCAATTCATATTTGCGAAATCTGCAAAATCTCTACTTATGGCTTTTCGGACATATTTTGATCATCTGTTGATTGCCAGGCCAATCAGCTCCAGCCATTTACCACACAGCCGCATTTGGACCCGCCACCAGATTACCCCAAGATCCAATCCAATCCAATCCAAACCAATTCAATCCAATGATTTTTCCTTCAGAGACTTAGTCACCCAAGCATCTGAACGATTCTTGGCCATATAAGCCGTGTCTCTGCACAGACTGGTCATGGCCAAGAATCATGGATCATATATAAAATGATTTTTATTATTCTTAACTGCTCATTGGGTTCGGCTGGCAAATTATTAATAAACTCGGGGCAGACATACATATATGGTGGCTTTCAGAGTGCGGGTGCTGCCTCGTTGAAATTCGAGTATTATTAGCGAATTTACCGCAAAATCTATAAATAGCAAACAGAACGATTAATTGATACACAGACACAGCCCTCAGACAGTGTGTGTTTATTTCAATGCAAAGTCGAGCTTTTTTGCAGAGCAGAAAAATAAATATGAAAAATCCAGAGCAGAGTAAAAAAATGCGATCAAAACAAGAGGCCGGAATTCCACACACAATTTTTATTGTGCAATTATTTAGGCGAAAGTTAATCAAAAAAACTACACATATACGAAAAAATGCGCTGCCTTCTTTTTGTTTTGTTCGAAGGAAAAAAAAACCGGATTTATTGATCGAAGATGAACGCTGTATAGCTGTAAACAATTTTTTAGAAACAACCCAACCAACGGACCAAACAAAAAAAAAACCTAAACAAAAACAAAAAACTCCGAAAAAAAAGAAACAACAAAACAGCAAATTTGAGCAGACGATTTACGGGAATTCCAGCGAGTGACGTCCGAAACACGAACCCGAATTTTACGTTATTGTTGCTGTTGTCTCGGTTTTGGTAGCCGCTTCT